CGAGCGAGGGAGAGAGAGAGAAGATGTCGTCCGTGCAATCTGGCGTGGGCCAAGTTGCGTGACGACGGTCATGAATTATTGGACGCTTTGTAATATAAATGGGACGTTGATGGGTGAGGAGGCGTCCGTCGGGCGACGGGTTGGTCCGCAGCCAAGGTGGCGAGGTGGTCCAGGGCGGCACGTGTGGCTCGTCTCTGTGCCACTTGGCTTGTCGCGAGTGGCGCCAGCCTGGCCGCTTGGTGTCGGGGATTTTAAGTGCGGGCCCACCTCCCCTCGGGCCCGTCGTATTTACGCCCTTTTTGTCCGCCGCCGCCTCCTAACGGGCGTGCCCATTTACTCCTGATACTTCCTTCCACTTATTCCCTCATCCGCACCCGTACAAAGTCCTCTCCTTTACTGCCCACCTCAGCGCCACCGCCCGCCGCCGCCAGTTCTCGTCACGGCGGCAGTTCGGTCTTCGGTCATAACTGACCGTGTCAAAGAAAACATCCGGAGAGAGCCGTCGGATTGTTCTCGTCTCCTACACGCCCAACAACGGCGGCAGCCCACTGCCGCCCCCCGCCGGCGAAAGAGAGAGGGAGAGAGAGATGGAAAGAGAGAGAAAGAGAGAGAAAGAGAGAGATAGGGACAATCTTGCGTCGAGGAGCAGCGAAAGAGACGAGCGATGGGCGAGCATTGATGTGGAGGAGGATCTCCTGCGTAGATTGGACAATCTTTTCCGAGATCTTGCCGTCCGGCACAGCTCAGACAGCCCACGGAGCAAGAAGCTGTGGTCTCCCTCTCCTCGGCGGATAAGGCCCGTTCGCCGTCCTCCCCATGCCGCCACCGCCCCCTTCTCCCCTTCGTCCACTCGTCCAGATTTATTTTTTTTTCTTTCATAAGACCTTTCAGTTGACGACTCCGTCTCCGACGACCGGGATCACCGAGATTCCTCCGTCCCCACCCCCTCTATTATGATGTGAGAAATGATGTTTACGTGTCGGTGGCGGCGTCCCCCCGTCCCCGAGCGCTACCACCGTTCTCTCTCTCTCTCTCTCTCTCTCTCTTCTCTTCACTCAGTTGAGGACCACGGAGAGATCAATTTTCTAGGTTAGGTGGGGTGGTTGTTCCGGGGGGAAGGCGGTGGGGGTTCGCATTCAAGGGCCGCGTTGGCGATGGGCGGAGCCGCCGGCGGTGGTCCACCGCCTCCGTCTCACGCCGGTTGCCGTCTGAGCTCCCAGAACTCGCCGCAGCCGCGACGAAACCCTTTGAAACCTTCAAGGGCGAGTGCAGCTTCTGTTGCGGAGGTCGGAGGAGCTCCGGCGATAGTTCCCTTCTTCTTCCTCTTTGTTTTGTTACTTGAGCGCGGGAACTTTAATGGGCCTTCATTATGGGCCTACATAATGGGCCAGACTGATTGTGGGAAATCTGAATCCTCTTTGAAGCCCACTAAAGGAGAATATGGGCTCGTAAGGGCTGAGAGTCATAATGGGCTGTACAGTATGGATCATCTTCTTGAAGCCATCCATTTGTGGTCGTTCTGCACCGGCGGCGCTCGCCGGGCGCCGGCGAGGAAGCCTGCACTGGCAGCGGCGAGGGGGCCGTCCTCCACCCCAGCGATCTGATCCGATCTGATCGGCGTTAGATCACGTTATGCATAGACTGGCAGTTCCGAACTGCGATCATGATCGAAGAACAGATCGCTGGTCCTCGTCTCACTGTCCGAGTTCTACAGATGGACAGGAGGAGGGAAGGAGAGACTTCCTTCTGCTCTTATACGCCATTTCCTCCTGGTGGGTTCATCGTCCGATCGAAGTGTACAGCACAGCCTCCTCCCAGGTCGATGGGTTCTTCTCGGATTAGAGTAATTTCTACCTGTTGAGCCTGAACCTACAGCCACGCGCAGGGATTGGGATTTCGATCCCCACCGCACTGTGCATCTTCGACCCTTCTTTCTTTCTTTCTCTCGTGCGCGCTTTCCCATCCCTTTTCTGCTTTATCATCGGAGATGGGGGAGGTAGCGGTGGGTGGTGGTCGGACGGTGCATCTTCGCCTCTCTGAACAGGAAGAAGGAAAAAGGTGGAACAAAGGGAGATCATCGGCAGTGACCGTCCACGGAATACTCTCATCAGGCACCTCCCCAGTCACCGACGCGTCTCCTTCCTCTCCAATCCGGTCGCGTCCTGGATCATGACAAATGGAAGGACCGGAAGATCCTCAGTATCAGAAACAGAACGGACGTCGTGATAGAAATCTTCCTGCTCGCTGCACCAGGAGGCAATTTTGCTGAGGTTTCTGGAGGTTTTGCGGCGGAAAGGAGGAGGGCCCACCTTGTATGAAGATCCAAAAGCTCGGAGAAAATGTTCAACGCGTACGTGGGATCTTTAATGACCATCCTGTCCTATTCCTCCCCGTCGTCATCATCCAGTTCCCTTGCCGAGAATTTTGCTGCGAAGAGATGGAAGCCCGCCAGAAAGGAGGTGCACCCATGCGTCCTCATGCCCATCTTCTACCTCTTGCCCTTCCTTTTTTGACTCCGGTGCGAATAATGTCGCCGCCCCTGTTCTCCCTCTAGTCGAGCTGGCTGCTTTCCCAAAGTTTCGTTCATTACTTCTCTTTCCGGTTTGGAATCTCCCTCCGTAGATCTCACGGGGAAAAAGGATCCGAGATTTTCTAACCCGGCCGGCATTCCGTCTCTTTCTGATACCATTCCCAGACTGCAGAGAAGAAACCATGAGCGCGTAGAAAGGAAGTCGGACGGAGATAGTCGGGCATGAGGGCCTCATGTTCGTCGACGATCCTTTCCTCCGATTCCTGCTAAACGGGGGGGTCGTGCCTGTCGTGGGTCTTCCTTGGCTCCACCATTTATAGCAGTTCCTTGGTTGGTCTGAGGTAAGATGCTGCTACCCTGAGAAAATTGATTGGTTTTCTTTATTCCATAAGTCTTTCTTTATTCAGAAATTATGGAATCAGTCAATGTACGTATCTGGCATAATCAATCTCTCCTTCTCTCCTTCTCGGTTTTGTGTTCTTCCTTCCGTTGTTGTGAATATCACCACGGGTCCCATCGGTTTTTCTGTGTCAATCTTCTTTGCTATGGTCCTTTGGCTGGTACGCTATTGTCAACATTATACCATTTTAAAATTTATTTTATTAGGACCACTGAGGATCGTCCCACATTATTGATCTCATTTATATGGGTCCGATGGAAGAGAAACCAAGATATGATTTTGGATCCTCCGTCTTCCCTTTTTTCCTCATGCTTTTTCTTCTTCTTCTTCTTCTGCTCCCCCCCCCCCTCTCTCTCTCTCTCTCTCTCTCTCTCTCTCTCTCTCTCTCTCTCCTTCTTCTCTATGTTTTCCTTCTACTGATTGAGGATGATGTAGAAGAGACTACGTTGTATTTTTTTTCAATTTACGAGTTGTAATTGATATTAATTTCCCACTAATTTGGCGACCATATACGGCGTAGTTTCTGGGAGCACCTGTGGTACTGATTAATCCTTTGTAATGCGAAGTTTTCTCTGTGAGCTGGGAACTGTGAGAGGAACTGAAGTTGTCGTTGACTGGTACATGAGGCAGTTGGTTTGTGATGCTCGCATTGGGAAAGCTGGGTACAGGTTCAGCAGCATCAGATTGGATGAAAAACGAAGAACACAGGGGCTTGAGCCGTTAAAAACGAAAACTGACATGATTACGCGCCAGATAGATTTTTCGTAATGCCTAAGAATGGGATATTATGCATGATATCACCTGTCCAACACCGTCAGGTGCCATGAAAATGAAGAGGAGTTTTTGTGCGAGGTTAAACTCTTAGAAAAGGAATCCTAGACAATTTTCAGCTAGAGGAATTTCTGGTAACCTCTAGAAATAGAAAATTGTGAAAGTTTTTGTGTCTATGAAATCAGATGAGGTCTGGATTTAAAAGCAAATCTATAAAAAAATACATAATGCAGAGTCTTTTTAGGGATTTGGTCTGGTACTGGTAAAAAAGCTATCCCAAATATTGAAAGATCTTCTATAGGAAGGCGCAATGGAGAGGTTGCTCTGTTGCCTTGGATTTGAAGAAATCCATTCTGTAGTATCGGTAAGAAGCAATGAAACCATCCTTTTCACATTATTTATTCAATGCGGTAGTCACTAGCTAAGTGCCCATCAATCAGGTGGAGACCGCTCTAGGGTTTTCACTTGGTAGAGAAGCAGCATGCACTATAGAGGAATGGTGGGACTTGTTCTTGAAAGTGGGAATGAAACCAGTGTTAAATTGTTGAATTTTGACGAAGGATTGAGGATGGGGTCAGACCCAGATTACAAAGAGCAGCAAAACATCCTTCTTCTTGCAACCCTATGGACTATTTGGTGTGGAGAAAACAGCGGGGTCTGAAAAGTAAATATTGGAATTTAACTGAGGTAAAATGAGACAATTGACAATTCAGTGTATCAGTAGCACAGAATTTGATAGTTGGTGCATCGCTGCGAAACCAAATGCTTCTTTTTTGTAGAACGAAGTGCCTCAAGACTTTTGTTTCCATGGAATAATTGTGAGTTTTGCCAATTGTGTCCATATGAGCTTGCAAAATGCTAGAAAGGCCGTCTGTTAGTGAGCAGTGATCCTGTGTGACTTTATATTATTTTATTTATTTCGTGAATGTTGCTTTTTAAGGGAAGAGAATGGTGCAATATATTCTCTAATGCTCGTTATTTTTCATGCCTTTTCCTTCTCAACTTCGTAGTGCTCATAAAAGAAATGCACTTGTTCTGTGACTAGGTGAGTGGGGTGTGTTTATTGGCTCTTTGAAAAATATGAAGTGAATACACTTTTCATTAGTGTTTCTTTCTCAGGACATATGTTTCATTTCCCTCCTTATTTTTTAAAAACTTGATATGTTTTTGTATTGTTGACAAATAGACATCTTTTTCACGTGTTCAAGTGCATGCGTTTTTCTTTGTTGTATCATATGTCCTTATGCCCTATTGTGATTCGCTTTCCTTGCTGGATATTCTCAGATAATATCTCAAAATATGGGCTGGCTGAAGAGAATTTTTAAAGGTTCTAGCCATAAAATTTCACATGGAAAATACCATATAAGTTCTGGAGGAGATGAGGTATCAGATGGATCTTTTAGTTTTTTTATAAATTCTGTGTTTCTTCATTTTCTTGCTTTTTTCAGATTCTTGAATACCCTTCTTTGATTTTTGACTGAGATAACTTGAGGGGAAATAGTACTCCATATCCAAGTCGTAAGGGGGAATAATCCCACTCTTGGGACGATTTATAGATATGATGAAAGATTAGTTTGTGGGAAATGTATTCCTTGTGTTCTACAAAAAAGATGGTTGAACTTACTTTGCCGTTCTACGAATTGTTAGTGTTTATGTGGGTAACGCCAGTGTCTTTCTGAATCGCTAGAACTGGTTATGAACAGTATGCGAGTAAAAGATATTTTCCATTGCTGATGTACGATTATTTTTCTTATGAGGTAATGTGGTCACCTTGAAAAGGAAAAAAACCTCTTTCTTGACAGATGTGGACCTCTCCAATTCAGTTCGTAGTAAATCTACTGGAGAGTCCATCCTCCCTGTCATTGTGATGATTTCTGTCATCTCGAGTCCGAGTGATGGGATGAGTAGTAAAATTGGTTGATTGTCAAGTTAAATTATGACAATCGCCACTTATATTGATGGCACTGCTCAGAATTGGGTTCGCATCAGTTCATAACCATTTATCGTACAGGGGGCTACTTGGGCCTTAGACCCGGTCCGACCCCTTTGAAAGGTTATATATTTCATAGCTGCAAAGCTTTCTGACGTGTTTAATCAATTTACTATATGATTTCAAGGGGATAATTTAAAAGGAAAGGTGAGCTAAGTTGTCTTCTCTCTCATTGTGCAAGTTACATGCAATATAGCCGACAAGCTTTCTGTTTTTTTTTTCATGTATTTTATGTTTTTAAAGGGAAAAAAAGAAAAAGGTAAGCTTATTCTTTTCTTTCTCTCTCTTCCCGCTATTGAAAATTTCCTAGCTCTTCTTTGAGTCAAGCCTTACTATATGCTAGGAAGATATGTGAAATGTGGTACTGCTTTTTCCATTATTTTCGTGTTTTTATAATGAATGACTGGTTGCTTCCAAAGGATAATATCAGAGCATGACCTTCATCTATTAAGCTTTGTGACTTATATCATTTTCTACTTTGTTACAATGCAATACCCCTAGTAGTTGGGACTTGGAATATGGACCTTGGTACTGTCTAATTATGAATCATGTTGTGTCCAATTTGATAAAAAAAATACATTTTAAACCAATATATCTCAAAATATGTCAGAAAACATTTAACCATTATCAAAGTATGAATTTGCTCAGAATCTTTTTAGTGGAACTAATTAAAAGATCTGGAAATGACCTCCTGGACAGTCTTGCCTGCCAGTGAAGTGACGTACGTATGGATTTTGTGGAAACTAATGATTTTGAGAGCAACTTTATTCAGTTTATTATTCAGTTTCTTTTTCCCAAAATTCTTGTCTCTAATTGTCTTGCCTACCTATCAGCCTTGCAGAGCGCCCAACCCAGATCTCCAGTAAAAATGTCGTGAAACATATGTTCTTCCCCCCTGAAATCAGGCATATATTCATCTGTAGATGCTAAATTTAGGCTTGTTTACTGTGATCTTGTTTAGCATGCTATGCAATAGTGACCTGAATCACTGGAAGACGAGGGGAAGGACAAACTGGAAGTGTTTGGAGGATTAGGATGGAAAACCAAAACACAATGAGGAAGAAGACGAACTCAAACACTGGGAAGGAAAATCAATTCATAATTTATCATAATAATTCAAGTGGGACAGTAATTTATTTAGCCATGGACTCAGAAACTGTGCACTTGCTTAATCCTTAGGAAAACGGCAGCTTTTTCTAAAGGTTACCCGGTAGCAGATCTGTTGCAATTAATTTATAGTATCCAGACTCATAATGTCTAAGAACATAAAAAGAAAATCTGTTAAACACAAAAAAGACCCAAAAAGTGTTTCTAATCCTATATCAAGTTCTGGTCACTATGTGCAGTAGACGATGAGGTTGACTACAGATACCTAGGCTGCCCAATGCAGAACTCGTTATGTTCTGCATCCGAGTCGTTTGTTTTGTACGACATGTACCTGTCCTACAAAGGTAATTTTACATGGCTGATTTGGATGTAGGAGAGCTTCTCAGACCCCGAAAATGAAGACATAGCCCAGGCAATTGCGCTGTCCCTCTCAGAGGAACAAAAGAAGGCGAAAGCAATCGGTAAGTATCGGCTTTCTATTATGATCTTGTATGTGGGCTAGCCTGCTGTTTATAACCTCATTTATTTAAGAATTTTCTCAGATAATTTTATTATTGAGGTAATAACGTAGGCAAAGTATTCTTTTGTTTAGGACTATAAATAGAGCTTTTATGACTGGAACGGAAATAATCTATAATTTACGAGGTCAGTAAAGTCGGTTTCACAAACCATTAGTCAAGAAACAGTAGCTTACCTCTTAAGATTGGAGGAGAAAAGAAAAATATCCACCAATCATTTTCAATTGACTCCAGTGTATATGAATACCTGTCCTCACAATAAGATGAATCCAATTGTATTAAAGAAGACATATTCGGACTACAGTGATCGACAGATAATGTTTTAGCTTCTTTGGATAATTCTATGATTTTTTTTGTCACTGCAGCATATGTTTTGTTTCTAATTTAATTGAAATCTGTTTACCGAGTCACTTTTTCCGGTTTTACTCTCCAACTCCATGGACTTGCAGAAGAATATCAATCTTTTGTTACTTGCCGATAGTTGAAATTCCATGATTTTAACTGAAAACTTTATCCCTCTTCCGTAGATAATTCAGCATCATCGGATGATGACGAACAACTTGCAATAGCTTTGCAAGAAAGCTTGAATGTTAAATCTCCTCCGCATGAGAGTGAGAATACCTATCAACCTTTTTCTTATCTTTTCCCCTCAGATTACAGGTAAAATTATTCGCATTCAGCTTTGAAACATTTTCTCTCTCAGCACGCCCATTTTTAACATTTTAGGGGAAATTAATTTCATTACAGGTTTGCTTTTCTCATGTGCATGCACTATTACCGTAAATTTTCTGGAGCTAGGATGCAATCATGCAACGTGAACAAAGTAAACGTCCCTGATTGCCAGTGCCTCCAAGAACTTCAAATATTAGCTTATTTTTATAGAAAAATCCTGTAAATCTTCACCTAATCTTTCACAAGGACAGCCCTTGATGTACTAATTAGATTTATATGAGTACCTATTATTTTAAGTGATTTTGGCCTCTTATCAGTCGCAATAAGCTGAGTTACCACTGAGATACCATGGTCTAAGCTGACGTTCAGCTTTTTTTTGAGCCATTATAGCCATTATCAATGGATGAAACACTTTCAATTGTCAGAAACAGAAGTTAGGATACGCACTGATGTTTATGGTGAACAAAAAAGAATTTATTGACAGTCTGTACTCTAGAATATTCCTCATCTTTTTTCTCTTATACAAAGTTCCATGTCCATGAAATGTGGAAATTGATAGAGAGATTGTAAAGATGCTAAGATTCTTCACAACAGAAGGCGAACAGTTTAACATTACATGCAAAAAATTATTTGCTTATGTCGTCATCGCAGTCATACAGTTCCAAAGTTGTGCAATTTTACGGAAATTATGCATTTAAAAGATGCCTTTGATGCTTGGCATCTTATCAGGTGGTCATGGGTGTCGAGAGCTTGGAGACCTTGGTTCTATGATTCAAGATTTTTCAATTTGAGCACACAGAAGATCAAAAGGAAAAAAATAATAATATTAACTGGATTCAGGGTTTCGTTCGGTGGTTCACTGGGAATGGTTCCCTTTTGTTCTAAATCTGCTCGTGTACCTTTCATATTTTCAGAGGATAGGATTCCTGCATCTTTTACTTGTGATTCGTACAGTTTTTTTCCTGGTTATAGTTTACTTGTCCTTGTGAACCTTCCTATCTATTCTGCAACCTAATTTCCAGTAGGAGTCTACTTTTTCCAAAGAAAAGGGACCCCCTAAGTTCAAGTTCTGCGGAATCCATTTGTAATCTTATTAAGCCGGACTGCTTGTTAAACTTTTTAGGACCAGAGTCTTAAAGGGTGGTTATCCCTTAAATATTCTCAAGTAGATGGACAGCAAACTTAAAATCTACTAATTCCCAATAGAAATACCCATTTATTGTTTTATGCACATACCCTGTCATTGTATTCTTCTTACGGAGTGTCTGATATAGGCATTATATAATCTAACAAGTAGCAAAAATCCTTCTTCACGAACTGCACTATCAAGACATTTGATATCTGCATGTTTCACTTACCTTTTTCGAAATTGTCCTGTGTACTGTGCTTCTTTCCATAGGGTATGTGCTGGTTGTAACGCTGAGATTGGTCGTGGGCGTTTCCTCGGTTGTATGGGTGCTACCTGGCACCCAGAATGTTTTTGTTGCCGTGGTTGTAATCAACCAATATCTGATTATGAGGTTGGGAAATTAGTGGCAACTGATTTTTGCCTTCGAAATAAATTTATTTTATTAGTCAAGTCGCTGAGTTCCTGACATCCTGTTGGTTTTAGTTTTCAATGTTTGGGAATTATCCTTATCACAAGTCATGCTACAAGGAACAGTACCACCCTAAATGTGATGTTTGCAAGCATTTTGTAAGTATCACATTTGACAGACTACTTTACTATCTGTATTCGATTTATGATGCAGACTCTTATTCTCCAATGTTTTGTATTGTTGAGCTCCTTGAGCATAATCCCCAACTTTGATCACTTTTCACAGTAGGAAATTTGTGTGAATTATTAAATGTTTCCTTGCATCAAAATATGGATGGTAGAATCACCGAGATTTCCTCAAAACCTCATTTTCTGCCTAGGATGCCACTTGACAAGATCATGCGCTAATTGAGGCCCAAAGCCTAATATTGTATGGTAAATGGCTGAAAAGTCCTCTGCTTTCTACATCATCATATGCCAATCATACAAGATTCATCCATCACACGCCGATGAGTAATTAGATTATAGATGACTGAAAAAATATCTATTTCTGCACCATGATTCTGATAAACATATTGGTTGGAAGCATCATTCACTTTGGAAATGTTATTCAAGGCATTGTTGATGGGGAATGCCGAGCACCACTGCTAGAGGATCAAGCTCCGGTAGGCATCATCACCTGGTCAGTGGGCCTCTCTATAGTTCCATGGTAGAAGATGAAATCTCACTGAAGGAACCATGGTTTGACTGTGGTAACAGAGATGGATTGTACTCTGTTGGTCAGTATCCATGGGGGCAGAATTGGGATCAGCTGGTAATGATAGCCCTAGGAGCACCTGAGATGGCCAAAAGGAGGGAGCGATTCCTTCTGGGGATCTTATCAGAGAGAGGTTTCGTAGGAGATGAGAGAAATGACCAGATTCGTCAGTAACAACTGATCATGCGACCAGGCGTTTAATAGGGAGAGAGAGAGAGAGAGGCAGAGTATTATTGGTACTATGGCAGTGTCTTGGAAAGTGGGTCATGGAAATATTTGAAATATGTGGTCACTGTTTACATTGCGCATTTCATTTGAGGATTTCCTTTTTTGGTCACTTTGTTGCATGTTTTCTTCTTTTGGTGCCTACTTATAACCGTGGATTAGGCAAAAAAGGGGGTGAATGACCAGAAACTAGGATCAGGACACGCCATCTTTTGAAAGTCTGCAGTATAATGCCATATAGAATCGAAATTTCTGAGGCAAAATCAATGAGGAATTCACAACGGTAGATGCCGTCATTTTGCAAACCCTAGGCTATAGAGACTTAAATAATGGAGATTAAAGATAAAGTGGGGATCATCGGAAAGATCTGTGAGTGAAACACCCAGAAAGGAGAAATTTAAAAAGATAATTTCCTAAATTATTGATGCACACGCAATTCGTAAAGACCGAAAATTCATTAGCCTGTATTCTAGACAGTGTGCTACAACCTTCTGTGATGAGGAAATCATTACTCTTTCGAGGAGGTGTCTGGTGCCTGCTGCGGGTTAATGGTGCAGATTACAGAGGTTTTGTATAAGTTAAATTTGTAGCACATTGGTATAAAATGAACCTTAAATGTATATTCCCTCTGTTCAGTTCTGCATGAGTTATTTTCCATTTCATAATTTCTGGAAGCCATGCCTATGGATTTCCAGATCTGTCTTTTCTGATTCTACGATACATGCATCTACATTTTATTTATTTATTTATGGATCCTTTATAAATACCTGGTTTTATGAATTTTGTTTATTTATTAGCCCATGATAAATATTGCTTCTGATATGTTGGAGGGCTTGCCATAATTTAGTCTTCCTAAGAACAACTTTTCAGGTTCATATTCTTTTGGATATTAAAAATATTTTGATGCACAGAATCAATGATATAGATATGAATATAAATTTGAATGTGTCCGTCACTTTTTTCTTCTTCTTCCTGTCATTTTCAACAGTCTTTAATTTTTGTTTTTATTTTTTCAGATCCCAACAAATTATACAGGCCTCATTGAGTACAGGGCCCATCCTTTCTGGCATCAAAAGTATTGTCCTTCACATGAGCTTGATGGGACTCCTCGGTGTTACAGCTGTGAGAGGATGGAGGTGGGCTTCTGGACATTAGTTTAAGCATTATTTCTCCAGACCTTGTTTAATCCTGTTAATGATCTCAGCCGAGGGACACAAACTACGTCTCCCTGGACGACGGCAGAAAGCTCTGCCTTGAATGCCTCAACTCTGCAATCATGGACAACAGCGAGTGCCAGCCACTCTTCCTTGACATACAGGAATTCTATGAAGGCCTAAACATGAAAGTCACTCAGCAGATTCCATTGCTCTTGGTAGAGAGGCAAGCCCTCAACGAAGCCATGGAAGGAGAAAAAACTGTGAGTAAATCCGATTGGAAGCCCCCCTTCTCTCTCTCTCTCTCTCTCTCTCTCTGTTTCTCTCTCTCTCTCTGTTTTCTCTCTCTATCTCTTGCACACGCATGCTTTGTTGATTCATTCCTTGTGAGTGAGCAGGGGCATCATCATCTACCCGAAACCAGAGGATTATGCCTCTCGGAAGAGCAGACTGTCAGCACTGTAAGGGTCACTGAAACAGAGAATCATTATGTTTCTTCAGCAATGCCTGCCAATCACCTTCTTCTTCCGCAGATCCTGAGGAGACCCAGAATTGATTCCGGGAATCGTGCCATGGATATGATCATCGAGCCGTATAGACTCACTCGGGTCTGTGAAGTCACAGCCATTCTCATCTTATATGGACTCCCAAGGTGCCATCTGATTTTCTATATATTCTTTGGATAAAATGTGGTCAATATTTCTATTTTCCCCCCCTATTTTAATCATCCCACAGGTTCCTGACAGGATCGATTCTTGCCCATGAGATGATGCATGCATGGCTTCGTCTAAATGGTGATTATTCATTTTCTTGCAATATATATATATATATATATATATATTAACTGATTTTATTGATCCCTGATGTGGGAAATTACTATTTTCTGATAGGATACCGGAACCTCAGCCAGGAAGTTGAGGAAGGCATCTGCCAGGTTCTTGCCCACATGTGGCTGGACTCAGAGGTTGTGGCCGGGTCGGGGAGCAATGTAGCATCGAGCTCATCTTCCTCAGCTTCTGGGTCCAAGAAGGGGCCAAGATCCGAGTTTGACCGGAAATTAGGTGATTTCTTCAGGCACCAGATCGAATCTGATGCATCATCGGCATATGGAGACGGGTTTCGGGCCGGGAACCAGGCGGTGCATCAGTATGGTCTCCGGCGCACTCTTGACCACATCAAGCTGACTGGGATGTTTCCCTGATGATGCATGAACCCAGTAAATATCCTATTATTTTCTGCTTTTTTGCTAGTCCTCAGTATTATTTTCTTGGTGGGGGTAAGAAATATATAGATATAGAGAATATGAGAGATTGGTCAACGGATGGGGCTACCCACTATACCTGTAGATTGATTACAAGAGTGTTGGGTGACCGCCCATTTATTAGAATAATGATCACTCTAAATTATCCATTTTTACATTTATTCAGCTCCTTCATTTCTGCCATGAATTTCGACTTTTCTTTTTTTTTTTTTTTTTTTTTTTACATGTTCGTCTTTGTGGTAGGTTCTTGGTGGAGAGTACCCAATTGAGAAATTTTTCACATCTCTTGTTGAACTAGTGGCTTGAGCATGTGATTTTTCTGATTAATATTTATTTTTCTTCTCCAGTTTGATGGAAACTTTGATGATATTTTTGAGTGAATATTCTCTTTTTTTGAATGCTGATGTATTTAAAATACGATTTCATAGCACCAAATATTTTTTTTAATTTCCATAACTAGTATTATTGTTTTTAATATCATACATTAATTTGGAGTGTTCCTATCTTGGCTCATTTTCCTACCACATGAAAATACATTATTTAATTAAATATGACTTATTAACGAAGGTTCATGTGAGTGTATAATAAACAGGGAGAAAATAATTTCATGAAAAATGATGAGGCTTTTTTATTTCTTATGTAAAAGTGGTGAACTCGAGTTTTGTGAATATCCATTCTCCTTCTTGGTAATTATAAATAATAAATTGATTATATAATAAAGAAATTATAAAAATAAAAGGATCATAGAGCAACGAGCCTTTCATATGATATTTTTGGCATGTAAAGTCGAGTTATATTCATGTGAATTACCCATGGATTAGCTTACATAAATAGATAGATTGTGCATGAAATAAAAGTACTTTGATTAACTAAAAATTAAAAGGGTAATTATACACAATCATTGCCTAAATTCCGAGTTCATATAGTTTTATTTAAATCGTATTTTTTTAAAAAATTCAAATAATTGTCTCACGAATGAAATTTCATGGTGATTTATCTTAGATTGTTCTCTCCAGTGAAGCACTCAAAGAATGGTTAACCCTGCGTGTCTATGCCTTGATTTATTTTATTAAAATTTTATTTAATATTAATTTAAATAGCTTAATATTTACCAGTATAATGTAAAATATATCGAAATAACTGGAAAACCCTTAGCTTACAGCAACTGGACAACGGGCCAGTACCTTGATTAACAGGGCGCTCAGATTGGGGCTCTTGCCACGTGTGATCTTACGTGGCATCATTAGACTGGGTAAAGACATTCCACGCTATCCTAGATCATCGCCACTTTTGACTTTTCGCCGATCGAGTTCGTCGTATAATCACAGGGACAACGAGAATTCTCCGTACGCATTGACCGTTGACAGAGAGATATATATATATATAGAGATAGAGAGAGAGAGAGAGAGAGAGAGTTTAATCATCGTCTTGCTACACTGGTGCTGCTGGAGCCTTGGCAAGTTGGCATTGCCGATCCTGTCCTCTGAATCTTTGTTTGGGAATCGCCATGCCGATTTCACTCCAGTTGTGTGGGCTCTCCGTCGTCGCCCCTCCTGGGGGCATTCCCTCCGGCGTCCGGCTTGCCGTATCAGGGAGCAGACCAGCCTCCGGCATCCGCCGAGCTGTAGTCGGTGGAGTGAGGCAAATGCCGGTGAGATGCGGAGGCGGGGAGGGCGGATCTGCCGGTTCGGCTGTGGAGGCCGAATTCGATGCCAAGGGGTTCCGCCACAATCTAACCCCGAGCAAGAACTACAACCGAAGGGGATTCGGACGGAAGGACGAGACGCTCCAGCTCATGAACCAGGAGTACACCAGTTCGGTAACTTATGAACACCAACGCCCTATTCCTCGCCCAATGCCTTGCTCATTTCTCCTATACACGAGAAACGATTGAGATTGGCTTCTACAGAAGAATTCCTCAACATATTTTTTTCTTCTTGAAAGCAATGGTAGGAATCTTTACGGGGGCTTTCTCCCGAGGTTCCTATTAATTTCATGTTTGCATAATCTTCTGATATCAGTTTGATCTCTCTGCGGTTCCCTTTACCGAACGGGCAGGTGGCCTGATCTAGATTCTCAAGGAGAATGACAACGAGTACACCTGGGGGACCGTCAAGGTGAAGCTGCCAGAATCCTATGGATTCTGCTGGGGCGTTCAGACTGCATAAGAGGCGAGGAAACAGTTTCCCGCGGAGAATATTTGGATCACCAATGAGATCATTCACAACCCGGCTGTCACTAAGGTGAAACAAAATCACTGCTCAAGCTTTGAGTTGACCAGTGATCAAAGAGGGTGTCGCATGATGGATAGTACTTGCTCTGATTATAACATGATACAGATGATGGCTATGTGGTTGTTCTGGATCTCATCTAAGCCACAAGATACCCCATACAAATAGTTAATATCTGAAGTAAGCCTGCGGATTATCGTAATTATTTTGTGGTTTGATCCTAAACTCATGTTTCTATGACTCTTCACAACGTTTTTCTCCTGATAAATGTACATATTATATGAAATATACCTCATTTTCTTTTTGCCAAGTAATCTTTCCCATGGGCATTGCAAAAAACATCTTCATGCCATATTAATCGACTCATGTATTGATAAAACTCGATACTTAAGATGCCCACATCCATTGAGAAATTCCCATATATGGCACTAAGGTTTCTGTTCTCGGAATGCAGACGTTGGAGGAGATGGAAGTCAAGGATATCCCCGTCGAAGATAGGAAGAAAGACTTTGATGTTGTGATCTTACCTGCATTTGAGGCTACTGTCCAGGAGATGCAGATTCTGAGTGAAAAGGAAATCCAAATCATTGATACAACTTGCCCATGTGTATCAAAGGTAAGAGAAGGAGGTTTGATTTTTTATTTTTAGTTATTATTATTTAATCTATTAACTGTTGATTGCCTTCTGTTTCGATGCAAAAGGTTTGGAACACGGTTGAAAAGCACAAAAAGGGAGATTATACTTCAATAATTCATGGAAAGTATTCTCACGAGGAGACCATTGGGACTGCATCGTTTGCTGCGAAGTATATAATAGTGAAGAACATGTCAGAGGTAAAAAAATAATAATATTAAAATAAAATGCATATTATAGCAGTCTTTTCTCATTGCTTAGCTGATATTCTATAGAAATTATCTTGCATTCCAACTTGCTCATTGGAAACAGGCAATTATATGTATGTGACTACATCCTTGGAGGTGGACTTGATGGTTCTAGTTCGACAAAGGAAGAGTTTCTTCAGGTAATATTTGTTGTCTATTAAACTGGCTGAACTCTTATTATCCAGTGAGCTTGGGTTCAAGCCATTTGCATGCTAACAGAGATTCAGATTCGCCATATCCTCCGGTTTTGATCCGGACAATGATTTAGTGAGAGTGGGCATTGCAAATCAGACTACAATGCTCAAAGGGGAGAGGAAGGAAATTGGTTTGTCTTCTCTACACCATCTCATTTCCATCTGGTGTGTGTGTGTGTGTGTGTGTGTGTGCGGATCTGTGATATTTTTGATTTTTTTTGTGTGACCCAGGAAAACTTGTTGAGAAAACTATGATGAAGAGATGGGATCGAAAATGTCAACGATCATTTCAAAAGCTTCAATACAATATGTGATGGTACCCAGGTGATTCCTTCTTTTTCTCGAAGGTGGAGATGAGCCATTATTGAAATGTATCTCATCCTTGTTTCACTTTTGACTTTTGTATTTCCTTGCTGGCAGTGGTTTTCGATAACTAGATGGACGTAGGAAATTATTTTTGCTTCACTTTATGCCATGCCCATATTATTTTAGCCTCAATTCCTTGTTTCACTTTGACTTTCACTCTAATAGTCTAAGATGCCGCGTATTACTCAGTAGACTGCAGCTGTGTTGACTGACGAGCTCTTGGTCCTTCAGTTGACTCGAGACAGTCTCTAAATGGAATATTTTTTTTCTTGATTTTGTTGACATCGTGGTGCAGGAGCGACAAGACGCCATGTATAAGCTAGTCAAGGAGAAAGTGGATCTTATTCTAGTGGTGGGTGGGTGGAATTCCAGTAACACGTCTCATCTACAGGAGACCGCGGAGCTCAATGGGATCCCATCCTACTGAGTTGACTGCGCCGACAGAATTGGACCCGGGAACAGTATAAGCTATAAGCTGAATGTGAGCTCTTCAGTTCATCGTTCTCATGCTTCTCATCATCTTCCTGGTCAACGGTGATGGGTCGTGATATTTTTTTTTCTTTCTGTTTTCTAAATAGCCCGGAGAGCTGGTTGAGAAAGCCGACTGGTTACCTTCTGGTTCCATCACCATTGGAGTGACCTCAGGTGCTTCCACTCCGGATAAGGTCCAAACTCGTTGACTATTTTTCACAAGCTATTTTAGAAACTCGTTGACAATTCTCATCTAGCACTCACCTCCTTAGTGGCTGATCAATCCATTCCGTTTTCATGGATTTGCAGGCTCTCGAGGATGTTCTAGTGAAGGTCTTCAGCATCAAACACGAAGAAGGGCTGGAATTATCATAGCTCTAGAGTCCGTGTCATGGGGGTTCATGAGAGTCAGAATGATACCCAGATGGGTTCTTGCTCAGATGTGTAGCCGAAGTCTCAGGCATCACCTTGCCTGTGATTCCTCCAGGCTAGAGGTATAAAAATGTGAATCATTGTGTTCATAGTGTTCTAGGGTTTATTTAGGGAGGCCATTCATCACCTTGGCTGATGAATGGGATCATATCAGTGCAAATTATGTGTTTTTATGACTTTGGAGAGATGAGGAATATGATTATTTAATTAAAAATATGATAAATGTTGATGGGTTTTTCTTTTTGGGAGAGATAGATAGAGAGAGAAAGATTTCGGGGTTTTGGGATTCCATGGTAGCCAGGCCGGGCTGGGCCGGTCCGGGCCGAGCCCGCCAAGTTCGGGTTAGGGCGGGCCGTTGTTGAAGAGCCGCACTTATTTGTCGGCTTAGTCCGTTGAGGAGTCCCACTGGCTACTGAGAAAATTGTCCATGATGGGGTGGTGGTGCCTGTACCTCTTCTCCGGCCGCCATTGCAGAACCCTGAGGCCGTCTCTCCTTAAACCCTAGGTGTCATCAGATGCCCAGGTGGTCCGCTTGTTCGGCGCCTCTCAGTCTGCTGTCGCTGCTCGTGGTCCTCCCTCAGCGGCAACGGGTTCTTCGCTTCCACGCCTCCCGGTGCCTTCTTCACCGGCGGCCGTGGACCCGGACGGACGTCCTCTCAAAGGCGGATATCGTCGACCGGCTCTGTAGGATCTTGATACTGGAGCGATTCGGCGCCGTCCAGAAGTTACCCTTCGACTTCTCTGACGACATCCTCGACGCCGTCCTCGGGAGACTCCGGCACGAACCAGCTCCCTGCCTGGAGTTTTTCGGAATCGCCTTACGTCAGCAGCACTTCCGGCCTAACGCTCGTTCCTACTGCAGGATCGTCCACATCCTGTGCAGGGGGCGGATGTTTGACCAGGCGAGGGCGCACCTGAATGATTTGGTAGAGATATTTGGCCGGAGCTCTGTCTCTTGCGTGTTCGAGGAATTGGTCGTGGTTTACAAAGAATTCTCCTTCTCTCCCACCGTGTTCGACATGCTACTGAAGATTTATGCTGAGAAGGGTTCTGCGCGGAAGGCCCTTTACGTGCTTGATAACATGGGAAAGTACGGCTGCAAACCCAGCCTGAGGTCCTGCAACAGTCTTCTCAGTAGTCTGGTCAAGAACGACGACAGCTACACGGCAATCCGTGTTTACTCTCAACTGACCATGGCTGACATCTCACCTGATGTCTACACGATCTCAATCGTGGTTAATGCCCACTGCAAATGCGGCAATCTTCACCATGCCCAGGAGTTTCTAGAGGAAATGGAGACCAAGGGCTTCGATGTGAATCTTGTAGTATATCATTCCCTGATCAATGGGTATTGTGAGTTGGGGCGCACGGAAGCAGCGCAGGGAATCATCAAGTCAATGGTGGAAAAGGCGATCGCTCCAAATATCGTCACATTCACAACGCTGGTGAAGGGCTACTGCAAGGAAGGCAAGGTTGAGCTAGCAGAGAGGGTGCTTCGAGACATGAAGGAGATGGCGTGTCTTGCTCCCGACGAAGTTGCCTATGGAACACTGATAAATGCCTATAGTCAGAGTGGGAAAATAGGTGATGCTACTCGGATCAGAGATGAGATGCTGAGCGCAGGATTGCCTCTCAATTCCTACATATATAATTCTCTGATTAATGGGTATTGCAAGCTTTGCAGAGTGAGAGACGCTGAGAAAGTGGCGATGGAGATGGAGACTGGGCATCTGCAGCCTGACTCTTACACTTACAACACACTGGTGGATGGGTACTGCAGAGAAGGGCTAATGAGAGAGGCATTTGATGTTTGCGATGCGATGACACAGAAGCACATCTCACTGACAGTCCTCACCTACAACACACTCTTGAATGGCTTTTGCCGAGTGGGTGCTGTAGAGGATGCCTTACATCTGTGGTACTTGATGCAGAAAAAGGGTGTCTCACCAAATGAGATTAGCTGCAGCACCCTCCTTAATGGGCTTTTCAAGGTTGGGAAGTTTGACTGGGCTTTGAAGCTGTGGAATGAGATGACAGCCAGGGGTCTTGCCAAGAACCGGATTACCTTTAATACTGCCATTAATGGATTTATTAAAATGGGAAAGTTTTCAGAAGCAGAGAGGATATTTGGCAGGATGAGGGACTGGGTCTGCAATCCCGATGGAATGACTTACAGGATCCTGGGTGATGGGTATTCTAAGGTTGGTGACATGGCGAAGGCATTTGAAATCAGAGATGAAATGGAAAACAAAGGATTTTCTCCTTCAGTGGAAAGTTTTAATGCCCTGATTACTGGGCTATTTAGGTGTGGTGAGTATGAGAAAGTGGATGAACTCCTGATTGACATGCATGCAAAGGGATTGACTCCCAACATTGTAACCTATGGGGCGCTAATTGCTGGCTGGTGCAGAGAAGGGAGGACAGATAAAGCGTTTAAGATTTATTTCGAAATGCTGGGGAACCGTGTGGCACCAAACATTTTCATATGCAGCAGCCTCGTGAGCAGTCTTTACAGACAAGGGAGGATAGAGGAGGCAAATATACTGCTCCACCGAGTGGTGGATAAGATTGACGTCCTCAGGGAGTTTTCTCTGTACGAAATTCCTTCTTCATCCAACTCGCTGGATCTTGATGTGGTGAAAATTTCAAAATCCTTTGATGAAGTCTCAGGTGGAAGCATTCCTCCAAGTAATGTTCTAGTCAATGTGGTTATCTGTAGCCTGTGCCGATCTGGCCGGTTAGGAGATGCTAGAAGGGTCTTTTCAGATTTGTTGCAGAGGGGCTTCTCTCCAGACAACTTCACATACTGCACGTTGATCCACGGCTATTCAGCTGCTGGTGATGTAAATGAGGCCTTTTTGCTACGGGACGAGATGATCTGCAGAGGTCTTCTTCCCAACATTGTAACATATAACTCTCTGATTAATGGGTTGTGCAGGTCTGGGTCTCTGGATAGAGCAGCCAGACTCTTTCATAAGTTGAAGCTTAAGGGCGTGAATCCTAATGTCGTCACATATAACACTTTGATTGATGGGTACTGTAAGGATGGCAATCTTGTTGAAGCTTTCAGGTACAAGGAGAGGATGGAAAAAGAAGGAGTCTCACCTTCTGTGGTCACCTACTCTTCATTAATACATGGCTTGTGTAAACAGGGGGATGTGGATGCAGCCATTAGACTTATCAGTGAAATGGTCAAGAGAGCTACAGACCCCAGTTACATGGCCTTTGTTAAATTGTTCCAAGCTTTTATCTCCCGTGGAAACATGGATTACGTATCAGAACTTCACCAAGAGACGCATATTTGGTCTCTTCTTCTCCCAGATCCTGGTTTTTGCAGGAAAATGATTGCTTCAGATGCTGTAGGCGGGAAAAATTGCGTCACAGGCCTCGTGAACATGCCTGAAGCTGTCTATTGATGCAAAATTTTTCAACAGGTTATTGAACCCCTCCTGTGCCTCGTGCTACTGGGCAACTTTAGGTGAACAGTCCTGGATGCACCATGATCTCGTAACAGAGGCAGGTGGCATGAGTTATGGTCTCGATGATGTCTGTGTATTATAACATTCAATCAACGCCCATTCGTGGAGTTCAGGTTTCTGCTTGTTTCTCAGTGTTGATCCTTTATCGACGTCTCCTTCCTGAAGACATTAGCTCTGGTGCACGGTAAATTTCTTCCATGTTGAATATCCTCAGATATGGACCAGCCTCGAGATTCCACGATGTATTTTGCCCTCTTATTATTCTCATTGATGCAGGGTATTTGCTTATCTCTGTGAGTAATAACAAGCAATAGTGGTTCTTTGCTTTGGATGCAGCATGATCGGCCGGGGGCTGCCGTGATTGATTGTGTTTCGCTGTGGATCTCTGGTGCTTAAAGTCTCCCTGAGGGTTCGTAACGTTGCTTATGAACAGTACAATCTTTTGAGCAATTTGATGGGAAAGAAATCTCCCTGAGGGTTATGAAGGCTGATGCAGAGTGAAGCCTCAGCTCAATTGGTGGAAGCCTCGTGTATCTAACAACTATGAAGAACGAGTGGCGTTCTTCTTCTTCTGCCGCGTCATCTAGTTCAGAATCTGGGTCAGTTTTATGCTGCAGTCGACAGCAACCTTGGAGAAGGTTTCATCCACCAAGCTTCAGGCGAGAGGAGACAAGTCTACCTCTCCCTCCGTAAGCAGTCTTTCAACGCAGAGCCTGATCTCGCCTCGATCTGCGTTCCCTGTTAAGACAGCTGCAGGGGAGTAGAGTAGATTACCAGCTGGTTCTTACACTAACTTGATCATTTATAATGATCAAGCTCTTACACTCTCTCATGTTCTTCACCAGGATTTGAGCAGATGATCATTGTGCAATCAGTCGTTTGCATCACACCTTCAATCCTGATGGCCTGATGTGGATAATCGTTTGTGATGGCTAATAACAATTGGAAATGAGAACATTATCTTTCACATCAGGGTCTGGAATTTGGCCTAAAATATGTGTTGTTTGAAGTTCTTTGCATTGTTTGCTGCATCATTTTCGTCGTTGAAGTTTCTCTCCAACGTGTGCCATGCCTATGCCTGTGACAGAGATTTTCATCTAAACACTGTTAGAATGATTTGGTATTCAAAGTGCAAGACCATTTCTCAGATTCATTTCTAAATCTTATTTTACCATGATTATAATGGTCAAGTTAGTCATTTTTTAAAAAATTAAGAGCTTGATCATTGTAAATGATACTTTCATATATTATTATCAAGAGCTCCAATGTAAATCATTATTCTAGCTTTTAAATATACATAATTAGATCCATTCAATAGTGGTGGTCTACTCTTTTAAGAGTGTGATCACTTCTAACTAGGGGTTGACTCTGATATCAATTGAATGACCCATAGATTGACTAATGTAATCTAGAGGGGAGTAAATAGATCCAGTGATTCTAATTTGACAAGATTATGTGATTTGAAAAAAAAGAATTTCATATATTTTGAAGAGAGTTTTGGCCTCTAGTCTATATCCACCATCCCAAGGTTAATGTCAAGGCAATCACTCTACCACAAGCTTTATTTCCTCAAGCCCAGCAAAACAATAATCAAGATGTTGCCCATCTTCCACAAACTCTATTGGCTTAAGCCCAATAAACATCAATGACAATATCGTCAAGCCTCCTCACAGTTTACTAGCACTAACCGACCAAGTAATCATCACGATGTTGTCAAGTCTCTATGAGCTTTAATGTCTCCAGCCCACCAAATAGCTCATGGCGCTGTTGAAACTTTGTGTCAAAAGCCCACCGCAGAAACAGCCCATTCGGTTGATAAGAAACAAGGATAGAAATTAAGTATAAATTAATTTATCTTAATTATTTATGTGTCTTGAAGAGGTTCCAATCTGAGTTATTTGTTTGTTTAATTAGTTTGAACCTTACTTTAATGGCTTGGGTAGCTCTCTAAATCCCTGATATTAATTTGGGTGAGTTATCTTATGATAGTATTACAATACATACCACACTATACTCAATATATTTAATTAGAAAATTTAAATCTAGTGGATCATAGTAAAATGAATTCAAATAATTAATTGAATAGATTTCTCAAGCCATCCTCAGGTGTATAATTAATGAAAGAGATATATGTGTATATATATATATATACATACACTCAAAGTGTGTGTGTGTGTGTGTGTGTGTGTGTGAGAGAGAGAGAGAGAGAGAGAGAGAGAGAGAGAGAGAGAAGTTTGCATCTCAGACAATGCGGCCCACGTATATGGAGGGCGTATCCCCATTAAAGTTTGCATCTCAGACAATGCGACCCCTCACGATACGGAGGGCGTATCTATTCGCATTGAAAGAGTTGGCTTCCTAGACTACAAAATTGAAGTCCCGCATTAAATTGGGCTTGAACACGAGCCATTGATCAGCTTGCAGGTAACTTACTACATCAACACAGCAGCACGTATATGCATGCATTAATTGCTTTCACAATTTTAATAAGATATAAAATTATGATTTTAAAAAAATATAATATCACCTTTCCTGATTTCTCATGAGGTTATTTCGTCTTTTTCTCCCCATAAATATTTGCACAGTAGTTGGGCTCGTCTCCCCATAAATATACTTCGTAGCGAAATATTAAGAGAGTTCTAATTCATGATTTCTATGTTAATGAACAAGAGACATACTTAAAATCTAATGTGATAACTAATTATCACAACAAACTTTTAACTCACTGAATTAGGTCTCTAATAACGTTGATATTGTAGAAATGCACCAGCGGGACTGACAATCGCATGGTATTTATTGTTTACACTGCCCACTGCACTAATTCCGCAGAAGGCCATGAAAGTTTGCACGTGTGAAGCGAGCTCCCAGCAGTGGCCAACTCTTTCTCATAAATTGCACATGATTCTAATATAATTTCGGAAAATTGAATAAAACACACGCATAAATATATAAATATGTGTAAGAACAGCTTCAAGTGTGCATTTTCAAGGGTTCCCTAGAGAGAGGAAGCTTCCTTCGTTTGGGTCAATCATTGGACCCAGTGGCGTCTTGCAGCTCGAGCGGGATCCGAGGGGGCTCGGCCGACCCCCCCCACGTCCTGATCCGATCCTCAGCTAGCGATGCCTGCAAAAAAATGGAGCCATTTTGATGGCGGCCAGGGCGAAGAATCTCGCCACATAAAACGGGAAACGCTTACCTCTCTCTGCCAGTTGGTTCTGGCTATAATGACCACCAGGATCACCGTCTGCAGCAGACAGCCGACCAGCATTCCCGACCAGATGCCCTGCGAGACGATCCCTTGTAAATCGAGTTGACTCAGCCCAGCGGCAGCTCAGGGTGTCGGTCTCTCCTTACCAAGGCGTTCAGGTTGAGCTTGAAACCGAGGACGGCTCCGACAGGCAGACCAAAAAGGTAGTAGCAGCCCGTGTTTATGAAAGCCACTGAGGATTGCCAGCCCGCGCCGATCGCCACCCCTGCGCGGCATCACCATGAGTATATGAGTTCTTCATGTTCGGCTATAGAGAGAGATCCATGGACAAATAGAGGGCTGTTTCCAGCTCGGAGCACCGGACAAGACGGGCTGGATGCTGTTGAGGAGTATCGTGGGGGCCAGGAGATAGGCCAGCTTCGCCGTCTCCCTCTCAACCTCGGGTATGTCCGTGAACAGCCGCGGCAGATGAACCCTGGTGATGAGGAGGACGGCGGCGAAGATCACGCCGACCGCCGCCGACGTGGAGACGGCGACGGCGACCGAGAACTTCGCCGCCTTCGGGTGACCAGCCCCCAGCTCGTTGGAGACGCGAACGCTGTGGAGGGTCAACGAGTGCAGAGCAAGATGAGTTCCCATGTACCTCCTCCCTCTGCTCACCTCTCAGCGCTCGGCGAGGACCGACGAACCTGACTGCGGCGTTGAAACCCAGGGCGACCATCAGCGCCCAAAGTTGATAATTCATGCTGTCATATTCAGAGAGAAGGCGAAGATCATATCGGAGATCAGACGCTGGCAGAGAAAGTCGGGGTGAATGGGAGCTAACCAGATGGAGATTGCGTCGACTTGAATGTGTGGGTTCTTCAGGCAACCAACCAGGATGATCACTGCGGTGTAGTACCACAGCTCCAGGCTGAATAGAATCACAGATAAATAGAGAGATAGGAGCATGTTAGTAACCAAGGAATAATCTCCTGATAATGAAACTAATGACGTTAGAATTGTACTTGGTTTATCGGAAGAAATTCGAAGGTGTGATCATCCATTTCAATACGAACCATAGCATCACGGCCGACGCCAGCGAGAGCTTCACGAAGGCATAGAGAGATCGAAACGCAGAGAGAGAAAACCCCCTCCACGCCTCTGGGAAGTACCCTGACACCAGATACACCATCTGGGCCAGGTTCACGAGCCACCACGAGATATTCCCGGCTATGGCGGCTCCAACCAGTCCACGCCCTAGTGTAGTCACGAAGACCCAAGTAAGCAGAGTATGAATGCCCAAGACGACTCCTGAGATCCCCGTCATGACCCAGACTCTGCTTTGCGACTGGAAGAACTTCTGCAGAGGGAAGTTCATGGCGTAAGCGAAGAGCTGGGGGATCACCCATCGGCTATATCGGCCGGCGAGCTCGGATATGTCTCCGGACTGACGGAGTAGCTTTAGAAGGGGCGATGTGAAGACGTAGATCGGCGTCATGAGCAATGCCGTGGCCCCCGTTATGACCCATGATCTCTGCATGTAGATCCCAAGCATGTTGAGCTGACCAACACCGACGGCTTGGCCGCAGAGAGTCTCGAGGGCGCTTCCCATGCCTAGCTGTAAGCGAGGATCCATAGAGATTTCAGAGGTTAAGCTGGCGAGAGAAACTTAGAACTATAATGGGATTGTCCTCGTTATTATCATAATAATATCACTTGAAACGCAAAAATTTCCCTACTGAAATTTCATCTTCTCAAGAATTGTCTTTTGACACTCGAACAGATAGAAGATCTTCGCAACGCGTTTTACCGATCAAGGTGGTTGGTTTATAGAATTGAGTTTTATTTTACGGTTTTTCAGGAAGTGCGTGAAACGAAGCAAACTAGCCAAAGGAACACGGCCGACGGGCATGGAGGAGTCTGTGTGATTACCAGAATCCCATAGGCGAATCCTTCGACGACGTTCTGGACGATGGAGACTGCGGCGAGCTCGGCGGCGCCGAGGTGGCCAACAAATGCGGAGGTGACGAATCCGAGGGAGAACTGGAAGATGGCCGTGGCTATCGCCGGCGCAGCAATGAACCACATGTTCTTGGACTCCTTCCAGGTCTTTCCCGCTAACCTCTCCATGCCCGGAGCCTCGAGAGGCTAGCAGGCTACCCGTTTCACCGCCATGGGGAGAGAGAAGACAAAGCTCATACGAGGACCCTTCTTCCAACGTAGCCTCCGGAATAGGAATATCTCCCTGACTAACCAGATTCGCCTGAAAATCTCCTCTATCAATCTCTGCCAAAGAAAGAAAATCCGTCTAGAGCCCCATTTCCCATCGTTTGCCTTCCACCGACTGCCACTGGGCCTGCATGCATTAGGGGAGGAGGTACCTTTCTGTCTGTCGCAATGGCGAGCACGTGTTGTCGATATGACCTTCTGGGCAGCAGAGAACCGTGGTTGGTAAGGACTGATGTGGTTGGAACCGCCAGGGTGAAGGGGAGAGAGAGAGAGAAAGAAAGAGAGAGAGAGAGAGAGAGAGAGAGAGAGGGAACATCCCCTTCCCTCAACAGTATTTGCAAAATCCAAAGCCAGAAAACATTCATATATTTAAAATATATTGTTAATTTGTGCCTCCTACCAAACTGAGAATCCAACCTATTGTGCCCCATTCAGGAAGATAATAAGCGTGAAACATTCAACCAAAGAACGTACATGATATCAAATTGATAAATACTCAGACCCATACTGAAGTTCATCATGAATTGGGCATACCTCATTCAGAGGATATTGACAAGAATTCTTATCTATATTGAAATATGTGAGACGGTTGGAAAGATAAAACATCAAGAAGGTTTCAGTCATACTATAAGATAATATTCGACCAATTTTCGCCGGCAATCCTATTCACAGGCCAGTGGCAAGAGAATACGACCCAAGGCTATGAACTTCGTCGACACAAAGACGGTTGTATAAAATTAATAGTAATTCCAGAGGGCTGTCTGGATGTACACTTCGTTTTTTTTCTTTTTGCCTGTGAAATGCTTAGCTTCTTACCCAGCCATTTAAATTGACGAGAAATGCTCCGGTCAACTGGTATGGTCCCGAGCAGAAACAATTTGAAGGATATTATTGACAGGAATCATATCTGGAAAGGGATGTGTGTGCCCACCAAGGTTTGACGTCCTCTGCATGTCAATGACTCTAAAACTTGTAGTCCATCTGTGAAGGTTGCTAGGGGCTTGAAGAGTCCAGAGATCGTTGCTCTGTGGTCAGATTGCTCACAAAATCGTCAACGCCCACGAGTTCTGGAACTCTGTCGAGCAAGCGGTTAATTTCCTCAGGAAATTCTAGCTTGGCCCGATTAGATTTCCCTCCAATTACCACTGTTGTTCCATCTTGCAATGCCCATATCTGCGGAAAAATAAACCCAAATTAGCATGCACCTGAATGCAGAAGGGAGCATTCCAAGGATAGAAATTACGTGACTGGGGCTCAGAAGAAAAGAAAAGAGAAGAAAAGAACATGTGCCACCTGTGAATGAGCCAAGTAGCTGATGCAGGTTGTCAGCATTAGCGCACCAAATCCGGCATAGACAACAGGAACTCCTGGGTCGGTCTAGAAAAAACAACAACGCAATCACCCAGATACGCCATAAGAAGCAATTATGGTTATTGTGTGGAAGACATAACAGAAAATTGCTTGATCCCCTTTTTTTTTCTTTTTTTCTTTTTGTATATCCGAGATCTCACCTTCAGATCAAGGCCGCTGCTGCCAATGGCATCCTCAATTATGATCTTTGAGCCATCGATTTCAATGGGAAGTTTTGAACTAGGACGACGAACTCCCACGAACTTCCCCTCCTGATCGTACAGCACAATGGATTGCAGATCACGAGCCAACATCGATCTGAGATTCAGTGGGAAGGGAAAGAGCTTCAGCCAGGGCAAGCTAAAAATTGTAGAACCAGGATTCACTCCATTGTATAGATCAAACTCACATGCCCTTCACGTTTGGTGAATCGAGGTCTCCAACTGGCAGGATTGTCCCATAGAGCTTCTTGTCGCCATTAATCTTCAGAGGGGCCATCGCAAGATTGAAAGGTCCTTCCCCATCTTTGATGACTTGAAGCGCCGAAATGCTCCAGTCCGTCTGATAGATTGTGACTCCCCCATATCTCAACGGGTCATTCACACTAATTGTCTTCCTCATGACTTCTTTCCCGTCCATGTTGAACAGAGAGAGGTCCGTGTAGAACTGGGAAACCTGGGTATTCACCAAAAAAGCTCACGTTTTTAGGAGTCCCATTCACGATCCACGAACAAAATGGACAGACTGGGGAACCCGATTTCGAGATGGATAACAACAGCACGGCAGTAGAGATACCTCCCCGCTATCGTAATACTCCATGTAGAATCTGTTGACATGAACCTCGGTATCGAAGGCTCCGATGGGATTAGCAAGAAACCCGTTAGGAACCATCACGTCACCCACAACGAAGTTGAGCCCCTGAGGGACAGTGACTGAACCGCGGAAGCTGCCGGTGGCACTGACGGTGGCACCAGCCATTATGAGAAGCATGGCCAGATGCACGCCAATTGGAGCAAAACGACCAGCCAGCCCCTTGAAAGCATACAGAGATGGGCCTTTCAGAAAGACCTGCAGGGTTCAACGAATTATGAGATATCAGAGTTTATGACTCATAACAAATAATAATAATTAAAATCATAACCAATATGCCAATCTAAGAGCCGGGTTCAGTATCAGTAGTCTGAGGAAGATTGACCTTCTCTGGACCTATTAGATGATAATGGCTGGATGATTTATTGTTGATATTTTTCTGCCAAATTAATTCACATGATTCAAGAAACAAATTGATAATCAAAGTTTGGATAGATGGTTTAGGATGACTCGGCGTATTCTACCAAAAAGATCTCAGTATCAGGAAGAACAGAGGAGAAGCAGAAGGCCGCACCTCGTATCCCCCACCCATCAAAATGACACCCAAGTCTTGAATAGAAGCCTGCGGCAGGGTGTCAGAGAACTCTTGTTTCCGAATCCTCTCAGCTGAGTGCATAAAAGACCACCTTCAAACATTGAGTTAATCTCCTCAGGTAATGACGAACTAGTACGAGTTTGACGAAAAAAAGAAAGCTTTTTTCCCGCAGAAAATGGACCTTCTGGCGACTTTAACCATGGGTATCTGCGTTGTGTATGTACATGCCATGAGTGACGCAGCCAGAAGAGCCAGCATTCCCAGAAAGACTGGAGATGAGAACATGTGGTCGAAGCCGAGGTAGAGAATCCATTTCCAGGTGATGAATCCCAGAACGGGGCTTTCCTCTGGGAACTTCTGAAAGTAGTAGTCCGGCGCTTCACCTTGGTCTATACAGGTACCTGGCAAATACAGAACAAGATTAAAAGCAAGAAGACAGCTTTAATGCGGCCATTAAGTGGACGTTGAAAGCTTTTAACACAGCCCCTTCATTGCATCCTCTCCCCCATACCCAATTCCTGCTCTGGATTGACCCAGGTGCATCGAAAGGAGGTATTCTATCATGTAAGGGAAGAAAAGAAGGAAAGAAACCTGAAGGAAAGGGCACGGTGCCATACCCAACGCCATGAGGGCCGCAATGGTGAACATCTCCCCGATAGCGAGCGGAAGGTTGGAGAGGAGCGCCAGAATTTTCTTCCGCACTCTCTTGAGAGGAACCCACAGGGGAGCACTCCCCAGCTTCTGGTTCCCCACTGGAACTCTTCCGCTCTCTTGGCGACTTCCCCCACCATCCCCGGACAACGGCGGCGCCGCGCTGGGGAGTGCAACCTTCTTCGCATCCTCCGGGAGGACCCTCCCGGCAGCTTCCTTGGAGGTCCTCACCTTACACCCTATCCTCAGAAGGAGCTGCTTCTTCGAGTAGGAATCGTGTCCCTTGGAGATGAACAGCTGCGAGGGCGCCCTCCACAGCCGAAGGGGAGCTGCGACGGGGTCTCCCCTGAGGCCCGAGGTTTTGGAGGAGCTGAGCAAAGGAGAAGACATGGCGACCAGCTGGAGACCGGGGAGGATTGCCCACCATTGGCTCAGAGATAGGTGGGCTTTAAGAAGGGATGGTTTCGACGAACTTGTGTGGGAGATAAGGGAATGGTGGATATTTCTGCGCCTGTGAGCTACCCTGTGGAAACTGGATCTTTCGAAATAGACCTTCTGGGCAGGAAACTGGATCTTCTTCGACTCCTTACTGGGCAAGCCCGGTCACCCCTCATGGGCCTCGTATTCCCCACCTTCACCCCTCTCCCCCCCCCCCGCCCCCCCCCCATCAAACCACCGAATGGGCTGCTGCAGATGGTAGCAGGTCACCTTCCCTTCTGTGGACCACCGGTGCTTCAAACCCTGCTGAATCCGGCGAATGGGAGTCTGACGTTGAAAATGGAACCCCGACATTGAAAATGGAACTCCGACATTGATAATGTCCATCTCGAATCCAGGGATTGCATGGGAAAAGATAAAAGAGGCAACTTGACGATCAAGGAATAATCAAAGGAAAGCGACCGACGAGTCCTCGTCAGCGGATGGGCCATCTCCGACGGACGGACGGCCTCCGGCTTGCCCAGGCGGTGCCACCCTGACGGCGAGTCCTCCCTTGGTTGGTAGCACAGTCGAGCTACCCGTCTCACATGGCCGAGGGAACCCCCCGGCCATGCTGCCGCCGCCGCCGCCGCTCTTCTCTACCGACCCGCGGGGGGGGGGGGGTGATCTGAACCAGAGCCATATAGTTCCAATTGCGTTGATGAGTCTGAGCTAGTATCAAATTAAAGCAGGCCTACCACGCCGGCATCGCCGTCGTGGATCGGAGCTTCAGCAGCACCACCGTGGGACCAAGAGGAGGGAGACGGCCCGCGAGGGTCCACCCCGAAGACCTACTCGCCGCCCCTCATCATCTCTCTAATGCCCTCCACCGTTTATCTCATCATCCCCTGATCGTGGGTCCTTCCGCAGATCTCCCCCGCTGGGGGCATCGCCCTCCTGCCGACACACCTCGATGAGAAAGATCCAGCGAGGATGGCCATGGAGATGAAGGGGGGAAGCAAGAACGACGCAGCAGAAAAGAGGATTGATCTCTCGGGTGCCAAGGAATCGAAGGAGAGGCTTCTCTATCGGTCGAAGAAGGACCCCCCAGAGCTTGCGTGCTTACACGTTGACGAGGCCCTTCTTTCTTGTCAGAGAAAAACAAGGGGGCGTCGTAGAGGTATTGTATGTGGGTTATCTGACTCTACATTCCTTGGGATCGTAGAGGTCAACGGCCTAGCACACGAGTATGTAGGGACCTGTATCTACAGTCTAGCCGGGTTTAATCCTCCTGGTTTCGCTTATTTATTTACGCGCTGACGGCCTGCTCCCCCTCCTCGAATGGAGCTCACGAGTCCTCGAAGGCGCAGGGCGTCTGCAGCAGGTCGTAGGGGGCCCAGAGGACGTCGAGCGGGCATGGCCGGCCTGCGTCGAGCCGCGCCCACGGCTTCCCCTTGCCGCTCCAGTGCAGCAAGCTCACCGGACCCGGGTGAAGTTCCCGGCACAGGCCGCTGTAATTGTCCCCTCCGAGGCCGTGCTGGTTCCACCGGTGGTCAACGGCGGCGATCCTCCCGGCGAAAACGAGCAGGAATGGCGGCAGCGAGCCCAGCTCGTAGATGCGCATCCGCTTTTGGAGCTCCATCCACTCCTCAATCCGCTCCGTGTAGTCCCCCGCCCGCCACCTGTCGAGGTCGATCACCATGACTCCCGTGTTGAAGTAGCAGGGCTGTCGGTGTCGCCCTTGCGAGAACGTCATAGAGAGGACCGGGTTCGACCAGAAGGAAGGGGTGAAGTAGGCCGTGAGGTTGGCGTTGCAGTACTCGGGCGCCGCCAGCACTGTGTCGGTCTCCGGCAGCCGCGTGGCGGCGAGAGTGAGGATGTCGTCCACCAGAATAACGTCGGAGTCGAGGTAGACGACCCTCCGAGGGCAGCCATCGCCGTCGGTGGGGAGGAGGCGGTCGAGGTAGGAGCGGGCGTAGTTGAGGGGGCTGTCTAGGGCGGCGCGGATGGAGGTGGAGATGAATCCGGCGACGCGGGAGCCGTCGAAGGGGTATATTCTGTACGAGAGGTAGGGAAAGGAGGAGGCGATGGTGGCGTTGAGGTAGTCAACGGCGGAGGAGGCGACGAAGTGGAACTGCACCGACTGGGGGCAGGCGGTGTGGCGGAGCACGGAGAGGATCGCCGCCATGGACCCCCGCAGGTAGACCACGTCCAAGGTCATCGCCACGTGAACCAGCGCGTCGGGGGAGCAGGACGCCGCCGCCGACGGCCTCAGCGCCGCCGGACAGCTCGGCGAGTTGTAGAACTGCGGCGCCTCCCGAAACGTCTGGTTCTTCAGGCTGGAATCCTCATTGTCCGCGGCGGCGGCGGCGAAGCAGATGACGAGCACCAGCAGCTGGGCGAGGCACGATGCCGGCGGCGACGCCATAGTCGGCATTGCTCCTTTGGTAGAGGGGAACAGAAAGAGAGAAGGAGATGGGAAGAGAGAGAGAGAAGCGGCGGTCTCCCCTCCGCCGGCGTTTCAGCTGCTTTAAAGAGGATGGATCGGAAAGGCTCGTATTTTATGTTCGGGTGGGTCGGCCGCCGGGGATATCAAGGAAAGTCAAGGCGCTCTTCCGAAGGAGGGGAAAATACAATAATACCACCCCCCCCCTCATCTTTTTTATTCACCATTTTGTCCTCATCTTTCATTAATTAAATAATTTCTTGTATTCGTACGCCCCACGCCACGATCGACGCCTCAACGCGACCACCACTTCTACGGGAAATTCCTCGCATTATTCAATGCGCTAAAGTTCAACCTGGCATTTGCCTAATTACGTCACTGCCACCGGCGCTTCCCGCCAGCTGCTGTACCCAGCCGTACGCCCCCGACGCGCCGTACATATCAGGACCCTTCCCCATCAACGTGCACGGTGCAGGCGCGTTCAACCCAGCAACGAGGTCTGAGCGCGCCACGAACCCTTACGCCCTCCCACCGACACGAGGCGTAGCGTGGTCGGCAGAAATGGGCTCGGGACACGTGCGGCTGGTCACTCGACAAGCGTGCGAGCGGGATGGGCGGCCGTTGAGCTGTCTCCCTCCGTTCGTCCCCACCTAAACCGCGGGAGTAGATTCCACATCAAGCGAGTCTCTCTCTCTCTCTCTCTCTCTCTCTCTCTCTCTGTACATCGTAGCTTAAGCGTCAAGATGACTGATGCACGCCAGATGTCCGATTTTCAGTGGAAAAGGGACGTGACGTGGGGTGGGCTGTCACGTTGCTCCACAGAAGTCAACGATTTAACTACGCTGATATATCGTTTAAGTTTTTCTATATACTTTCGTTGAATCTCCATGATTTATATATCACCCTTTAAGTTATCAAATATTTGTCGTTATTACTCATCTAGAAGCGGATCTAACTTGATCAGTTGTAATAATATTTCATGGCGATTTTACCCTCAGAGATCCAGATGCGACGGGGATGTTTCTCGCCAATGCCTCCTCTATCCCGTGAGGGCTTTCGTGTCTTTCCCAAAAATTAGATAAAATAAAGGCTACGGCGGCGGGCCCCCCATCTTGTCCTTGAAGACAAAATGACGTGATCGGTACCTTCCAGGGAGTTGTAATAAAATACGAAGTACGGGGGGGGTTTTACGTATGCAACAGTTTTATGGGTGGACCAAACCGTAAAATACCTCTCACGTGTTCACGAGAGACGTGCATCGTTACTGTATAAATGCCATCGACTAGACTCGTATAGTGTTGACTATTATTTAATTACGTCGTCATTAAGGCCTAACTATGGTTTGTGGTTAGTAGTAACCCACCGATTTAAATGGTCCCTCCGAAAAGGAGAAGACGCGTCACTGGAGTTAAGAAGAAGGAACAAGGCAGTGTGAAAGCGTGGCCGAAAGCTGACTATTTGACCAGTCAACATTTAATACCCCACGCCATGTGGAAGATACGAAGGATCCTGCTCCGCTTACGTCCCCATCAGAGCCTCTCACATGCTCTTACTGCCCTCTCCCCTGCAGAAGAACCGAATCTTCCGGAGAGCACGGTCAACGCAGCAGCTGAAGAGACAGAGAGAGGGCCACTCCGACTCCATGATCAGGGGCCCTCCTCTGGCTATCTTCTGTTCTTAGAGCGGCGAGAAACCGAGAGGAAGAAGGCCAGGCCATTGCTCGCCGGCTCCGTTGACTATTACTTCACATGCTGCCTCGGGAGTACATCCTGTTTGACTTTCGATAGCTCCCTCTCAATCTGCCCAACGCTGCCCTTCGACGGAGATCCCACGACTACACCACCACCCGCCACCGGCGAGGAGGGAGGAGGAGGGTGCTGGGTGGCGCCGCACGGCACATGCTGCCTGGCGCCGCCATGTGCAGCGTAAATGCAATGTTGCCAATCCTGCGTGCATGCGGTCAATCCCTCAGTCGTATGGTAACCGCTGTCTACTCTTCTTCCCTCCCATTAATTGACTCAGACCAGACCGAAAGCAAGAAGCCAAACCCCGCCGCCAAGATCTCACAGCCCTGCAGTCTGAAGAGTGGAAAGACGTTGGTGTTGACTGGTTGGGTTTATGTAGACTCTCTGAGAGCCAGCTCAGCTCCGCGTGGACAAGGGATGGGGTGGTAAAAAGTGGTAAAAACAGCTGGATAAATCGTAAATTATCTACTGAAAAAATCTAGAAAATAATTATTTAAATATCAGCAGCGTTTGACCATGAGATGTCTCCATTTTCTGTATCATCAAAGTAACTATTTTCGTTTATCTTATTATTTCATATTTTCTAAAAAATAAAAATTCAATATCCACCATACAACCTAAAACCCTTGGACCATATGGTTAAACAGGGCATATGGGGATATAGCCTGCGAATATTCTCCCTCTCTCTCTCTCTTCTTTCTCTTCTCTATCACGTTGTGGAATATGTTAGCTGGTCGGGCCTGCAACCGACAAGTGGAGCCCTGAAACGGGCCGGGCCGACTGACATTAAGGAAAGCGTTGGCCCATTAGACAATGTAATCGAGATGCGGCCCACTTTGGCGCGAGCCAGCCAAAAGGCGAGGTATCTGACACTCGGAGAATCTCTTCAGAAGGGATCTTTGACCTGGGGCATATATTTTTCAAATTAATTTATGCAGATATTTCGTAAAAAGTCAAGAAGCCTACGTGGAGGGGCCCATTTGTGGGGGTTGACTATCCGAGGAGGCGCCGCCGGCAAGATCTAACACGTGGAAGTTTTGAAGGATTTTCCCGTGCGAGACAACAGACTACAGGTAAACACTACCCAGTCAATCGGCTCGCGATTTCATTATCGGTTTCGGATCCAAAAGGAAAGTGACTGTTTTGATAATTGGACCCGCCACTTTTACAACGACCGGCAGACGCCGCCGCCCTGAGGCGGCAGACGTAATCCAACTCGACGTCTCAGTGAGAGATTGGACGGATTGACGTCATACATCCACCAATAAAATCGACCTGTTGTCGCTACACGGGGAACTCGTGCATTCGACGGAAGACGAGATTCCGCGGCGGAAAATCCACGGTCATGCGCGTTCCACGCAACAACAACCTCGTCTCTTCCCTACCTCTCCAATCTCTCTCTCTCTGTGTCTCTCTCCCTTTGCGGGGTTCATTTATCTTGTCTGAGGAGAACAAGTACTTGCTGGACCTCGAGGCATGGCGCCGAAGCTGTAGATTATCCGGTGCCGATGCTCCACCGACAATAGGTGGGAGGTGGGTCGTCGGAAGAGACGGAGGAGGATGGGGGGAGGGATGGTGGTGGCGTACTGGTTGACGGAGCACCCGGCGATCGTAGGATTCCGGTGGAGCCACTCCCAGTCGTGGGGTTCAACCTGGTACTTCCTCGTCTCCTCCATCGCCGCGTACCTCTCGGCGGCGCTGGCTCTGCACCTCCTCCTCCGCATCGCCGGCCGCCGCCGGCCCCTCCCCCTGGGTCCTCTCCCGGCGGTGCACTCACTATCCATGGCCCTCGTCTCCGCCGTCATCTTCCTAGGGACCCTCCTCTCCTCCGCCGCAGAAATCCGCGACACCCACTGGTTCTGGCTCAACCGGCGCACCTCGCAGCTCACCCACCCACTACAGTGGCTCCTCTGCTTCCCCCCGGGGACCCGCCCCTCCGGCAGGGTCTTCTTCTGGTCTTACGCTTTCTACCTCTCTCGCTTCCTCCACTTGCTCCGGTCCTTCTTCCTCATCGCCCGCCACCGCGGAGACGACGGCGACGACGGCAGCGGCGGTGGCTCCCTCTCCCTCGCGCGGCTCCTCTCCAACTACTCCATCCCCGTCTGCACCTCCTTCCTCTTCCTCGAGTTCTCCCAGTCCGTGCAGGTGATGACCATCCTCTCCACCACCCTCTCCTCCCTCGTCGTCTACGGCTACCGCTTCTGGCTCGGCGTGGGGCTGCCGTGGGGGGTACCCTTCCCGGCGGTGCTTGCGTCCTGCCAGGCCATGTTCGTGGCCTGCACCCTGGCCTGCGATTTCGGCGTGCTCCTCCTCCATTTCTGCAAGGGCGGCTGCAACGGCATCGGCGCATGGGTCTTCAACTCCCTCCTCAACGCCGCCCTCTTGCTCCTCTTCCTCCTCAAGTACAACGTGAAGGGCCGGCCTTGCTGGAGCTGCGTGCCGTTCCCCAAGGACGACCGCTCCGCCTCCCGCCGCCCCCTCGCCGCCGGCGACAACTCCACCACCGTCCTCAAAGATCACTAACCGAACATACTGCAGGAACACCCCCTCCCCCCCCCCTCTCTCTCTCTCTCTCTCTCTCTCTGTTGTCCAGTAGTGGACACGCCTTGCACCAGCTACGAGGATTCCCTTGCCAATTAACACGGAAATGTGAAAATACTAATAAACACGGTTTCCTCGACAGATTCCTTGCAGATAATCGGTGCAGTCAGAGCAGAGCATACGATCACACTTAAAAGAAAAAAGGAAAACATTCTAGTTGCAGGCCCACGGAAGAGGGTGAAGATTAGGGTTTTTTGGAGGGTTTACGTCCTGCTAGCTGTTGCCCATCTTCTTCCTCCCGAAGCAAACACTTGCAGGGGATTCCTGCAGACTTCGTGGGCAGTTCTGAAAGTACCAGAGGCTGAAGAAGCTCTGCGTACAAGTTCTCTCAGCTGGGAAGCTGATGATTCCGCTTCAGGGAAAATCAGAATGATTTACATCGCTTCTTGTGATTAAAGGTTCACAACCCTGAAAGAACCTGCAGCTCACTAAATCTGCTGTGAATTCAGCGTCTGTAAGTAAATTGAGCTATCACTTTCGGACTCGAGTTTAGGAGCAGCAGCTGTCCGGAAAGACGATCAACGAGCCTCAGTCCGCTATGGAGAAAACCCTTCCTTCGATCGGGGTAATGACTGGCCATTTCACCCATTCGAGGATGCCTATAACCTGTAAGAGAATCTTATCTATCAGACGGAAGGAAAGAAAAGAAAAATTAATAATCTTAATGCCAAAGAGGGGGAAAAGAAGAAGAAGAATGATTACCGCTGGGTGTATCAACCGAGTTCATGGATCGGTTATCAAGAGCTCAATGTCAGCTCCCACTTGGGCAATCTCTGCCTCCTGAGATGCCTTCGCGGCCTCTGCTATGGCTTTGACATCAAACCCAATGGCAATGGATTTCACCAGCCCGCTCAGCATCTGTTTCCAGAATTATGATCAAGGAAAGCAACGAGCATGGAGCAGTTGCACAGCAGGTACCGCAAGCTATGATTATATATATAGAAACCTCAGAAACTCCAGTCAACCATGTCCCCAAAGAAAATCGATCGATCCAACACAAAGGATAAAACCTGGAGGTCAAACACAAAGGATCCAACACAAAGAAGAAGAATTTGGCCAAATTAATCCGTACACAGTCAATTGCTTTATGTGATAAGAAACCAGGCTCACTGTCTTGAGTAAAACGTAGAGCAGCATTCTCAGCAGCCTGGAGGACATCTCTCCAGAAACCTCAGAAACTCAGGTCAACAATGTGATGGGTTGACTATTCTATGTTCCTTTGACTAAAAGACAAGCCAGCTCCTAAGATCCCAACAAAAGCCAGATTCATGCAATAGTTGACCAAAGCAAAGTATGAACACCATGGCTGATCTACATGGTTGGATTCGAATGAAAATAGATAAACAGCGCAGACTGCCAGAGCACGGAGGATGGAGGCCATACGCATCAAAATGTGAGACACCAGAGCAGCCAATTAGCATAAATCTAAACGAAGGAGAGGAAATCTTGATATAAACATAATAACACTGGTAAATCCGAATGAGAATGCAAGATAACCGGGTGAAGACATGGCATTCTAGTGATGCTTCACTCAAGGATACAAGTGATCCAACGGCAACAAGAGATCTAAATCTTGAGACGACATCTTGGTTGACATCCTCTGCAACCTGAAAGAGTAATCATCTTACTGATTATAACAAAGAGACTATTGCCAGCGCACAAAGCCAGATGGCGTCGTGCCATTTGTTTAAAACCGACGATGAAGATTTGTGAGAGCACTAAACAGCACATCCCAGGAGGAACATACGTTAGAAACAGAAATGTTAGAGGTGATGGAATAATGCACATCGAACACAACGTACATCTAGAGCGGCCGACAGAATCTGAGCTTGACCTTGTTGATCCTTGATGTCGATCAATAGAACGGCATAACTTTAAAAAGAAAATAAATAATTTTTCAGAACGATTGGTGAATTTCGGCTTCTTAAACAGCCTACTTCCTTCAAGACAGAGTTTCGACTATAAATGACAATTAGTAAAAGATCCATAAAAGACTTACTTCAACAGAAGAGTGGAGTACGATACATAGATGTTCTTGTTAAAATATTGCTTGCAACTTGACAGCACATCAATAATCTGAAAATTTGAGGAGAAATTACCCAAGACTGATCAAGTTTCCAACAAATTATCAGACAAAAGCTTTCCTAATTACAGTACATAAAAAACGAAGATTTAATAACTTCCTTTTAATTATGTCACGAGAAGAGCAGATCCAAATCTCCTGGTTCCATACCATGCCATTAGGTTCTTGAAAGCATCCAAGTTTAATTGAATGCTCATTTTTCTATCCTATATCAAATAAAATAATAGATAGCTTGAACTTATTAAGTACTGAAAACATCTCTAGCTGATGTCACACGCAGCAACTTCTGACCTTCTACAGAAACCTGAACAGAGGTGAACATCTAAGGGGTGAGCAAGTAATTACGACGCAAGATGAGAAATGAGGAGAGATGGGGAGGAATTAAAAATTAAGAATCTTTTAACAGTCAGGGCATTTTTCTCGATGATGAAGACCTATGCCTACAAGAACACACATATCAGGGCAGTTGGAGCATCCCACAAGCCCCTGCCCTACATAAGGCACCAAAGAGTGTTTAGCCTAATACCTACCTTCGTGAGGTAGAATCCCAGACCAGCAAGGCCTAGGGGAGGCATGCCAGTTTTTTTAAAAAGATATTATGAAAAATAATTGAGGATCGAGAACTCAGTGACACAGATGACATTATATAATACAAAGCTACATAATCAAATAATGGGATATATACAAATTAGACGATCTTCATCTTCTTATTCACAAAAAAGACTAAAAGGAAGTTATCCTTATCTCATAATTTATAAAAACTATTATCAATAACCTCCTAAATATTTGGAAGTGAACAAAGTATTGCATTTCCAGTTACCATTGAGAACCATGAAAACAGCACCATAAACTGATGACACAGAACAACCAGTAAACACACGAAGAAAGGGAATATGGGATATGTTGTGGAATACCACTCTATATACAGGCATACTCCACTGTTCATCTCACTTTAAAATTTCACTACAAGCAATGTATATTTTCTGAGCACATATAAGCAATGAATGGACCTCACCCAATTTTAGATCAGCTATGATTGATTACACCCCATCACCCATTTCTGTCGTAAAGAATCATTCAACTGCAGATTTTTTTTTATTCATCCGACTCGTTCATGCGGTTGCATTCTCATAAGCCTCCAGGCACATATTTTAAAAAGAAGGCCCAAAGCCTAATAAGAGAGTAAAGGTCAGCATTACTTAAGCAGTTATGGCAAGGAGCAGTTATGGCGAGGAGCAGTTACTTAGGTGAATAACTGCCTAAATAAGGCGGAGGGAAGTTATACCAAGGAGCAAGATATAAGGAGCAAGGGAGGAAGGAATGGGGGGGAGAAATCGGTTGTTTTGTGATCTTGGATCAACAAGAGTGTTTGGGGGTTTTGGATCGGGAGTTGTATGCGACTCTCCAGTCTGTTCCTGGTTCCACTGTCTCTGTCTCTTCATTTTCATCAAATAAGACAAGTTTGTCACTCTCTGATTTTAGATCTTATCACATTCCCGGTCAGTTTTGGAAGGACTTTACAAGTATTTTAAAAAGAATGTTCTGGAAAACTCTCCTAAATATATCTCATCCCTTAGAGAGCAGAAAATCACAAAATGTTACATAACAAGAATTCAAACATACTAGGACAGTTCGCCATCCTTACCGTGCTATATATATGGATTCGTTAAGCAGTCTCGAACAATTCTAAGAAATGCAACACAAAATCCTTTATGGCAACTATCTAAGGTTTAATAGTTGATGGAAAACTATTTTATCTTTGTCCAGTTGTTTAAACAAGAAAATGAATGGGAAAAGTTAAGTTTTTAAAGTAAAAAATAGCAACTAAACTCTCGACTTCTGACATATTTGATAGTCTAAATTTCAATTGACATGAAGGCCTTCTGAGAATCACATTCAACACTGGAGAGTTTGAACTTCAGCAGACAAGTACGATGGGAAAAGGAAAACATTGAAAAATTGTTTTCAGTGCTCAGTATGCTACTGGTCTCAATGGGTATGCTTTTAGCGGTACTATATGATATAGATACTATTCAAAATAAATAAGTATGCACAAATTAGGAGGTACAACACTCTCTGGCAAGATTTAATTCCAGTACTGGAAAAACCTAATAAACAGGCAGACAAAAACTGACCTCACTGTGATGGAGGTGCAACCACTTATGGAAACGGGAATGCTTGAAGAGGTTTGAAATAGCCCTAGTGATTGTTAAAAGATTTGATGCCAAAACAGGGGACACCGTCACCTTCCTAAACATCTCCATCAGTATATCTGCAGTAGGGCATGGAGCACCAGTTATTCTAAACACAAAACTTTTAGAAGATGAAGCAAAATAATCACAAAGCAGGCCCTACAATGATCCAATATCTTTCTAAGAGCAATAGGTTATTAGTGAAGCTAAAAAGCAGAAAGTATAGCAGACTCTTGAACGAAAATATATCCATGTTACTTGTACGTCATTTACCATTTCCCTCATCAACGTGTTTGAGGAGTAAACCCATTCCTTCAGGATGCAAAATGAATACCCTTAAAATGTCAATAACTGCCAAATAACATACCATGTCAGTAAAGAAAAAATTATAAATGACAAATCACAGAAAAAAAAATGAAACACAACCTCTGCATAAATTGTCATTGATGCTAGTAGAAACAATTAGGCAATCAAATGACTATTGCATCACCTACTATACAACTGCGACAATCGTTAATATATAATTCGGGTATTTTGGTGGTCAGTGGAAAAAATAGTCTACAATTGGAGCCCCTAAGCTTGCTGGGGACTGAGAACTAACTTTTGTGTGAGTTTTGGGTACATATTCTCGTGGTTAATGGTAAAGCTCCTTGGAACATAAACATCAAACAACTAGACAGTTACTAAACATACTAGTATTAAACATTTTGATCCCAAACCATTGAACGTCCGGGTAGTAATTTGAATTATAATAGCGTAAGAGAACCAAATCAGGAATTCTGAACTAGAAGAGGAGTACAAATATTGATAAAACTTATGATCTCAACCGATGAACAGTTCAAGCTGTTCATTGACATATTTAACACAACACTGAATCTGTACAGAGCTCAGATGAAAGAAGATTCATAGACCAGATTAAAAACTAGATATTGAATGAACACAAGGAATAAAGAATTAAAGTTCAACAGAATTTCGCGGTGGACAATGGATAACTACCCGGAAACAACATTGACAGGGGCCAAGACCGCAATATTTTCACCAGTAAAGCGAGGTCACTGTCCGCAAATGTACTGGTGTGGTATCTGGACGTTTCTTTCAATGCTTTGACAATGGCAGAAAGCCTTGACACCTCCAATTCACTTAGTGACAAGCCTTTCTGCACCTGCATACAATTTTGTCGAAAAAGTTTTCAACAAAAATTCTAGCCTAGATCCAGAAAAATTATTGGATATCAACAAAACCTACAAAGAAAGTACAAAGAATGGTCACCAATAAAGTATTTCGTTTTCAAATTTAGCTAATTCTAACAGCTGGAAGTATGTCTAGGAACCTCAAGTTTAAAAACAATTATATTCAAATAAAATGTTTTCAACACTTTGGAAATACTTTTTCAATCCGAATGCAAGATATTCAACTAGCCAAGGGCACTTACAGAGTCAGAAAACAGAGAATTGTTGAATTCTGCAACCTTTTTAAGAATCCCTTCAAACTGAGCAACATCAAATAAAAGCATCCCTCTCTGAAACATAAAACAGGGAGGATTTAGGTTTCGATCCTGAAAAGTAAATTCAAACTAAAATTGATAATCTTGATGGTCCTAGAGAAAAAGAAGACGAAAAGTAGACTAACCCATAAAAAAATAAACCGCAGAAATTCTCTGCAAGAAAAATTAAAAGAAAAACATAATTTTTTTTTCATATTTTCATTTCATGAACTACTAGGAAAACGAAAATTGACACAACTTAAGTGGTCGTTTTTTAAACAATAATTAAGATAAAAGACTCAGTTTGCCCATTTTTGTTGCGGCATAATTAGGTATTAAAATCATTCGACAATATAAGTTTGATGCAATGAGAAAGTATAAGATATAACTTAATTATATAAAAGCATGAGCAAGCTTTGTGCAATAAGACAAATAGATTTGATGCAATGAGAAAAAAAATCGCAAGAGGAGATTACCTTTGGTATATGCTTGAAAGTAGGCCTCGTTGAATTCTGTACTGCAACTAGTAAAACAAGAGAATCAGATAAAAGATGCCTTAGGCTAAGACACATGAGAAGAAGACATGAAATGAAGAAATTTTAGAAATAGTATTGATTTAAAAATGTGAACAATCTACTAAAGAACACACTACAATCTGAGAAACCAATAGAAAGGACATACCTACAGGAACGGAGGGTTCTCTTCTAGAGGGTCCTCCAGGTACATATGCATTAGCTGAAGATATCAGAAATCATACATAATGATCAGCAGTCAGATAAAATGAAGCGTAAAGCATTTCTGGCGCACTTTCATCAGATTAGAAGATTGCGATATTTACCCCCTGTGTAAGGATCTCGAAATGAAGGATCAAACGAAAAGTCACGTTGTCCTGAATTTTGCATGATAAAATCTACGATTTGTTGACGAAAAGAAAGAGGTAGGTCTTCCTTCAGAAGCCAGTTATCAGCTGTAGTGTAAGGATTATCTGGAAATAGCAATAATAGTATGCGGAAGCTAATTCAGAATGCAAATCAAAGATAGATCATTCAGTAAAGTGATAATAATGCAAACTTCAATGCTAAAAGGATGTTATCGTTGTGCAGAAGATAAGAGATAAGACACTGATGGACTAAAAAAGAAGAAGAAAGAAACATACAGCCAGTGACGAGAATAAATGCAATTGGCAGGTGGGGACAATTGGTAAAAATGTTTATTGAAAAAGGCAAAGAGCAGAATTAAAGTGCTGGGAGAGAAGCTTACATTGTAGAAATTCATGCATCTGCTACTGTGGGGAATATAGTGAAGAGGGAGTTCAAATGCACTGGTCTTGCCAAACTTTGAAAGGTAGTGATCGCCAAAGTTTTGATTTCAATATTCAAAAGAATCTTAAGATGGGAGGGGAAGGGATGAACAATGACATAAAACATCAGGGGTAAGTAAGGATCTGATGGAGCATATTTAGGGATAGAAATTGCAAACCTTGGAAGCATAAATTTAAAGATCAGTGAAAAAGAGTTTCGAGTGTGTAAGTCACTGAATTTGGAAATAAATCATCACAGATGCATCTTATATTTGCGTCTCAACACACAGTTAATGCACTGTTTTAAAAACTTCTCTGTCAACATATGACAAGCTAAAGTAGATCAGAATAACATGGACAGACAACTGGGGCAGACGAAACACTAGAAATTATTATCTAATAATTTTAAAATTACTCCAGCCTGTCAAACTGAGTGGGTGTATTTCTGAGGTCACGTCATATTTGATGCAATCACAACATATAACCGGTGCCATAAGGAAAGCTGGTCACTTACCTAAAGCGTATTACATACATCCGACATTTTTTTTCTGAAAGTAGGTGCAGGGACAGTGAGGGTAGTAACTTCAATACAGAAAAATTGTGAAACTTGAAAATATGAATATATTGACAAGTTTATAATACATATTATTCAAAGAGAGTTCAAAGAATCTTTTTTCATGGGAATTTTACTAAAATAATGCGATGTTACAGTCCAGAATCTGATTACTTCTGATCACTCTGGAACATCCCCTACCTGGCTTCTTACTTTCAAGGTAAATACAACAGCATGGAAAGAAATGAAAGGAGGACCAGGTCCTGTGAGGTCAATACATAAATGAGCCTATGCCAGATGAAGCGTCTAGGATGATTGTGAGTAAAGTTGCCAGTTCCATTCGCCTAGACGAAGGTATGATGATAAGAGATTGATCAGAGAAATCCAATGCGTGAGCACTAGTTCAAGTTATTTTGCAGCAAAGGGGACATGACAGAGAGGAAAATAAAATAGACAATCCAAGATTTCTCGCAAAATGATGGGTGGTTTTTGGCATCAGAGAGAGAAGGAGAGAACTATGGAATTTTTTCAATGGTTAGAAAATTTCAACCGATAGGATTCGCTTCCAAGAGACTATGAGCGAGTTTAATCCATGGTTTATTCTAAGCATGAGGAGGGAGATAAAAGCATATGTTGCCAACTTGATTCTAGAATGGTAAGGAGAAGACAGACAAATAAGCGTAATTATAGACCTTTCCTCATCATGCACTCAAATCAGACACTCCCCCCAGATATGCAGACCTGATACCAATCCTAACTAGATTGGGAATGACTGATCCAAACACCTGATCTAATTCCAAGTTACATTGGCTTCTAGAAGGTAGAAGAGGGATTTCAAGACTAAGATATGGAAGCACAACGGAAAATTTCAAGGCCCGACAGAGTTTTCTCTTTAGAGGGAAAGAAAAATGTGAAAAGACATCATGTGACAGAAATTTTAAATGCACATACACACGGGAAAAGGACAAGGCTACGTTTCAGAAGTTGAAGCAATATGTAGTTAATAGGCATAAGCATGACTGTGAACTTAACAAGGCATATTCCTGAGCAATAAAATCCACAAAGACTAATTTGAAATGAAACTACTAGATGAGCATTGGAAACCAGGGATGTAGCGTGCATAATATATGTTTCGACCGCATGCATTTACTTAAACGCCATTTCATACAGGCAGGCCACGTAAAGATTACGTAGGCCTTCTATATACACTCCCATTGGCAATTTAGGCAATACACAGAAAAAGTTGAACTATTCAGATATAACAGTCATTCCATCATAAGCTACTTCAAGGAATAACTGGACGAGCAGTAGTCAGAAGCGCGATGAATCATCATATTTTACCACTTTCAATCATGAATCAGACAATTTAGCGATCATAAAAGTTGATGGAGAAACTGAAGATATGGAGGAAGGGAACTTACTGCCAGAGTGGCTATACTTGACTATTTTCTGGTGGAATTAAATAGTTGCTCAAAGAAGATAAAGCTCAGACAAATTGAAATACACACGGAAAAAAATACTGAAAAGGTGAAATCAACGGAAGTATACGTTGAGAAAAAAAGATTGAAAGACTATGAAGGAAATGCGAGACTAGTTCTCATGTGGTGATATGGAAAATGAAAGGAAAAAAATCAAGATAGAAATTTTGTCGTGATTTTTCTCTCTGAGCAATAATTGCCCCATCTCCCATCAGGGTCGCTATTTTGACAATGCCTTTCTTCACATTTTGAACTCCAAGTCATTCGATCAAAGCGAAAAAACTGGCAGAGAGATACTATCAGCAGACTTGAAGGTTTGAGTCCGTTGCACTAGTGCTGTGAGATACAAACCTTAAGGGACTATCCCATACCAAGGACCCAAAACATTAATTTAGATGATGATAATTTAAAGTAGCATTTTTCAATGGCATTATAAAGTTGCATTTGCTAACATGAGATGAAAATTCTACACATGTCTACGTTTCTAAAACAAATATCTTCATTAATGCATACTAGACCTTGGCATGGAGGAAACTTCAAGTGTGGCCTATTTTGACATCTATAGACTTGCATGTGTAAAGCGTCTTCAATAAGTGCAACCGAAACAAGAATTTGTGACAGATTTTCAAGAAAGTAGCATCCCTTCTGCAGAAAATTTAAAATTCTGGTGAATAGAGAAACCTGATCTATTGTATGGCAATTTCCGAATTGGCTCACCATCTCCAATGTCAACATCAAAAACTGCAACACAATGGAAAGTTTGACAAAAAATTAGCAGACAAAAGGGATTAAATGAATACCATAAAACTGAAACAAAAGCCCCCTACCATAATCATACGCAACACCGTCATGCATTGCACGATTGGTATTTCCCTCAGGCCCATCAACAACTTCCCCAATCTTAAATAAGGAGAATAACGACGAGGATAAGTATTGTAACCTTTAAATCAGAGCAGGACATAAATGAACGCTATTGTCTAATTAAAAAAAGTTCGTACTTTATCCCACTTGGTTTCTATGGAGTTCCATGAATAGGCTACGCCATTATCCCCTTCTCTAATAACCGCTGTCTGGCCATCATGCGTGCCTGAATTGTAAAGCAAACAAGTATGAAAAAGGAGGAGCAGATGGAGAATGCTGAAATTGATACAAGCAAAATCTTCAAACAGACACCTAACAAGAACCCAAATGTTCTCACGGTCATCTATTGATCACCTTCGCAGCACTTATTCCAACAGAAAAAGTGGTCAAAAGCTCTTTAAGACAGACAAGTTTGTAGCATAAGACTGAAGGTGTGCACAAGTGCGGCCTTTTATCATAGCATTTAAACGTAAAAGAAATATTTTCCATTATAGAAGAAGACTAAACGGGGAAAATACAAATTTAGGCATTATAAGTGAGAATTTCAAAAGAGACAATTCTGGGTGAAGGATCAGAAAATCAGGATAGTTCTGCGATTGGACCAAGTACAGCAGAATCCAATCCTTCAGTGTACTCTAACTCCAAATCGAGACAATCGATTTAGCAAACCATATTTAGCAACTAGTATTGCAAGTGAGTGAGAATCCTTGTCATGCCCATGTTCAGAACATATCAGGCTAGCTTGGATGTGTAAGGGCTTACCCTTCCCACAAAGAGTAGTGAGGAGTATATGGGATAAACCCATAACATAATGACCATTAGCACTAAGCTAAATATTCTAGAAAGATAGAAATGAAGATAATTCCATTTACTAGTAATGCAACCTCCGTTGAAACTGGGAAATGATAATCAGCATGATAACATTAAGAACCACGTCCCTATAGATATTAAAGTGGTTGGATTAAGACGGCAATAGATCAGGAAAATCGAAGGGGATAATGTACTGCCGTTGCTCTTGCTCATACTGCACATGGCCCTTAGAGCTTTTTGAAAGGTACAGAATAGCTGTACTTTTGGGAGTGTGTGCAGTTTGGTGGATATATTCCGTTTTTGTTCAATTTCCTGATGTGAGAAAATTGGCAAGAGTTTTTGTGATGCAAGGAGTGAGGTCACCATCTTGAAAATGATCAATTCTTAGATGAAATACATGCTCCTGGCGTACACTTTTTGGCTCTGTATAGAGAGCTTTTTTACTCTTTCCAGAGCCGAATATATATATGGATGAATATCTTCGTCTTTTTTTTCTCGTATACACCGTACATCCACCTTTTCGTTTTTCCAAAAAAACTCCGTTGAGAAATGATGAGAATAAAATGGTAGGAAATTCAGATAAACATCTTCAGAATGAAGGAATAGTTTGATTGTGCAGAAACACACAATGATGAATCATATTAATACTTCAATTAGAACACGAGTCACCTAATTCAGTAGCAAATAATCGTCCAACAGGTTCCATTCTTTTTACTCTTTATCGGTTTTTTGTGAATGTCTGACGGCTGTCTAATATAACACCATGGCAATCTCTTTCTTTCTGTTTAGATGAGCACACACGAATTTTGTGCATGAACAATAGGCTCAGTGATCATCAAAAAGATGAATTAAGAAACGATCTCCACCAGTGTTGTGATTCTGGGTTATTTGGATTTTGCTTTGCAGGAGTCTCTTTGATTTTAATGTCTCCTGGGACCATTCAAATAGTTTCATCAAATGAAGCCTACAAGAAGCATTCTAAAGACTGTTGAAATTTGCATCCTCCCAGTCAGAAGGAAGTGTTCATCCGAATTTATTTGTTCTGATTCTAAATTCATTTTCATGAAAAACAGAATGTGATTTCCATCAAAACGATATTGACAATTAATTTTATAAGAGCCATTTTTAATATTTTTAATAGTCATTTTTGCTTTTGTACAAACACTTCCAGTACAACCATTTCAACATTTCAACTATAACTTACCTAAGACAACAAAAACGGTGAGAAGAAGAAGATATATTCTACTTGATATCTGGATCAAATTTCAAAAGAAATACTAACAGAAAGATGATTTACACAACAAGTATGAAATATGCAGTGAACAAACCAGGAATCTGCAAGGCCTCCAACCCAGGAAGATCCACCAAGTTCAATCCACCAACCTTCTTCCTAAATAAATAAAGGACACACATCAAGAAAAAATATGATGAGAAGATGAAACAATGTCACTGTGCCATAAAAAAGATATTACTGTATTTGGTAGAGGCAATGGCTTTGTGTATAGTGGACTAGAGGGAGGAATGTTTCCCCAAGTCATTCTAATTAGACGTCTAAGAAGGTGAAACTTCCCTTACAAAGTTTACAGGATAAGCCACATGCTATCTTTGACAATGTTGTGCTATTTCACTTCTCAAGGAGAAATGGAACAAGATTGCTCGATATTTTGCACATTGTAAATTTGTAACAACAACGACCACTTTCTCAAAATCTGTACTTCAGAAGTAAAGGTTGCAAAATTTTCCCAAGGAAAATATTGAACATAATATCCAAGAGACCAGAACCAATTAAAATTTTTTATGCATAACGTGTTGTGAACTTGAAATCGTGCTATAGAAGTAGTAGGACAAGGTCTAATAGAAATCGTCAACAAGGTCTTAAAATTGAATAGTAGGAATCTGTAAGGAGGCCAATATAAAGGCTTCTACACTCGCCCACCCCTAGTTACAATATCTGACAGTCTGTTTTCCCGCCACATTCCACAACAGAGGTTTCAGACCCTTGAGGCTTTGACACAACAAGTACCACATCAGTAGACTAGCATGTAATAGTCCCATCGTTAGGTGGAGGCCCTCGTAGTAATTTTCATTAGAAGGCCATGCCATTGGACTTCAGAAAGCCTCAAGTCCATTAAGAGTAATTTCAGAAAAAAAAAAATTATAGTAGAGCTCTATGTTTCCTTAAACCTTTTACAACTTACTGAAGCAATAGAATTTTAAGTGTTTATAAATACGTATGTTCTTCTGAGAGTATTCTTCATCATTGAAAAGAGGATGCAGGTAGCCCGGTTTTTTCAAAAAAAAATAGACAGGGAATAATTATAAAATAAAATTAAAAAAGTACAAGCCAAGAGTGAGATCCATGAGCTCTTAAAGAACATCATATACATCAGTTATATACGAAAACTGAAAACACAATAGCAATCCCAAAATAACCGACTGTTCTTTCCTCAATCCACACTAATCTCACTCAATACCTAACTTTCAAACAAATCTACTTTTTAAGGTTTGTAGCAGTTTTCCTTCTAGAATGTATATTTCTCTATCCATCCAAGTAGCCCAAATGGTTGCATGTAAAATATGCGACTAAATCTTCCAATCGTCTTTTCTTGTATAACGTCTGTTTCACCTAAGTCAAAGCTTATCAATGTGACTAGGGTAATGCATATCTAATTTACGGTATAAAAGCTATTTAAGATCTTGAGAGACGGATACCAAGTTTATTTGTACTTTTCTCTTCTTATTTCTCCACTATGATCATAGAAAAGATTTACCACGGAACGTTGAGATATTCTCAAAGTTTACACCTTCAACATTGCTATTTCATTTAGAGGACCCCAGTTTACTTTTTCTCCATTGTGATAGGAAACTACACGTGAAGCTCCATTGATTTGACATTTTCTTATTTAAAATAGGAGAATGTTACTCCTGCACTAGGTAGGAAAAATCCAGCATTCCCTAATGTGGGTTACAGAAGCCTACAACCCAACTGAATGATCCAGTTTTGAAGATTCAGATTCATAGTTGACTTCCTGAATGAAGAAACTTAATGAGCAGCATTTCTTAATTTTAACAGATATTCTAGTCATCATGAACTCCCACAAATATTTTGGCATATGAATGCCCTGGACTCAGACAAAGGCAAAGAAAGGATCATACATACAACCTAACTAATTAAGAAAAGCTTTAGTTATGACGATAATGAACCCACTAGATTATATATGGAAACAGCTACATTCTCAGAAAGAACACACCTGCTGGCTTTGTACTGAGATATCTGAGACACATAAGCTTCACGCTCTGTTTCCTCCGAGTACCTCTCATTATGTGACGTCCAGATACGTGCAGTTCCATCAGAACAAGCGGTTATAATATCTCCATTGTCCAAGAATTTGACATCCCAGACACAACCAGGATGCTCAATGCTCTGTATGCAAACACCATCTGATTTGCAAAAAGATATCCTAGTTAAAAAATGACCATAACAAAAAAACATTATAACGCAATACTTTACTGATTACAAAGAGACGACTTGGCAAAGGCAAATTTCATTCAACGCAAGTTACTGCCATAATTAAAATTTAAAATATATTTATTTAATCAATCTGTTCTTTTCAATTCACAAGATGACCAGACCATTTGCAATTGTTGAGCCAGTTTCTCAATTCAAATAAACAGGAGCATTATGTAGTAGGAGAGAAACTCATTAGCACAGTCAGATGACTCCTATGCAGTTGCGGAAATGAATGGAATTGGAGTTCTAGTTATATGGAGTAAGCCTTGGTAACCCTGCAAAGGAAGCGAGAGAGTGAAAAATGGTTGCTTCTAGAGAACCCTATTCCTTCCATTAAAAAAAATGTAAAAAATAATCGCCAAAAGGTTTTTTAGTTAAAATAACAGTGCATTCCCACATGAAACTTAGCTATTTCCCAACTCGTCTGGACTTTATTCAACGTGAAGAGGATATTTCAGAGGATTCTTCCCAGCTCGAATATGCAGAGACTACAATCAAGGAGATACTCCAACCTGCTAACTACTGCTGACGTTGTAACATGCTTGATAGATCTTTCTCACTAGCAGTAAAATGAGGCATGTGGGAAACGAAAGTGCCCTTTCAGAATAAAACTATTTATGCCGATGCTTTCACAAAACGTCAATGTAAACGAAAGCGCCCTTTCAATGATAAAATGCTCCGGCCTCAACGAAGTAGCAGATGTGAAAGAAAAATAGTGGGCATAAAGGAAGTCAGAGATTATCCACTAGTGACGCAGCACTAATTAGAGAAATAGCTTCCCTAAATATATCTGCAATGCAAATTAAAACAAAAGGCAAGCCACAACAGCAGATCAAATATTCAATTCATCCTAAAATTATGCTGACAACTAGTAGTAAATTTCCACATAGAAACAAGGAAATTACCTCTCCATATTTTCAAAAAACGATCTTCACCACCGCTAGCAATGAGCCCAGATTTATGTGCATCCACAGAGTAGACAAGGGAAGCATGTCCAACCAACTCCATTAAGACCTCACCAGTCAAAGCCCATAACCTAATTGAGCTGTCGTCAAGCAGACATGGGAAAATTAAAAAACATTGTTAGAAAATCACAGGGGATGTCCAGGATTGATGGATGAATCTGGAGACAGGAATAATCTGGTGAGCCAAATAACCAAAATCTATCTCAGGAGAAATTTCTTCGAGAAAATGCAATAGAAACAGCTCACCCATCATGTGATGCAGAAAGAATCCCGATGTCAGACATCATTGCTAAACCTCGAACAGTATCTGCAGGCTTGATCATGTGAGTAACATTAGTATTTATCATTACACACTTTCTAAAGTGGAAAAAAATAAAATTTCAGACGGCCATTAATCTAGAAGTAACATTAATCTACCAGTGACCATAAGCTCAGTTTCCATGAATCAGATGATAAAAATAAATAATAATGATTTGAAGAAAAATAATGCAAAATTTAAACGGAAATGAGTCAGTTGGATTTTGTTGTAAGGTATGCAAGAAGGATCAAGATATGGAATTCTCAAGTCAGATCAAAGCACACTCACATTGAACTCCTGAAAAATCATTTCAAACATACAAATGGCAAATTAAGAAAATGAAAAATGACATTTCGTTTAAGATAAAATGGGCAATGAATGAGATTGGCTACTTGATGAATTGATCAATGGCACCAAAATATGCAAGTTGAAAGTGCATCAAACTTTTCTTTTCAATGATTTCACTTCCCTTAGTATGAATAAATGTGGCAATCATGACTTACAACGAAAATGCAAGAAAATTTTATGACAAAAAATTTACATCAAATGAAAAAAGAATACAAAGAATGATGGTGGTATCATCAAAGGCTTTCAAATAAAGTAGTTGGGAACAAGCTCACAGCAAAATTTCACGTACCAAGACAATTATCCGATCAATACACATTATAAACCGTAACAACACTGCGCGAGGTCCTAAGCTGCATTTACTAATAACAATTTGACAACCTGAAACCAATAACTAGTCTTACTCCTCCATTGTGGGTAAACGGGAAACCAGACTCTACGAACCTGAGGAAAGGCTGCACAGCTTTTTCTGTAGCACACTAGCTGTGCTTGTGCACTGAACTTGGACACTTTTAAAAATAAACAATACATAATTATGTAAATATCAACAAGATTTTTCCTGAGGATCGAGTGAACAAGCTCAGCACACATGAAAAAATAGAGCCACCTAAGGCTTTTTCTTTAGGTTCCAATCACCATTTATGTGGGAATGGATTTTATCTCTACACTATGTACATAATATCATTGGGTCTAACAACGAAAAGAAACTTTCAAGATGCACGCAGTTCTGTGCAACAAGGTTGAAATTCATCCATATGATTAATATAAAGATATCTCTCAAACACATGAAAGTGACTAATTTTCACCATTTGCAGAGTTTTGCAATGCCACAAATGAAACCTTTTAGCACAATACAATACTACCGAGAAAACAACTGAGAAACTAACCTGCATGTCCAGAAAACGTTCGTAGACAAGTTTTTCCTCCCCATAGCTTAAGAGTTGCATCACTTGAGCCTGGAATATGATGCAACGTGAAAGCCATCACAACACTGAGATTCAACTATGATTCACCATAAATTTGAAAAACTGAAATTATGACGACCACGTTTATACGTTTCGTGTTTTGTTTGATTAGATCAAGTAAGAGTGAGGGTATTGATTTGATACCTGTAATAAGCTCACCCGATGGTAGCATAAGGACCGCCTGAATAGCTACCTTGTGGGCCTCCCAAAACTCGACAAGCTGGCCTTTCCTCCAACACCTTATAGTGCTATAAGGTTTGATCAAATTAAGCATTGGGTGAGACGCCAGCAAAACGAACGATTTATAAATTTCATACATCGATTTATAAATTTCCTCCCAAAACAAACGAATTATGCTGTAGCTGAACGCCAGAAAAGTTTCACACATCGATTTATAAATCCACGGACGATTTATGCATCGTAGAAAATCAAGGTCTGGAGAAGTGTACCAGTCAAGGGACGACGAAATAATATCACCATTCTCGGCCACCGCAAGACCAGTAACCTGCATCCGGTGTCCTTTCATAGTATCTACGACTTCTCCCTTCGCCAGATCCCACAACAGAACGAGCGCATCCATCCCACCAGATACAATCCCTCCCTCTGGCAAACTGTCGTTAGGAGCGATCCAAGCCAGGGGACCGACGAAGCTGGAATGGCCTACCAGGGTCTTCGATAGAACGTAACCATGACTCTTGCCGGGATCAGGTGACCAAAACCTCACTGTCCGGTCTCTTGACGAGGTCGCGATGCCAGCGACGTCACACACACAGATACCGCGGACCTGGTGACCCAATGATAAAGGAATCCATCAAAAACTGCGACAACGAAGAACAACACGAAATGATACTGAAGTAGCGGCCGCGCAAGCAGTAAATCGGTGCCATATGGCGAGAATCGGCAATCAAAATCTTGTCTCCAGCGGAGAAAGGATCTAACGTCGTCTTCGTGCCCGCGGAGCTGGCAGCTCAGGACATATCCGCCACTCTCGAGCGACATTCCCTCCGCCTCCTCCCCCGATCTTCGAGCACCAACCAGCAGCTCTGGACATCCACACCCACGCACAGAGCCAACGACCAGAAACAAGGCCACCTTCCCCTCCGGCGCCGTGGAGGAGGGACAAGGCCAGCCTCTCTCACCGTATGCTCAAAGATTCGGACCCATAACAGGAATTCGGTTTAATTAATGGATGATCCGGAATCGTTAAACGGATAGCAGCTCGTCCCGGTAAATAACTACTATTTAATGTGAATTTTTTTCCCGTCGGGAGGTCTCGGCCTGCCGGTCTCATATGCTTTCGTTGCCTGGAGAAGACGAGGTTTGTCGCGGCGAAGGTAGGAGACGCGCCGTCCGGTACTTCCGGCGCCGATGTCAGTAGTATTCGAGCTTGAGCCATGATTTCAATATGAATTTGAGCCCTCCATAGATAATTTCTGAGGCGATCAAGGGTCTGATCCCAAGATAATACTTGCTTGCATGTCAACTACTGTAATAAGAGTTGGTGGCAATCCGTAACGTAATTAGTGTGGGGGGTTCCTCCCATAGAGGGTTTTAAACAGTGTTGTCCCTATGAAACTATATTCAACCCAATCAAGTTGGGTATGCCAAGATTTAGGATTATTTGATGCATAATATTGGAGATAATTTTTCACACGTGAGTTTATCACTTTGATCTTCCTATTGGTTTGCAGGTAATATGTTGTGCTATGATCGAGTTGTCTACCTTAAAGCTGAAAAAGTTTAAAGTAAAAAAAAAAAAAACTCATTATATGAGATCACAATATGAAATTATGGAGTGCCATGTAGGTGGATAATCTCTCTTGTGAATCTATCACTTACCAAGGTTGCTTGAAATGAATGTCTTCGTTGGGTAAAGTGACCAAATTTGTTCATTCAGTCCACCATGACCAATTTTGATTTGTATCCTACTAGGTGGATCACATATATTTCTTTTCAAAGTTGATCTGAAATAGGGAGAGATTGATGTAGACCGATGAGAATGAAAATGACTTGTTACATTGTCATGTATTACATTCATCTACATATTTCTTGATCTTTTGTTTCATTGATCTAATAAATTTATTTAGAGTCCCTTTTATAGTTCTTAAAAGAACTTTGAATGACCCCCTACTAAACATGGACACTATGAATTCTTGTGCAAAGTTCAAAAGGCAAAGGAAGAAGTCAATCAAGTGTTTCTCGTGTTGTCACCCAATGGAATAGAAGTTTGGCAATGATGAGTCTCTAACAATTGCCAGTCGAGAGGTGGGGTGGGGTACGTCTGAGCGAGCTTCATCCTCAAGTCAACGTAGCATGCTTTGAAGAGGTTATAACTAGTCTTTGCCACATCTCTTTATTCTTGATGATGCCACATTTGTCAATGAATCAAAGATACTTTCATGCAAGAATTTATAATTTATTTTATCTGAAATTATCTATTTATTGCTAATGATGATCTAAGATTATTATTGATGAAGATTTCATCGACAATCAAGTATCTATAGTGGCTTGTTCGTAGACCAAATCTCTATAAGAAAGTTGTAGAGTTAAAATAGAATTAAAAACAGAATTTTTTACTTTGGTGAGCTTTGAACCTCCATCGTTCACTTATATCTATAAGTGAGACAAAATAATGTATTATTATATCCTTGAAGTAGTAAATTCATGAGTATGTTACCTTCTCTTAACATGATAGTATTTTTGATATTATTCTAGCAACGTGTCATGCTAGTGGTTTATTTCCACATTAATTGTTTCAGAGGTTTTAAGATCAATATAATTATGAGTTTTTTTCTGCTTTCTAGTTTCCTCTCTCATAAACAAAATGGTTAAGACCACCTGAAGAGAGGGCCCCATGAAATCAACTAGTGAAATCAGCTGGTCTACCCCACAAACACACATATGGTGGGATTATATCTTTCTCTATGCTCAATTGGCCTCCATTGACATGAAAGAGGAGTAATGCACATGTGCTTTGTGTGGGTTTCTTAACCACTCAAGCTTAACTCGTGGCTCCTATCTATGATATACTCACTCATGTGCAACTCCCTTTTAATAAATTGTTAAGTGCTCACTAGTTAGTGAATCTTTCCTTTTTGTAATTATTTATTTATTTTATTTTTCTTTATTTTAACTTAAAGATATAAATTTAAAAACCATATAAAATGACATAATTAACCAAAAATTCACATTAATCACATAAAAATATATTTTTATATTTCATGTAAATAATGATAAATTTATCATGAGTTAATTCATAAAAGTAACACTTTAAATTATGTATTAATATATAGAGTTATCACGATAATAAATATTTATTACCCCTCTATAGAGTTATCATGTAACTCTTTTAACATAATATGTATCACGAAAAATTAAAAGGTTTGGTGAGATGTCTCTTATATAGAAGTTCATGGTAGAGGAAGAAGTGATGCTTGATGGTATGTTTTGCTAATAGGAGCTTGGAATATAGAGCTTAATTGGGAGATCATCTCAAATTTGTATTAATATAGCAAATTTCTTATATTAGTTTGAGTTCTTTATTTATATTTGATTTCAAATTTATAACCCATTCATTTCAAAAACCATTTTTGGTATTGAGGAAGTACCAATCATTGGTCTATGAAATATTTAAGATTGTTAATCAGTGTATTATTTTATTTGACATGACACAAGGAAATCATTTTGTCATGTCAAATAAAATAATACAAATACTATGTCATATTGAAAACAATTCAATTAGTAGGTCATGCTGCATTAAAAAAACCTTAGACCATGGCCTAGGGATCTTTTGTGCAGCATCATTTCACTATATTTGTTTTTAAATTTTTGTGTAAGTAGTCTTATTAGGGTCCCATATCCTACAACAAACTTATGGTAATAACATGTTAGGTTGATAAATCTGTTTCATTCTTTTAAGTTCATAAGAAGTAGTAATTTTAACATGGCTTCAATTTTCCTTCTATCAACTGCCACAAAATCGCAGTAGAGATTCAATCCTTGAGGTGCTCTAGTTATGGTTGAACAAATAAATATTTTTTTTGTTGATGTGAAGTATGTTCTCTCAAAGAGTGGAGAAGATGAGTTGTAGGTAATGACAGTGTTGCCCCTCATTCTTACTATATATCAGTATATTAGCAAAAAAAAGACCAAATTGTTTTAGAGAAAAGGTTAAACTATGTTATTACTATGAACTCATAGCGACCATCATGGGTCTTGAACATTATCTTGTGAATGTCATCCTTCATCCAAATTTGGTGAAATTTTGACTTGCTATCTAGTTTTGTAAAATTAATTACTCCATGCAACTCATCAAATAATTATTAAATCATTGGTATTGAAAATGCATTATGTATTATGACCTTATTCAAAGCTTTATAGTTCACACAAAAATATGATTCTCTGTCCTTTTTTATGAAACGTGCAAGACTTCAAAAGTGACTCATTGAGGGCTGAATAATCTTGACTTTCCTTATTTCTTGAATATGACTTTTGATCTAATTATTTTGAATATGAGAGTATCTATACGGTCTAACATTAATTGGCCCTACTCCTAGGACTATTCTGATGGTGATTCTTATGTTTGAGTGAAGACCTCTGAAATTTTTTCTAGTTGTTTCTCCAATGTAGAAGAAAACGGTGTAGTTCTATGGTAAGTACTTCACAATGTCTTGATTTTTTAGTAAGAAACTTCAATGATATCTCGGATCTGCTGAGGTGAGGATCCCTCTTTTGGGGTCTTCACTTCTCCCTTTAATGTAAATTTCATGGTAAGGTTGACCCAATGAGTGTGGGTCATAGTTCCACAACCATCTCATTCCTAAGAACATCCCCAAGCTACCAGTGCCAAGAGTAAGAAAACTTGTACAACCATTAACCCTTGAAATTAAGAACATCACTCTCATAGAAACTCTACGACCTTTTATCTTCTGTTTATTACCCATAATTACCTCATAGTCAAGGGTCTCAAAGAGAGGTGAGTTTAACTCGCCAGCCAACTTCCCACAAATAACATTTTGAGTGGCCCCAAATTGATTCGCACAATGATATCTCTACCTTGTAGTGACCCCTTCAACTTCATAGTTTTGGTTCAGAAAGTCCTACCATCTTAATTGAGGGAAATTTTGGCCATATATGGGAAATCTTCCCTTAGTTGTTCGCTATGTGAGACTCATTTCTTGTCCTCCATATTTCTTGCATTACTTTCAATATGCTCTGATCCACGAGCATCTTCATGCACCAATAAGATTTGAAACCATTTCTTACCTTAGTGATATTTACCAAATTTTTCATCACAGTGATAGCATAATCATTTCTCTCTACGAGCTTGTAGTTTCAACTTTGTGAGAGTTAAGTTTCAACCTTGTAGTTTCTCTCACAACTTGATGATTTTTAAAAAATAGGGCATAATCATTTTATGGGCATTTCTCCAGGTACGGATTTCCCAAGAGGCTCATAGAGAGGTCCAAGATCAAAGAGCAAGCGCTTTCTGATTTCACCGTTCTTGGGTATTGATTTAATCATGGGTCAGAAGGAGATCTCTTCGGAGTGAAGCATAAGGTAATTTGCCATTTGGTAATTGCCGTGCCACATGCTTCTATTAAGTTCGGTTCAGAATATTTTAGGTGGACAGGTAGCTGTGGTTTCTTCGAACGTGCAACCTGGTTCGATAGGCGTCCGACACCATTTCTGGGGAAGAATGCTCGATATTTCATGAAAAGTGATCTATTCACAAGTCAGAGGATAGCAGAATTACAGGGCCCGTATCTTACGTCCTCTCGTTCGAGAATTATTTCCTGGTCTTCATTGAGACCTACGCCAAGGGTTTTCGTACTCGGGAAAATTGAAGGAATTTTAGAGAGAGAGAGAGAGAGAGAGGTGAATGATCGATTCCTGTTAGCCCAAACAAGAGCTCACGCTCAGAGTGAGGGCAATCTCCAGACCGAAGGATGCTACATGTATCCATTTCCTCGATGGATAGAGAGAGAGAGAGAGAGAGAGAGAGAGAGAGAGAGAGAGAGAGAGAGTTATCCACTCTCATTAACAGGCGCTCATGAGCAGAGAGGCAATAGTCGTCGTATTAGTATGAAATAATGGGTGATGATACGACTATATCCTCAGTATGCTTGATTTTTTTCCTAGGATTGCTTGATCCGAGTAGATAAGTTCTTAGCGAGAGAGAGAGAGAGAGAGAGAGAGGGAGCACCTGCACCGAGTGTGTAGGGAGGAGGTGGGATGAGCAGGCGGACCACGCTCTCTCATTGTTTTTGGTGTCACCCTCACACGTGCCCCCAGCTCCCCGCCACCCGCAGGCGACCGCGGCGACAGCCGTCGGCCATCGCAGCATCCCTCTGCCGTCCGCCCGTTTCCCTTTACGACGGTCTCCCCAATGCCGCCGACGCCATGGCGGTTCTTGACCAGATTAATACTGGAATGATTAAAAAGCTGGGAAAACAGGAACAGGGCCGAAGTGGGCTCAAAGGGCGTGGGATGGGAGAACTGCTTGATCTCCCCAATAAAGAGCTGTAGCGGCCCCCACCCAGCCTGAAGCTCGCCCCCGAGGAACAGAGGAGAGCTCATGGATAAGACCAGAATGCTGCTCCTCTCGGCGGCGGTGCTTCTCGCAGGTAAGCGACGGCGGTGCCCTCCATTTCAGCTCCTCTTCCGTGTTCTTGACATGGGAATTCCGGTAGTTCACAGCGCCGCTGTATCGGGCACGGTGTTCACCCTCCAGAACCGCTGCCCCTACACGGTCTGGCCGGGGGTCCTCTCGGGCAACCGCGCCGTAGCCCTCGGCGGCGGCGGGTTTGTTCTGCTCCCCAACGCCGCCGCCTCCCTAGAGGCCCCGGCGGGGTGGTCGGGCCGCTTCTGGGCCCGCACCGGCTGCGTCTTCAACCACCCCTCCGGCGCCCGCGGCAACTGCTCCACCGGCGACTGCGAGGGGTCGCTGGGCTGCTCTGGCGGTGGCGCGCCGCCCGTCAGCCTGGTGGAGTTCACCCTCGGCGGCGACAGGGACTTCTATGACGTGAGCCTCGTCGACGGCTACAATGTCGGCGTGGGGGTGAGCCCGTCGCCGCGCAAGGCCGGCGGGGACGGCGCGTGCCGGTACGCCGGCTGCTTGGCGGACCTGAACGCGAGGTGCCCGGCGGAGCTGCGGGTGGCGGGTGAGACGGGCCAGACGGTGGCGTGCCGCAGCGCCTGCGCCGCCTTCGGGGCGCCAGAGTACTGCTGTACGGGGGCGCACGCGTCCCCCGCCACCTGCGGCCCCACGAGGTACTCGCAAATGTTCAAGTCTGCCTGCCCCACGGCTTACAGCTACGCCTACGACGACGCCTCTAGCACCTACACCTGCCCAGCCGGGACCGACTACGTCATCACCTTCTGCCCCGCCGCCGGAGCCGGCGCCGGCGGCCTCTCCAACCGCCACCGGCCTCGGTTGCTTCCCCCCTTGTAGAGACCCGGGTTCGAACCCTCCCTCCATTCCTTTCTCTCCCTGTCAAAGCTCAAATAATTAATAGGAAAAATGCCCAGCTGAACCTCCCGATCCAAAGCTAACGCTGCGAGTGAACATGATTCTATCAATCTTGTTACTAAAATCACAGGTTCATTTTTTATACTAATTTCGGACGGAAGCTCACCACTCAGCCGTGATCGTCTTTTCCCTATTAAATGCCACAAAAATAGCCTTTATTGGTGTCGGTGGCCGTGAGCAAAGTCCTCTTGGATCTGAACACCCCTGGCCGATATGATCGCCTCAGCGTCGACATCAGCAACGCTGATGCCGATAATTTATCCTCGTCTGTTGTGTGACGATAAGCCAGCAGACTCACTGGCTTTGGCTAATATCTTCTGACCTCCAGAACGCGTGCTGCGAAACAACCTGCTGTAAGTTTGACCCACGCTGAGCGCAGATCCGCCGCCATGAAAAAGAAGCAGACGGCTGAGGCGCTGACACGCTAGCTCCAGAGGAACCCCTCTTTGATTCCGCTGGGGAGGTGTAGGTCCGTGACGGAAAAGGAAGCTGTGGGAGTCGGCGGTCTAGAGAGATGTCTGGGTCCGCCCTCAGCGTTCAAACGGAAAGCGTAAGCTGACAGGAGTCGTGCGTCACGCGCCTCCGATGGGCCGCCGGCGGAGCTGATGAGGTCGAAAACCCGCGGCGGTGGGAGCGACGCTCGTACTGCGGCTATGGTCGGAGAACCGTGCCCGGTGGATGAAGTGGTGGTCCGAAGGTTTCTCTGGCTCTGATGTTCTCCCCTCTTCTTCCTCATCGCCGGAGGTCTGGTCTTCCGGGAGCGGCTCTTCTTAGTCCAGGAGAATCACGTCCTTGATTGATTGATGATGATGATATGTTGACTCGCTCTGTAAGGTGTCTTCAAATGTGTACAAAACTACGGGTGACCGATCTCCCCTAATTAACGGAGCCCAGGAAGTTGTCCCGGTCGTGGTGGCGGTGACCGGCGGAGGAGAAGGGCAAAAGGGAGGAGGGGAGAGGGGAGAAGAATTCCATGGGCGGCGGCGGGGAGGACGCAGCGGGGGGGAAGACCCTGCGCAGCTCCTTGAAACGGGCGAGGTCGAACTTGGCGGCCTGCATGAGGCGGCGCTGCTTGGAGGCGAAGCGGCTCTCGAAGAAGCCCTCGAAGGAGGGGTCCCGGGAGGTGCGGAGGAAGAAGGTGTAGCCGGCCATGAAGTAGATGGAGGTGACGTAGAAGCAGATGGGCTCCATCACGTCCCACGACAGCTCCCAGAAGGTGAGCCGCATGAACGCCGCCGTCTGCAGCACCAGATAGGCCAGCCCGCCCCACAGCTCCCGCCGCACCCCGGCCTTCGCCAGGCTATCGATCTCGGCCTTCTGACGCTCCAACTCCCTCAGCTCATCCAGCTGAGGGCCGTCCACGGCGCTCAGCAGCGGCTGGGGGATTACCCTCTCAATCGCCTTCGCCACCTAGGGAACCCAACAACTCGTTCGTTAGAATTGACTGCAGATTTGGCGTCGATCAGAAGTTCAATAAAAAAAAACACATGATCGGACGGTTGAAACCGAAGAATAGGAAGAAACCTTTTGCTGAGAGCAACACCAGCGAATGCATAGAAAATTCTCACAGAAAAGAGAGATTACGTGGGAAACAAGGGCAGTAAAAAGCACAGGCGACCGATGACGTTCTGCCACAGGTGTTCCCGAGGAAAATCGGAACTGGAATCGTCGAGACTCAAAAGACGACGAAGAGATCTATCTAATGGTAGGTTTACTATGTTTCTAGTGAAGATCAGGCTGTCGCACAACAGCAAGCAGCTATATATCCATGTTCATACCTCCCCAAAACAAATGAAAGTCAGAAACGGGATCAAAATCTATCTCCCTCTCCATCTCTCTGTCTCAGTGGGATAAAAGTGAAGATAAAAACTGTAAAAACGGTTCTGATACTTCTTTGATTAACGCTATTTTTTTAGGTTTCGAAGGATTTTTGGGTAAGAAAGGTTGCAGGATCGGTTTCGGTCTGCTGCAGGTTCAGCGGTTCACCATCTCAGACGCGGAACTTACAGTACTGTTCTAGATGCGTCAGTTTCTTCCTGTGGAAATCCAGAAATTGAAGGAAAACACCATCAGGCTTCGGCCGTCACGGACGAGAGAAGAAACGATCAAGTGCGCAACGGACGTGGAAAAGGAAGAATTCTGAAAGGAAGTGATGGAATCGGTACCTGATCTGGGCGGAGGAAAACCACGTTCCCGAGGACGAGCACGGCGCCGGACTCGTCCAACGCTCTGGCGAGGCTCAGCCCCTGTTCAAGCTGGCCAGAGCCTTCGCAGCAGATCCGGACGAACTCGGAATACGGGATGGAGCTCTTCCCAGTTTCTCTCAGCCTAGCTTTCACCACCTCCGTCATAGACAACCTCAGAATCTTCCGCGCCTCTTCGACAGAGATCGACGGGGCCGCCTCAGCCGTTTTTTCCTCCTTACGATCGGGCGGGATCGGGATCTGGACCGGGGGATGGAGCATATCCAGACGAATCCGGTCACCATTGATGGATCTCAGCCTCTCGAGCAGCTTGTTCCCGACGGGGAGGGGAAGGCGCTCCAGGGAGCCTGACGAAGCAGACGAAGACTCAACGATGCCTCGGCTCTGGAGCAGCACCCTCCGGAGGAACCCCTCCTCCGAGGTGGCGGTGGAGTCGCGAAGCTTCTGGACGGCCTGGTAGCCGGCGGCCCTTGAGCGCCCTGCCAGAGCCTCAGCCGAGGACGGCCTGCAGAAGCTCAGAAACCGGTGGGCAAGGTTCTTGCGGAGCGCCATTCTTGGCGAGCCAAGGTTGCTCCCCCGCTCGTCTAGGTTTTCCTTTTCCCTGTATTTGGGTGGGGAAGAGATCGTTTGGAGTTGCCTCTTCTCTGGATGTTTGTTGTTCTGATTTTATAGCTCCGGAAAGGTGTTGCCGTAAGAGAGAGAAGAGAGCGAGACGGAGACAGAGAGAGAGAGGGGGGGAAGAGAGAGACAGACAGAGAGAGAGGGAAGGTGGGGTTGGCGTGGGGGGTCGCACCGGGTTAACGTCTCGGGAGACGGCGAAGAAGACCGGGCTGACGAAATATCGCGCGACGAAGACGATATTAGACGCTTCACGAGTGGCACGTGTAGTCGCGTCATCCCCATCCAGCCCTCACCCGCTCCCATCTTCCCGCTTTCTCCGGCGGGGGAGAGGACAAACACCACCGCAACGAGAAACCCCCCCCGCGAGAAGGGAAAAACTCCCGAATACCGTCTCGTATTCCATATAAAGCCCATACGTTACGGTTCAATGGCGAGCTTCGAGAGGGACAGGATGAGGGAGCCACGACGGATGAGACGGCCACGTGGCGCCCCCAACGACCGTTGGCCACCCGCCGGCGGCGCCGGCATATGCCCGGCTTATACCTCCCGGGGCGGCGCGGCTCCCGTCCGCGGCGACTCGGCGACGTTACAGCCGCCAAATGCGTCCACGCTGGCGTAACGCGGCGCCTTGAAACCTCCTCCCCCGGTTAAGAGCACCAGCCTGGCTGGCTTCATTCCTACCAGCTTGCCGAGTCATCGACACGTGTTTGAACTGCTCGATTGTCCGGCTGGCGTCTCCGTTGGCCGGTCGCCGTCAACTATCCATTCAGACGAGACAGACACCCTACCCTGACCACCCGAATGTGAGCCACCCGCCGTCGAGGGCTCGTCGCCGCCGCCGTCGACTTGACATCGGCGGCTTCTCTCTCCATATCTTTCTATATTGATCTCTCCATATCTTTCTATATTGCTTGCGGAGTTTATCTCTCTATCTTTGTCTGTCGATCTACGAGGAGATCAGCAGATTGGGATAGACGTTGGAGGCGTTGACCCTCGCGCGCCATCTAGATGAGGATCGCCGTCCTCATCTCAGACTCGAGATAGAGCGTTGACTATGAGGTACGCGGGCGGACCGACGGAGATGATGAAATCCTCGTCGAGTCCGTACACGTGGAACACGACGCCAGCGAGTGTTCCAGAGAAAATAACACAAAAAAATCAGAATAATTAATAAATCCGTGCAAACGATTGCCTGCCCAGTCGGCAGATTTCGGCCCCTTAATTATAAAAAGTCGTATTTTTTCACGTGGCGGAGACGTGACGGGACTGGGTTAGCTGGACACGTGTTCGCCGGCGGAAGGATCCAACATCGGTGCGACGCATATCCGCTATCGGTCAGCGCTACGGGGATCGTTCCCGCGGATCGTGTGAGCGAGTCAGACCCGCACGAGCAAAGACCCAGCCCCGGGCTTCTCTCTCCTTCGAACCCACCGGCGAGGCTGACGTGGGGTCCGGAGGGGACCGGTAATGCCCGCGAGTTGTTCGACGGAAGGAAAACGTGGAGGCGCTGCCCCCGCGTGAATCTCGTAAGGTCAGTCGGCTTGACGGCCGAGTTGGGCCACTCCGTCGCTTTCCCCCGCGCAGTGAGGTCACCGGAGGAAGAAAGGATGCGCCAGCAGGCCGGCGGTGGGGGAAGGCGAAAGCAGGGATTCCGGGGACTCCGGGAAAGCAGGGGGGATTCCGTGTGATGACGACGGCGGCCCCAGTCGAGGGAGAATCGCACTCAGACTGGCGGTGCTCGGATCGCTAGTTGGCGAGGAGGAGCGGCGGCGGCGTTCTCGCAGGGGGGTGGGAATGGAGGGAGTGACGCCACCTCGATGCTCCGACGAGAATGGAAGCGCTGTCTTTTCCTCGTGGCGCGCTGGTTTCCTCGTGGATCGTCACCGAGATCCGACTTGTCCCGGACGCCACCTTCGTGTTCCGTCTAGAGAGAGAAAGGGAACAACCCGAGGGGAATGGAAGCGCCGTGTCTTCCTTGAGGTGCGCTGGCTTTCTCACGGATTCTTGGCCGGAGTTTCGAGCCCACATAGACGTTGCAGCGGAAAAGCCTGGGCTCAGTGGACCGACCACTTCCTCGGGGATGATGCGATCCTCCTCCCAGTGGAATCCTCTCCGACGGGCTTAGGGTAGTTCAGCGATGTGGACAGCACCAGCTTGGAAGCCGTTGTCAGGAGGGACGGACCTATGGCGCACTAACCCCCTTCTTCCCTCTGGAATCCCATGCTCTGTGGAGGGAAGGAATCGGAATCTCACTCCTCAGGCCCTTCCTATTCCCCCGGAAGGGGATTCTTCGCGCGCTGCGATGTTCGGGGGGATCCCGAGTGTCTGCGTGACGACAGGAATCGCACTTGTCCCGTTGGAGATCGAGACAGAGATCAGCGTCGAAGAGCCGATAGTGGGCAGGCCAGATGTTCGACGTAATGACGCGTTAAGGAAGACGCAATCTTCTGTGAGTGGGATTTTTCGTTTCCAAGGCCGACCTCAGAACAGGAGGACGGGGGGGCGGGGGGTGGGGGGGGGAGGGGGTGGTTGTGGGAGCGGACAAGAAGGCTCGCTAATGGTCTTGTCCGAGACTCCACTGTAAATCGGAGGTTCGCATCTCCATCCCTCAACGAGTTGAGAGCGCCGACGAGCCAGGAGGGTCCATCTTCACCTGTTCTTCTCCAGCCACCGGCGGATCTCCTTCTCCGACTCGGTCAGGAGCTCATCCTTCTTCCCCTGGTTAGATCCTTCCACCAGCTCGAAGTAGTCCTTGTAGTTTCGCCGATAGTAGCTGTCCAGTCTCTGGAAAAACCAGCCATCGGCAACCGGTGTAAAAAACTCGGAGAAGAAGTGGAGGTAGGGGAAGAGGATGAAGACGCCCTTCCTTACCTCTTTGTCGTTCTTGGCCTTGTTCGCCTTGGACTTCTCCAAGTATTCTGACGGGGCAAGAGGAGAGAAGCACTCAAACCGCCGAAGCTTCACCAGGGGCGGGGGGAAGTAGGAAAGAAGGGAGGAATGATTACTGTACTTTGGAGGAGGGCTCTCTGCGAGTCGCCGGCGTCGGAAAGGACAGGCGTTGACGCGAAGAGGAAGGACAGGAGGCACCTTCTCCCGATGCCGGTCCCCCGTGGCGCGCCGCAGGGACCCTCTCCGGCGGCCGGCGCCGGAGACGAGGAGACGCTCTTTCGTATCATGCCGGGGGAAGCAACCACGTCTGGAGCACCCTCGAGGAGGAGGCCTTGAATGGAGCTTAACTCGCCCATCCATGGAGGAGAGAGCCATAGGTTCCCTCTATGTGGATCAGATAACACGGTCACACACCACACACTCTCTTTCACTTCCAGAGGGCCCACGGCGTCTCCTATCCCTCCCTCTCGCTGCTTGGACCGGATGGATGCCTTCCTCCCTAAGAACAACGCTCGCGAAGATGAAGTATGAGCGAGGAGTTCGTGTCTTCGAGAGTATGGAATTCCTGGTCGGGTAACGCTGGAGAGATTTGCAGAAACTTTTAAGGAATAAGAGGGCTTCTCTCTCATGATACGCCGAAGAGTGTGGGCGCGAGCTCCAGGAGAGGCATCAGGGACTCCGGAGTGAACTTCCTGGCGAAGAGGAAGCAGAGATTCGTGAGGCGGCCGTTGTATGAGCACCTCTTCTCCCCGCGGATCTGCCGGAGGAACTCTCCGGTGACGTTGGCAGCGCCCAACGTGCCCGGGTGGGAGCCGCCCCTGGACCAGTCGGCCCAGGTGACGGTCCTGTTGGCCAGGCGGTCGGGAGCTTCGATGGCGAGCATGGTGGGGAGGTAGTGCTCGTCGATGTAGCAGGGCGGCTTGCAGAAATGCTTGAACTTGGGGTAGAACCTCTCGTCCTTGACGATGGAGATGGCGGCTTGTCTGTCAAGCTCGAACCACTGGGATCCCTTGCGCCACTGCTCGAGGGTGACCTCCGGGGCCATGTCGGAGCTGTACCGCCCTCTCCCATGTCGCCCCGGATCGTCGAACACGCCGACGAAGCTGTGCCTCGACATCATGAGGTACCCGTATGTGGTGGTGAAGTTGAAGAGTGGGATGCAGGACTCCGAAAGCAGAACGAACCGCTCGTTGGAGAAATCGAGCAGCGCGTTCCCCAGGAGCCTCCTCTCGGCCTCGAAGAGGCTGATGTCTCCCCACCTGGACACCTGCGGATTCGTCCCAAAAACGCCTGAGAAACAATCTCTTTCTTCGCCAAAAAAGCTGGCCAAGAAACTCGGAAGGCGATCGCAGAAGAAAGAAATTGCAGAATCAGACCCCTCCCCTGTTTACGCTAAAAATCTGCAAAATTGCCCACCTTGCTTGGGATCTGCCTCCCGTAGAACGGCGAGGTGGAGGAGAAGTTGGCCTTGTAGGAGGGCAGAGAGTGTATGTAGATCGAGTAGAGCCCTTCGTGCCCTTTCAGGAACCTCTCCCAGAGAGGATGGAGAGGCAGAGGCCCTCTGCAGAGGAACATGAGGGCAATCTTCGGAACCCTCCTGAAGGGGAACTGCCTCCGCTGAGGCAGGAAGGAAGCCCGCCAGAGTAGCTCCTCGTCCGTCATGGCGTGCTGCAGGTCTGGGGGTCCTCTGATCCACTGGTTGATCGCGTAGGGCTTCATCGTGCACGGCAGGAAGCTCTCGCGCTTCGGTGGCGGTGGCGGCGGCGGCGGCGGCAGCGGTGGCGGTGGCGGAGCCGGCTGGAACCCCGGGGAACTGGTCCTGTAAACGCTCATCAGGACAAACCGGGCACCGGCTCCGACAACTGAGAAGAAGATGGTGAACTGGATGATCCTCAGGGGGATGGCCTTCGACGGAGGCGGTCTCTGCGACGAGCCGCCGTCGTCTGGCGGAGCAACCCGAGGCCGCATCTCCGTGAACCTCACGGAAGAGAAGGAACGAGCAGGGTTCAAGCCTACTCTGTGCCCCACCTCCAAAAAGCGCTTGAAGGTACGATTAGACGGCCCTCCCATGGCGGAATCTCAACGAAGAGGACGAGCTTCGGAGGGATGGGGAGGAAGAAGACGGGAAGAGAGGATGATATCTCGATGGAGAAGACGGAGGCGCCGACAGTGTGAAGGGGGTGGGAGGAGAAGCGTTAACAGCCTGAAGACCGCGATGGAGTGCGTGGCGGGGAGAAATTAAGAGAGACAATCGTCGGCTTAATTGCAGAGGGCTTCCCTCCCAACTGCCGAGAACGACCCGCCATCGTCTCCCTTCGTGCGGGAGGCGGCCGCCTCCGGCGTGCCATCTCTCCGCCGGCGCCATTTCAAGATGGGGAACCCATCGAAGACCCCCACGCGGGCCGAAACCCTCGTTCTCCGGAGCCAGCTGCATGGTGACCGAGCAGACAAGGTCTACGTTACATGCGGAGATTGGGTTTCTTCGTAGGTCAACGGGGGTCCGGCCCGGATATATACTCTGAGAGAGAGAGGGAGTGACAGAAGTATACATGCCTCAGGAGGTAATATTACCCACGTTGCGAGCATAATAGCTCATAAAACGGCGGACCCCTCATACACGACACGGAGGGCGTATAGGTTGGCATTGAAAAAGTTGGCTTCTTGGTCTACAAAATTGAAGTCCAGCATTCAACAGGGCTTGCTTACGGCTCGTTGACCGACTCGGAGGTAACTTAACTACATCAACGCATCACGTGTACACACATTCGTTGCTTTTACATTTTTTTAAAAGCATAAAATTATGATTTTTAAAAATATAAGAGCACTTTTCCTCATTTTTCACGTGGTTTTTTCCTCTTTTTCTCCCATAAATATTTGGATAATTCTGGGCTCGTTACCATCTTACCTAATTCTCCATGTCCCCAAAAATTGTACGACAGTTTGGTATTGGGATCATCATTACAAAAAGCGTGACGTATCTTCATGCCCAAAAATCTTCCTCTTCTGATAGCCCATGTCACATTTAATTTTCAATCATCTTAGTATGTTATCTCTCTCTCTCTCTCTCTCTCTCTCTCTCTCTCTCTCTCTCTCTCTCTCTCTAAATTAGTCTCATAATTTTGGGAGATTGCTTGGGCAAACATTTTCTTCAAAGATGTATGTAGAAACATATTGCTTAGTTTTTGTGACGTTCCAACTTTGGAAGATGATGAGAGGCTTTACACATGTTGCATCAACTTAGTAAGTAAATGTATTTGCAAGGTTCAAAAACTTGGAAATTTCCAAACTAACCACTAAATAAAATCCCATATAAATTGCGAATTAGAATCTAGATGGAGTGTTCCCTGAAAATTCATTCACTATCTGGATTAGAAACTTGATAGACATTGATGATCAGGGAAATTAAAAACATCGGTTGATGATCTTGACTTGCTCCCCATCAGATTAAGAGGAGTTAAATCAAGAAGATCTCATTTGGCATTGATATTTCTCATGAAAGAGTTTGGGGCTGTAAATGATATTCTAATGAAAATCATTGATGGTACACCAAAATTGGCCTACAACGCAAAGTAATATAATATATGGTAATGTTAACAACTTTTATACTACAAAATATTTTTAAATGTAAGTAAATATTTTATAAAAAAATCACGTTCTTGAATGCATTGTATCCAGCCTTTTTTTGTTAGTTGTGGATAACTCCCTAGATTGGCTGCTTGTCCCCCTCCTATCACCCACGTTGGTGCTGCAGTTTAGTTGAGAGAGAGAGAGAGAGTGAGAGAGAGAGAGAGAGAGAGAGAGAGAGAGAGAGAGAGAGAGAGAATTGTGATTTTAATAAATTATAAATTGTAATCGATATTATTACTGTCTTTGTGTTCACCCAAAATGATGGATAAAGGGTCAGGTTTCATTTTGGGGGTATTTCTTTTAAATCAATTTAGGAACATATTCATTTGAGATACAGTTTATTTTATTTATTGATAAATGACCTTGTAAATCTGTGGAAAGTTAGATAGGGTCTGTTGGTAGATCCGCAGGTACATTATACTTCCAGGGCCGTGGCCAAGTTTGGAAAACTTAAAGCGGCCTCCAGGCCCATTGACACCCATGTTCCGACCCAAAAGGGGTAACTTTAGATAAATGGGTCACCTCATCTCTCGTTTGAAAGGCTGGCTGGCTGCTCATGGAAAAATCTATTATTAAAATGCATCCCCAGAACTTTATGTACCTTTGCATTCCTCGCCCTGTGCGATTCATTCATTAATGGCCAGGAAGGCTGCTCGGCGAGCTAGGCACGCTTTCTCTCTCTCTCTCTCTCTCTCTCTCTCTCTCCCCTCTGCCTGTCCCCCTTCCCTCTTCTTCCCCACTCCCCTCGTCGTTTGCCCCTGCGGTGGTCGGTGGAGTGGGCCCAGCGGTGGGCTAGCTTTGCCCGATATACCAGACTGCCCTGTGTCAGACGTATTTTTGAGAGAGAGAAAGAGCTGGGCCGCACTCGGAGAGGGAGCAACTGAGCGTGGGGGAATGGCTTCGGAAGTCGCGCACTGTGAACCCCATTGGCTTCTGTAATTGTTGACGTGGCGGACCCTCGAAAGACGGCAACTTTGAAAAGCCACTGCCTTTGTCAGTTCAAAGCTCGCCCTGTTCGCAAGGAAGGTGTACACAACTAAACGCGCCGCATGGTCTCAGCGGCTTAGAAAACGAAATCCTACATAATTCCACATAACTGCTTCGATCGCCAGATTCTTATTCTTATGCAATCTTTCCAATGTCTAATGAGGAGGGCCGGTCTTCCGGCAGACCCGAGCTTGCGGGAAGACGAGGCCAGGCTTACAGTAGTATCCCTTGTCGGGCTCGCAGTGCAAGTCGAGGGAGCAGATGCACATGCCCTCCAGAGCACACCCCTTCCCTGCGTTCACCGGGCTCTTCCCCCCCAGGCCCAGCACGGCGTCCGTCCAGTCGGAAGAGAACAGCCCGTCCCTGTCGTACTTGGTCATTGCCGCCACGAACTTGTCGCCCTTCGCCCCCAGCTTCTCTCGCACGTTGAGGAACCCGACGTTCCGATTCTTCCCCCAGTGCGGCATGCCGTTGAATTTGAAGAGCGCCATCTGCTCGATCTCCTCCAGCACGTCTTCGTCCAGCCGCGGGGTGCCAGGCTTGTGGGAGCGGTAGTAGGTGATGTCGATATCGACGGAATCGGCGGTCTTGCCCAGGTAGGCGGTGGAGCTGCGGACAAACCTCATGAGGAAGCCGTAGTAGAGTTCGATGCCGCAGAAGGCGCTGGGCCTCAGGTCCCGGAGCTTCTTCACTTCGGCGATGAAGCTGGCGATGTCAGTCAGTGGGATGCTGATCGTCGTCTGCTGGTAGAACAGGCCAGCAATCCGAGGGTCCCATGCGCACACGGTGAGCAGGCCGTCCTCCCCACTCGTCAAGCAAGATCCTGTCCACAGCGAGGAAAAAATTCTCTTCAATATTTAATCTAAGAATGTGAACGGGATCCAGGTTGATCTCGCAACAAGAAAGAAAAGGCTTTAGATGACACCAAATGTGGTGGGGGTGCCCGGCACATGTTTGACATAATGTAGTATCCGATGAGGTAGATCTGTCTGTGCGGATTACCAGAAGTTTGCATGTCACTCTGGTTGCCGACGACCGGATAACCCGTAAATTCAAGAACACTGCCGTCATTGTTCCGGAGACCGCCGCCAGTCTCCTGCAGAGTTGTTACCTGCAGCTTGGACAGCAGGCATTTCCCACGAGAGTCTCCTGTGGCCTCCAGGAGCTCCTCTGAGACGGTGAACGAGGCAAATAAGAATTAGTCATCAACTGAACGGAGGACGACTCAGCCGACGGCAATGGTACTGTTGCACGGACCTGTAGCTCGGTTCCCCACCATTATTAACGATGGCTGAGGCCGGAATCCGATAAAATCGTTCGTCCCCTCGCCGGAGGCGGAGATGGGCAGCCTAACGTCGTCTCTGTACGTCACCTTGGCCTGTGCCGGGTACCAGATTATGTCACCGAACTCTGTGGCCGCCGCGAAGGTAGAGATCGTGCGCTCGAAGCCGATGTCTCTCTCAACCCGATTGGTGACCGATCGCTTGAATGTGGGCTCTAGTTGGAGGGTCACCTGGTCAATCACCTAATCGAAGTCAACTGCCGCCGTGGTGCACCGACATATATCTTAGTTCTGTTAAGATCACTCGCTGGTTACGTAGGATTAGGTTCTAATGGGAGAAGATTGCGGTCGAATGTTACCTGAGAGATGACGCCCAAGACCCCGAGGGACACCTTGGCAGCAAGAAGATCCTCGTCGCCTTCTACAAGCTCGACTACCTTAGCGCGGTATCCGTTGATTGGGTAGGGACTGGGGACTACCAGCCTCATTCCCACTACCCTTTCGTGCACCGCGGATCCCTTTCCGAAGAGCGAGCTGCCGTGGGAGCCCGTCCCGAGCATTCCTCCCAGGGTGACTCCCTCCCAGTAGGGAGTGTAGGGGAGAGCCAGCCCCCTCGCTGCCGCAGCGTCAAGCAGCTGCCTCAGTGTGATGCCCGCCTCGAAGGTCATCCTGTTGGAAGCGAGATCGACGCTCACCACCTTGCTTAGGAGATCGGTGCTGATGGCCAGGCCTGCGCCGGCGGGGCCGCCGGGGCAGGAAAGCTTGGGGATGCTATGGGAATAGACGGTGACGACCTTCATGTGCTGCCTCTTCACGACCGCACTGGAGACGGTGGCGAGGAGCTCACCCTCATTGGAGGGGCGGGCGACGGCCGCCACCCGGCAGGTGCTTCTGTCAGGGAAGGACCCGTAGGCGTTGGTGACGGTGCAGTCGGTGTTGCCGGCGGCGCATCTCACCACCGGCCCGGGAGGAGATCCGTAAACCGCAGCTCGCAAGGATAAGGCCACCAGGAAGCCAACTAGGGTTGGTGCCATCCGACGAGGGGCTGCTAGATCGAGAAACAACTGTGCCAGGTAGGGATGTTTTGTCTACTTTATATGGAGATACGTACAATGGACATCCATCTCCTTGAAGACTGTTCTCATGACCGACTGGGCTACCGACTGGCTGACTTCTTTTAAAACGACGATCTTTCACATTTGTTATTAATTGTTATCAAATCAAATGCATGCTCGCTTTGATACATTAGCCTAACTCTTGGACTAATGTACACATTAGTTCCTCTCTTTCTCTCTCTCTCACTCTTTTGCTTTGTTCTAACATCATATGATAGGATTTGTAGCATCATCTTTGTGAATTCATCTGTCAACAATGGATTGTGGAAATGAGCCATCATACCAAAAATTGATGATCTAATTATAGATTAGAGAGATAATGTCATTTATTATTTCACTGAGCCAGACGGTGGTTCAAAATTCTCTACCTTTTGACTAGGCTTCTAACTAGATTGTGGTTCATGTAATGATATGTTGATCACCTCGAGTTCATATCAAATTCCTACTATATTATTAGCAAGCCATATAGTGGTATGATTCCAAAATGACCTTTGTTGGAAAAAACAATGAGACAATAATAACACATCACAAAAAAGATGAAAAATCTAGATTACACAATCATTACCATTTTATTCGCAAGATGCTAAAAAAATTATTATGCTCTATATGTTTTTCTTGTAGAAAAACTTATATATCTAATTTATGAGGAATTATCATATGTGACTATTGTTTTTGTGTGTTCTCCTCAGAAAAGCTTTCCATGGTGGTCAACTCATGACTAGACTCACCACACATCAATGTTGTCAGCATACACTAACAAAAATGAAGTCATATAGATAGAAAGTTACATAATCATAAAAGCAAGACTACTAAGATATAAGTTTAAAAGTTCACTGAATTTTTATTTTCTCTTGTCTCAAAACATATAGTCAATTTCTCTTTGACTTTTTACCATTCAAATTTGTTTCTCCCTTCCTCTATATCTCCCTTTCGATCTATATTAATATGTATCTTTATATTTACCTATTTCCATCTAAACTCAATTGCTACCCTCTCACTACTCTCTCTCTCTCTCCCGCTCATTCTCTCTATTATTATAGTTATGTTCTTCCATTTGGATTGGAGTATATGTTCCACCCCTCTCACTTTAAAACTCTCTTTCTCATTCCATTCATGTTACAAGCCTCTTTATTTTCTGTCTCTCTTTATACACACACACACACACACACACATCTACCTATTTTTATTGCTAATCTTTCTTTTTCCATAAAGATTGTAATTATTAATCTTCACCTTTGTCACTTTCACTCTCTTCTATTTCTCAGTCCATTTAAAGTATACAAAGTGTTCCTTGACTCTCTCTATCTCTCTCACATTTTGTCTCTCTTTGTGATTATTTCCCTTGCCTCCCTTTGCTTGGTTTCCTTTTCTATTAGAGTCAGATTATAAATCCACTTATTGTTAGAGTTTGTGGACCATGGCCTAATGGGCCCTAATGGGCATTAATTGGCTCTTAAGAGAATATGTAGATCTAATTTCATGATGAGTTGGCAGTGAGGTTTGAAGGGACATCACCCCCTCTTATTGGGGGTTGTCAATGAATTTTTATGGGCATAATTGTCCTTTTATTGCCATAATTTTCCTTAATCTTGTGAAAAGATAAGGAAGACATCACTTTTGGGAGTCATATACGAGTATTGTGTGATGCTGCATCAATCATTCAATGTTGAGCTATAAGACGATTCTCATTCCTTGAAGATGAATTTGTACAATCATATAGATAAATGAGAATTCTTTGAACGACATATATATGATGTGTGTTCCACCTCAAGCATCTTTCTCTATCATTCAAGATGTATGTAACATTATATTTTGTTGTGCAAGAAAGGAATGAGAAAACCATTCGCAACATGCATACAAACATACACTGGTTATGTGACCACACACTTGTTTGCATACAATGCATATTAGCATGTGTTGTCTCATCATGTGGACATGTGCATAAGGCTATCATGCCACACTTATAACAATAGTGATGTTCTATACTCAAAATCAGTCTCTTTTGAGTTAGGGTCATCACATTCTATCCCATGCATGAAATTTGATGCCCTTGTCAGAAAACATTATTCAAATACTTGTTGATGAGGCCTTCATATTACTCAGATTGTTTTTGACAACGTGAGAAACTGGATATGGAAAGATTTCGAATTACTTGTTGTAAGACTTCAAATTAATTAGTCTACTAAACTAGTCTCTTCATTCTCTCCATCTATTTTGGAAGGTTTTCAAAAGTGAGACATAGAATACAAGATAAATTTATCAATTTTCTTGGAGATTGAGTTGGTAGGCCAATCCCTAGTGCCACTTGTTCTATTTGATGGTTGTTTAGAGACCATAAAACACATTAGAACTCAATCTCAATATAAATACTTGTCATTTGTGCTGAATTCATGTTATTTTTTCATACATTACACTACATGTGCCAATGCTTTGAATACCTCTTCTATTTGTGCTTAAGTAAATTAATGTGTTATCAAACAAGATATTGACCTACTACACTTCCAATTGATAGGGTAAGTAGGTTTTACTCCATTAGAAGCTTTAATAGTGAACAAATAATTTTTGATTTTGATACAAGTTGTATGAGAATTAAGTTATATTGAGGAGATCAACTCATTTTTTTTAGTTTATTACTGCATAGTGACAAAGTTTCTTAAACATCATATTAGTATACTATATGTAATCATTCATATGTGGGTGGAAGTTGGCTAAGAACTTGAGCAGTGTGCTTATCTTTGAAGAGAGAGCTATCTAGTTATTAACATCTTGTGGTAGGACTCATAAATTGATCACATAAGTTATGAAGAGGTGAGTCAGCTCCTCTATGTCATTGTCCATATAAGTTGGTGCAAATATATTGTACTTTGAGGACTAGTTCACAATGATGAATATCATGTCATATTACCTTTTATTATTAGTAAAGCCATGATAATGTCAATTGATACTTTATTTTCATTGTTGGCTTAGAGTAGACAACAAAGTTAGTTTACTAACTTGATCCACTACATCTTGTCTTGTTGGTGGACTTGATAGTATCGAATGTATGCTTCTACACCCTAATCAATAATAGATTGATAGATGTTATCAAACAATAATATCAATATATGTTATTCCTTGTGGTGTCCTTTATATAGATTGTCATGTACCACACCCATCATACGTTGAACTAACTCGAATGCAGCACATATGACAAATGTCTATGTGTGCACAAAATCACTTGTCACATCAAGAAGTACTATGTTTAAACTTGGAATCATGCATTCTACTAAATGTTTCACTTCAAAATTTTCTATAAATGGGACAAACATCTTTCAAGATTGTCACTTGGAACTTCTCTGCACCTTACAGTAGGGGCTGCCAATGCCCCTCCGGGGAGTGCAAGAGCCCCAAGCCATCAAAATTAAGCCTGAATAGAAAAATAGGCCAAACAAGCCTGCTATTTATCTGGGTCTGAATTACAGGAGGGGTCCAGCGAGGAGGTTATTGTACAGAATCTCGGCCCATGCTTGCCTTGTCAACTCTCAGGCTGATTCGTCGATGGACAACCATGAGAAAGACGATCAAAATGGTTCACCTCATACAGCCCGTCGGAAATTAGCCCCATCCCATGGGAATATGGAATCTTCGACCCCTCGTCAAAACGTTGCTCACTGGTCACTGGGTTTCCGGCTAAATACCCCTGTAAATCTCGCACCGCAGGAGTCATGAGAAAATTTTGTGAGTTATACACAACTACGGTGGGTCCTTGTTTCAGACAACTCGGCTTCTTTTACTCGGCCCACCTTGAGATTGACGAGGGGCTCCGATCCTGCCTCGTTTCCTGCAATGTGGTTAAGAACTAATGCTTCACGCCTAGGCAGAAAGCGAACAAGGTTTTCGATCCCGAGTTGGAGACAACCCGTCGACATAAGATGAGGAAAGTAAAATAGGGAAATGCCACGAGCGGAAAGGAGTGGCCAGACATAATGACCGTCGGACGTCTGCCAGGCGCCGAATAGAGACGGGGCCTTCAAAAGTGAGGCGACCGTCGAATCCCGGCAAGTGAGTAACGACCGTTCTCCCGGACATCGCTCGAAGCCCTGAAGACCACGAGCACGTAAGCAGCATTCCCAGCACAGCTAGCACTGGCGCCATGGCCACCGATCCGCAAAATGGGAGGGAAAGTATGCGACCCGAGCAAGAAATAACGACAAAGGAAGAGCAAGAAATAGCCCGTAAGGCGCGACTGGAATCAACACATGAAGCGTCTCTCTCTCTCTCTCCTCTCATGTAACGTGGAGCACCAATAACCGCAAATGTCCAAAACTCAATGGGGCCAAGTGGCCCAATAATTTCTCCCCCGCCGACAACCTCTTTGGGTTGCGGCCTCTCTAGATTGTGTGAAGCCCCGTCCTTGAAGAATTCTCACGGATTGGTCGTTGAGGCGCAATTATATGGAACGTCATCTACTCACGCAATTATCGGTCGTTGTGTTCTAACATTAAAAGATTCAGCATAGCCACTGTTCACGTGTTGGTTGGTATATAATGTGGCGCTCGCAGGCAGCTGGACTCCTGTGAGCCACAGAGTCCGATCTTGTGCGTCAGATCCGTCCCCATATTCTACGCACCCCCACTTCCAATTATCTGTAAACTCCGGTCCTTCTCGGTGAGCTCTCACTCTCTTCCTCTGCCTCTAATCAAGGTGAGAGCACTCGCCTCTCCTACAGAACTCAGCCGTCTGGCTCAACTGGCTTAGATCTGAGAGGTCATGTTTTCCTGTTGGATGCTCATGCTCATCAGTTTGCTGCCTCTGTTGGGGACCGGAGTGTCCACAATTTCAACAGTCTCTATTACTACCCATGATGTTAGTCTGCAACTTCATGCAGCTGATGTGACGTAGACATGGCTGCCCAATGTTGGGCACGTGACTCGTTTAAGTGAGCAAGTGGCTAGGCGTCGAGCTCATATGGCGGCTGCGCAGAAGAAGAGAGGCGGGGTCCACGGGAAAATCGGTCCATCCAGCGACCGAAACGGCAACTTGCTGGACATCCGTAGAGTTATCTCGTATCGCATCGCTATCATCCCAGTAGAAAGAGTTTGTGAGTCTTAAAAGGAGATTTCTGTTGGGTTAGTGAGTTCATTTGAAAGCCAAGATCATAGATTTCAGCTCTAAGTTCTTGAGAAGTATTATTTTGTACTTGTTTCATATCTAGTAGAGTTTTTATCGTCACCTAGAGACATAAGAGGCTACTCTTTTAATCACAGAAGAATTATTATGTCATATTATGGTCATGAGTTGTTTGTTTTCTATTTTCTTACTTCCCGTTATATCCAATAATTTCTATAAGCCTATATATTGGGCTTTTATTCTAACAACTAGTATCAAAGCGTGGTTGAAAGAAAGGTGATAGAAACGCAGGAGAGATGATAACTCAAGCCTCATATTATACGATTCAAAAAAATAAGTCTGAACCATCAATACTGAACCAACATACTGAACCCGTCAAAAGAGTTCAACATAGCATCACTTGCATCACAAACCCTGCCCTGAAATCCATCGCTCAAACATACCCCGACATTCCTTGGGCTTGTACTCTGGAGCTTCGTGACCTGCACCCTGAAAAAGGTACAGAGAGTTTAACACGCGAAAGGGAAAGGGGGGGGCAAAGACAACCATGCAAACCAGTTGAAAGCATCTATCCTTCTTCACACAAGTAACTGTGCTACTAGAAATGGATGCTGACCTTGACCGTCGCGAATGTCAAGTTGTTGGTGTAAGTCTCCGTGTATCTGAAATCATTCACCCAAAAATGGCCACTGTTTAGCCCAAAAAGATCACGTTGAGAAAGAAACCAATGGAGGTCATCGGTTTAGGTAAAGACCCGGCAACTTGGTCATTGATCCACCAAGGCCGCCACCCGTAGATGATGGAATAATTGAGAGATCTGAGCCATGCTTGCGTCCCTACAGTGTTGGCAAGCAGATCGTGGTCGCCACTGCTTTGAGGAAAATGACAGGACTAAAATCAACGTCATTTCGTAAGGTGCATGAAACCTAGAAGCGAAGTATATGTTTTCTCGTGCGTGTATCCAATTTGGAAATAATTACGCCTTCAGAAGACAGAATTCTCACATGTACACCAAAGCTCGTAGGCCTCCACAGGTATTGTTGAGATGATACGAAACTGAGCTGGGAATATCATTCATGTACTTCTCCTTTATATCTTCTCGGCATCTATTCCAGTCTCCAGTCCATCCCTGCTGTGCACCTTGCAACCATCAAGCTTGGATGATGGGTTAGGTCGCTGCACCTCCTACAGTGAGAGTACTTACCTTACGGACTCCAAGCGCTTCTCGCACTTCATCGCTGTTCGCCCATGATTTGGCCAACATATAGCCATAGGACTGTGGAACAAATCCATGTGTCACAGACCAGGTTCATCCATGCAAGACACAGGAAGGAGATAGACCAACAATCACAAAGAGAGAGCTTACGCGGCATCGTTTGCTTGGGATCTGCAGGGAAAAAGGGTGAGCTCTCTCAAGTTCACTGAGACTTCTTTCCACTGGGGCAGACTGTTTAGGCTTTGGAGATGCTGAGTCACAATTAGGCTCCAAGATATATTTCTGATTAAGGCCTTTGAGGTTCTGAGTATAAAATAAAACCCCAGTAAGAGCGACTGGAACGAAGTCGATCACCGTACACAGTCAAAGGGAAACACACCTCTTCTACGGCCTCAAGACACTCGGAGCATTGAACACTGCGAGGCATAACATAATCCCCGCTACAACTTGCCTTTGTCGCCTGTAAATTTACCAAAAGTGCGAATCAATAAGAATAGGTTTTTGTTTTTATGATCCCCGTGATTCTCGAAAGTGTAGGTATAGTGAAGGAAATTTAGACATTCAACCAGAATTAAGGAAGCTCGTCTCAACCTCAACCACTGGAAGCTATGTTTAGATGGAAAAATAGGTCAAACCAGCCTACTCCTCGTTTAGGTAAAGTGTCCAGGAGGGGTCCAGAAAGGAGGTCATTGTCCGAGTTTTCCTCGGAATCTGGGCTCAGGCTGGCCTTGCCAAGTGACAGGCTCAGTCCGACCATGCACAACTCTAAATATGTGCCAATTATTTCAATCATCCATTCTCTCAAACGAAAACAAAGATAAGATATAAACCACATATTGGATCAGAATGATTCACCTCGTACAGCTCGTCGGAAATAAGTCCCATCCCATGGGAATGTGGAATCCTCGACCCCCTATCATAACGTCTCTCACCCGTCGCCGGGTTTCCAACTAAATAGCCCTGTAAATCTCGCACCACAAATGTCATGAGAAAAACATGTTGGGTGCTTATTTTAGAAAATTTGGCTTTTGTTCGTCGGCCGGCCCACCTTGAGATTGACGAGGGGCTTTGACCCTGCCTCGATTCCTGAAACATGATTCAACCTGAATGACTTCCGAGAAAAGCACCTCGGCGGAAAGCGCAAGAGTTTTTCGATCACGAATTGGAGAAAACAAAAAGGGAACCCCATAAGCAGAAAGGAGTGGCCGCATGCGATGACCGAGGGACGTGTACAAGGCACCCCAAACAGGCCGCGCTTTCGAGCAGCACCCCTTATCATCCCACAGGAGCGGCACAGAAGAAGCTGACCCCCCTCGAACCCCGCTCATCTTCCTCTTTGAAAATGATTTCGAGACCCAAACCAAGAAATAAACAAATGAAAACTCCATTACCATTTATTACTTCCCGTGCGACGATGGGTGCTAATTTCCCACCTTGTGACTGGCCGGCAATATAGAAGGGATTCGAGATGAACTCCGGGTGATCCACGAGCCACTACACCACCGGATGTTCGACTGAAGGTGAGTCAAAAATGCGGAAAGATAGAAATCGCCGTCTGGTGTTGTGATTCCGCGAACATATGGTATCACCTTCTTAATGAATGCGCCAAGATGCCTTGATGTTTTGGTGTCCGACCATTCATTTTCCTCGGCGGCCTTGGAGTACGAGAATCCGACGCCCACAGGCGAATCCACAAAGATTATACTGCTGATCTATCGAGAAAAAGTCATAAGAACAGGTCACGATAGAGAGTGACGGACAGAGGGAGACCGAGAAGAGCTGACTTGTACCCTCGTCCAAGACTCCTCTCGGTAGATCAAATTGGGCAACCGTCTGCTCTCGTAACTCTTGATATCAAAGGTGAAAGGGCCTGCACAGCGACAGAGGTCAGCAAAATCGCTCATAATCTCTTGTAAACCTGTCTATGGCTGCACGCCAAAATTGTTGTCCAATGCATAAAGGTCCTCCGATGAAACGTGTTGGGTTGGCCTGAGGCCCCGAAATCAATCGACCATCCGAGACTTACCACCTTGGCGCACTGTTCCCAGTAGAAGATCCTAAACATCCCTTTTCAGTCAACCATTCAAAATAACGATGAGTGGTGAAATAGGAACCCAGGAATAACGAACCCAGGTCCTGTGAAGGCTCGAATTCTTCGCAAATATACCACCTTACCGATTTCATACGCTAACACGTTCAACCCTGAGCAGCCGGGGCCGCCGTTAAGCCACAACAGTAGGGGATCCTCTGCCGGGCTTCTCTCCGACTTGACAAAGTAATAGAACAGGTTCACCTCCTCCAACTCGTCCACCGCGATGTACCTAGCGTCCGAGATCTCTTTCTCCTCAAGACATCGCCGCGAAGGCGCAGGAAGAACGAGAGGGCGAACGAGGAGTAGAAGAATGGCGGCTTACCCTGTTTCCAGTTCGAAGGGGAGGCGACCGTCGAATCCCGGCAAGTGAGTGATGGTCGTCAAGCCGGACACAGTCCACAGCCCTAAAGTCCAAGAACAGGCAATCACCATGACCAGGCCAGCTATCGCCGGCGTCATGGTCAGATCAGCGACGACAAGGAGGCAAATGCCGAACCTAAGTGTAAGAATTATGGAGAGATCGAGAGGAGAGGTGTGATGTATTCAGAAAAATATCTGTGGGACATCTGAGGGACGGCCGCAGATTGTTCTTGGCCTCGCCTTATGTAAAACGGACAAAAGACATTTATTGCATGTCGTTCTTACACTTAAAAGGCCGACGCCCACTTGGGTCTATTGATGCCCACTTTAAATTGCCATTATCTCTCCTTGTTTGTAACTGCACGTCGCCAATCTCTGAAACGGCCTATATGATGTAGTTTATCTCCCGGGTTACAAGTAGGCATTTTGCCAGATGTTTATATCAATCTAACTATATAATTTACCTTATCTGCTGGATTTCAAGTGGGCATTTTACCCCAGATGTTTAAATGAATATAACCTTGTGTGATTCATGTTGAATCATACACTCAAAGGGTGGGTATTTTCATTCTACCATTGTTCATATGTGTGACACTTTTTGAATCTCTTTCTCTCTCTAGAACACAATTATATATGTATATATTAAATCTTCTTTGTAATTGAAATAATTAAAAGATGTAAATATGACTTAAGCACTCTAAAAAGACATTAATCTCATGATCTTATTCCTAGAGATAAGTCTTAAAGAAAGAAATTAATTTGGAAAAAATAAAGTAAAGCTTATATTTATTATTGAACTATTGTGTATAATTTGTAGATGCTTGATAAGTCTTCATTATCATGAGTTAATAATTAATAAATAACATAATTTTAGTCTTAACTCATGATAAATAAACTTATATTTATGTTAAATTGTGACAAGTGTTTTTCAGTTAGTTAATGTGATTTTTATAAATTTATATAATTTTTATAATCTTATTTTTAAAATAAATGATAAAAAATAAAATAAATCCCCTCGCTTCACGCCAGGCTTGGAACGAACACCAAAGCCAAAGTGCTTGCATTTTTTTTTTTTTGTTTTTTTTATCTAGTTTGATCTCGTAGTTGGACGAGGGGTTAGCTTTCTCTGGTTCACCGCCTTGGGAAAATGGGAGGACCTGCTAGTCAACTAGGCCCACAAGTGAGTTGGAAGTGCAGTTGGGCGAAGCCACGAGTAAGGGCTCGAGGGTCTAAGGGTGACCGATTGGGGGCACATGTGCATCACTCCCCTTTCACGTCACTGGTGGTTAGTCGAGCATGGGACAAGGAGTGGTCGTAAACACGCAAGAAAAGTACTTGTTGATTCTCAAATCTTATATTACTATATATTCATCCCAACATTTGACGTATAGTCCATGTGAGACTAAACCTGGTCACAGCTTCCCCTAAATGTTTTTGATGAGTTTAATACTTCAAGTATCCTTTATTTATAACAATGAGATACCATGATGATGTCACTATATAAGAGTATTCGAGAACTTATTTCTCTCTCTCTTATGCAGATGGATGATTGGGGTAGATTTGAATCTAATTAGAGCCAAAACTCATATTTTTTACTTGATTAAATCATGATTTTCCTATAGATCACTAGTGAAGGATTAAGCCACCAAAATCATTCAATCATTGACAAAAATTTTGTCAACATAATTCGTGGAACATTATCATGACCAGGTCAACTATCGTCAGTATCATGGCCATCAATTAGTGACGGTGAGGAGGCAAACGTCAAACTTGATGTGTGAGGATTACGGAAAGATCAAGAGGAGAGGCATAGTTTATTCAAAAATATATATGAGATGGCCACGAAAGGTTATTGGCCTCCCCTCATGCAAAATGACAAAGACAGTTATTGCTAGTCATTATTACACTTAAAATGCTGGTGTCCACGTTGGCTCCTCTATGTCCACTTTAAATGTCCATTATTTCTACTCATTTGAAACTTAATGGGCAAGAAGACAATTACTTAGACGGACTATATAATGTACATTATGAGCTGGGCTACAGTCGGCATTTTACTAGATGTTTATATGAATCTACCCTTTTGTGATTCATTTGGGTATTTTCATTTTGTTGTAGGTCATTTAGATACATACATAGACCCTTGGGTGATTCTTGGTGAATCTCTCTCTCTCTCTCTCTCTCTCTCTCTCTCTCTCTCTCGAACACAATTATATATGTATATATTAAATCTTCTTTGTTATTGAAATAATTAAAAGATGCAAATATGACTAGGGCACTCTAAAAGGATGTTAACCCCAAGATCTTATTCCTAGATATAAGACCTAAAGAAAGAAATCAATTTATGAAAAATAAAGGAGAGTCTAGATCCAAAAAAATCATAAATAAATTTTACAATTATTATCACAATTAGTGACATTTGAATTATTGTCTAAAATTTCTGGAAGCCTAGACTTATTTTCTATGACTTTAGGCATCCATTTTAGCTGCATGCATCTTATTAGTATAATATATAGTCCAAAGATTTTTCAGACTATGAAGAGAAGATTTTTATAAATTGAGCGAACACATCTAAAATTAACACATCTCAAGCATGAAAAATGGTTTGTCCTATTTGGTGTGCACATATAGATCTCCACTCCATTTTAATGCATTGTCACCGTACATCATATCTAAACATCAATAATATCACATCATCACGAATTGCATACAACAAATAAAAACTAAACAACAATTCATTGAAAAAATCATTGATAAATGGCATAAAATAAAAAATAAATCATAAAAGTACAAATGACATCAATAATAGATGCAATTCATGCGAGGACAACTACTTGGTAACAATAATGCTATCTTTGTAACTAAACCTCAATTTCCTACTACTAACCTATATCTCTACTAAAAATTTTACATTAAAAGAAAATTACCTACCAAATTTGTAAGTAAATCCTCATTTGTTCTCCCCCTTGAAAGATATGTAAAAGCCTAATTATTTAGTATTATCAACCCAACCTTCCATTTTCTAATATTGACCCATCAACTCTAATAAGATTATGACCTCAATATTAGCATGGCTCACAATCTCCATCAACACCATACTTAACTATTATTGATACATGGAAGAGATCGTGTTGAGAAAGGAACCAAGGGAGGGCATCGATTTAGGTAAAGACTTGGCAACTTGACTATTGATCCACCAAGCCTGCTAGTCATAGATGATGGAATAATTGAGAGATCTGAGCCATGCTGGCGTCCCTAGAATGTTGATAAGCAGATCGTGGTCGCCACTATTTTGAGGGAAATGACATGACTAAAAAAACCAGCGTTGTTTCATCTGGTGCATGAGGCATACAAGCGAAATATGTGTTTGCACGTGCCTGTATCAAATTTGGTAATAATTTCATGTTCAACAGACGGTATTCTCACTTGTACACCAAAGCTCGAAGGTCTCTATGGGTAATGTTCAGATGATACGGAACTAAGTTGGGAATATCCTCCATCCCCTAGGTTTGTATATCTTCTCAACATCTAATTCACTCACCAGCCTCTTGTGCACTTTAAATGGACAAAGATATTTATTGATTGTCGTTATTACACTAAATGGCTAGTGCTCATTTTGGGCTCCTTTATGCCCACTTTGAATGGGCCCTATCTTTCCTCATTTGTAATTGAATGGGCAAGTCGACAATTCCTACGATGTATTATATAATGTATTTTATCAGCCGGATTTGGGTGGACTATTTAATGTAGGTTTATATCAATCTACCCTTGTGTGATTTATGTTGAACCATATAATTTTACCATAGCTCATATTTATAGACAATCTTGTGTGATTCTTTCTCTCTCTCTCTCTCTCTCTCTCTCTCTCTCTCTCTCTCTCTCTCTCTCTCTCTCTCTCTCTCTCTCTCTCTCTCTCTCTCTCTCTCTCACATGAACTTAGTGGTATATGTATACATGAAATCTAGTTTGTTATTAAAATAATTTATAAACTGATAAGTCTTCATTATCATGAGTTAATAATTAGTAAATAATATACTTTTAGCCTTAACTCATGATAAATAGACTTATATTTATATTCAATTATGAAAAATGGTTTTCAATTGATTAACATAATTTTTTGGCTAATTATTTAATTTTTAGAAATGTGTATGATTTTTATAATCCTATTTTTGAGATAAATAAAGAAAAATAAAATAAAATAAAATATAGTAAAACGGAGGGGACTTAGTGGCCAGCCAAGCCTCCTATAAGTAGGTCAAAAGCGTAGTCAAGGGGAGCCGCGACTAAGGCCTCGAGCGACTAGGACTGATAGGAGAACTTGTGCGCCACTCCCGTTCCACATCTCCAGTGGCCAGTCGGCTGTGGGGCAAGAAGTGGTTGTACACGCGGGAGAAAGGGACTAATTACTTAAAAAATGTGATATTAGTATTTATTCACCCAAAACTTTGGCACACAAGTAATGTGAGACTAAACTTGCGTCACACTTTCCCCCAAAGGGCTTTGAAGGTAGGCAATCAGTGCAGGTTCAAATCCTCCTAGAGCCAAAACTCGTATTTTTTAATTGATTATTGTGACTTTCTTACAGATCACCAATGAAGGATTAAGCCACCAGAATTATTGGATCATCGGCAAAAATCTCATCAACGAAATTTGTGGAGTATTATTACTAAAATTATTGAACGATTCACGATAAAAAGATCACAAATCTATCGAGTAAAGTATCTCTAATTGATCGACAAACAAGTTGTCGTCGGGAAGAGGACGATCTGTCAAGAGATGAGTCACCACCTCATGAGAGCATATCGGATGCGATGAAAAGCCTCCTTTTGCTGCACGGACTTGAAGATGAAGTTCTCTAACACGCACCCCACCTCTATTCAACTCCTCTTCATCGGGTGACAGCTGTCGAAGAGCCACAAAGTTGTTATTTTTCTACTCTACTAAGTGACAGTCACCGAAGATGATTCAATGACCTATTTTATTGATCTCTAGACTTCGCAAGGAGATCTAGAGATTGCCCACATCGTCCTTATTCAAAGAGAGCCTTCGAGGTCGTGGACATTATATGACGATCTTTCTGAATGCTCAGGATTCTAGTGTATCATCGACACATCACCGCCACGACATTAGAACTCTATTTTCTTACTTTCAACTTAATTTTTGCTTTATTTAGTGATAAATTATGTGATTTAAATTTACCAAGTTATATTTCATTCAATTATGATTCTTTTGGCTTTTACATATCTTAATTTGATCAATTAAATTGTATGTAATCGCTTATAGAAGAATTACTAAGTAAAACTTTATTTTCGCTTAATTCACCTTCGTCGGGCGTTGATGTCATCTTGATGTCCACACCCTTATTTTTTTTTTCATAAATTTTAAATATATTTTATTTTTATTTCATAATGTAAAATTTATAAAAAAATTGTATTCTTTGAGTAAAATTTTGAAAAATTACCCAATATTATATTACATCCCCATGATCAACTTGAAAAATTACCACTATTTTTAAAAGTTTTATTAAATTATAATTGATATATTTGTTCAAACATACTTCTAAATATCTAAAAATTAATATTTTCTAGTTTTATAAATTTTAAATTTATCTGATTTACTATACAACGACTAAGTCACGTCATAGACACAAATATGACTAGTGCCCCTCTAAAAAAATATTAATCAATTGGTCTTATTCTAAAAGATAGACCCAAAGAAAGAAATTAATTTGTGAAAATAATGTAGAGTCAAGATAAAAAGAAACCATAAATAAATTTTATAGTTAGATGACATTTGAATTTTATAAATCTTATATACATAGAGTCACAATAAGTGACATTTGAATTATTTTTTAAAATTTGTGTATGCCTAAACATATTTGATATGACTTTAGGCATCCATTTTAGATGTAGTCATCTTATTAGTACAATTTGTAGTCTAAAGATTTTTCAGACAATGAAGATTTCTACAAATAGAGTATGCACGTATGAAATTAATCCATTTCAAGCATGGAAAATAGTTTGTACCATTTTGCGTCCACCTATAGATTTTCCATTCTAATACATTATCACCATACATCATCCTCTATTTTCCTACAAAACAAACATTTATCAAGGATCATATCAAAACATCAATCATATCACATCATCACGACCATATGCAACAAATAGAAATTAAAAAACAATTTATTGAAAAATCCTTGATAACTAGGCATAAACTAAATGATAAATCATAAAATATAAATGATATCATAAATAGATGACATTCATGTGAGAACAACAGCTTGGTAAAGATAAAGTTATCTTTGTAGCTTGATCCCCAATTTTATACTACTAACCCATTTCTCTACCAAAACTTTGCCCTTAAAAATAAGTTATCTCACTTTTTAAGTAAATCCTCATTTCTTCTCCCCTGTGAAAGATATGTAAAAGTTTAAATTATTTATTATTATCAACCCAACCTTTCATTTTCTAATATTGACCTATCATGTATACTAGTATAATGGCCTTGATGGTAGCATGACACACAATCTCCATCAACACTAGAGCTGACTGTTACCGATGCTGGTCACAGTGTTTTGACATTCAACGTAGCTAGCACCGTACTTACATTACTCTACTGCCCTACCTAAATAGATTGTTCTATCTGGCTACCTTGTAAAGAATACTGCACAGCCCATCAAATGTAAAGAGCAACTTTCTCCTCTATTTTAGCGAGGAAAGTAGAATACCCTCGTCAAATATTTATTACATACGACAGCAAAATTGACTTTTCAAAAGGCAAAGGATATTCTTGAACACTCCACAAGCCACAAGCACAGGCCAATGGGCCACCGAATGCTTCCCTGAGGCTTGGCAACAGCTCAATCCGCTTTATTCATATATCTCATACCAGCGCAGCCCAAAATCTGCCCATGGGATCGATGAGCCTTTTTTCAAAAAATGAACTAGGGCACCAAATCCTCAGACAAGCAAGTTCTACATAACATCAAGGCTAAATGGAACCGACCTCCTGCATCACAAAGCTTGCCCCGACATTCTCTAGGCTTGTACTATGGAGCTGTGTGGCCTGCACCCTGAAAAAAGGTATAGAGAGTTTAACACACGAAAGGGAGAGGAAGGGCAGAGTCAACCATGCACGCCAGTTGGAAGCCTCCATCCATCCTCAGAAAGATAGAAAAGGAGATGGATTCTAACCTTAACCGTCGCGAACGTTACGTTGTTGGTGTAAGTCCTTGTGTATCTGAAATAATACAAACAAAGATGGCCACTAGTTAGCCTCGAAGAGATCACGTTGAGAAAGAAACCAAGGGAGGGCATCGGTTAAGGTAAAGATAGATGATGAGCTCCTCAGTCAAAAAGGCACAGTCACCAAGATAAGAAGTGCGCGAGGAAGGGAACCTTGACCAGACCCGTCGGGTTCACAGCCTTTGAAACCGGTCTAAGAGTTATAAAGGCTGAATAAACAAGAGAAGATATTATGGATTCACCTTATACTTGAATCCGAACCGAAGATGATTCGAGAAGAGATCATGAACCAAGAAGACGTGGTCAAACGGATTCCTAAGTACAACCGGCATAGCGGAATAAATGGTCTAACCGGCTAGAAAACGAACAGCATTTACAAATGGAATAATCTAAAGACTGTTCAAGAAGAAGTACGATTCCTATAAATATGGAAGGCGTAGGAAAGGAGGGGATAAGAAATTCCAGTGTCTTTTCTCTTCGGTTCTCTTGCCCCTCTTCTCTCCTGTAGTTCCAGGCTTCTTCCTCACGAGTCCATTATGCGCGTGAGATTGTAGTTCTTCAGCATTTGCTCTGTTATTGAGTGTGTCTTCCCGTGTTCAATACCTACGATGATGTATCAAAGACCCGGCAACTTGGCCATTGATCCACCATGGCCACCAGTCGTGGACGATGGAGTAATCGAGAGATATCAGCCATGCTTGCGTCCCTACAGAGCTGATAACCAAATCGTGGTCCCCACTGCTTTGAGGGAAAGGAAAAGACTAAAATCGGCGTTGCAGCGTTTGGTGCAGGAAGATTGAGGGGGCAGATAAGGAGGAGAAGAATGGCGGCTTACCCACCCTGTTTCCAGGTTCGAAGGGGAGGCAACCGTGGAATCCCAGCAAGTGAGTGACGACCGTCAAGTCGGACACAGTCCGCAGCCCTGAAGTCCGAGAACAAGCAAGCACCAATATCAGCCCAGCTATCGCCGGCGCCACGGCCACCGACCCGCAAAATGGGGATATGCCGAGAATAGCCGGCCCCCCAAGGAGGGAGTGGTCGTAGACCGGATTAGATATCTTTCGAGAAATGGGGCCGACAACAAAGTAACTGAAGTCAACGTTGGGCCCGGGCTCCTTTGATAACCGGTTGAGAACTCAGCCGTCCGGATTTGATAAAGCGAGCGAGCCACGTAAAACACGAGAAACTCGGATGAAGCTGCTCAACGTATTCGACTGTAACGACCGAATTCCAAGAATGAGGATGCTTTTCGACTAAAACTGGGAAACATCGCGACACCGAGGAGGCAAACGTTGAACCGGCGCGTGAGGATTACGGAGAAAGGTATAAAAACGACCGCGGGTGGCGTCTGAGGCGCTGCTTTTTCAAGAAATCGCGAACTTTTTCAACCCTTTCGTCTCTTCTCCCCTCGAGTCCATGAAAAAAGAAGAATGGTTGAAACAGTGGGTCCGACGACGACCCAGCCTGTTCAGGTTCTAGTCGCCACAGAGAGGGGGCAGAAGCAAAGCGGTGAGAAGACCCAACTCACAAGAATGGGCAAAAATGCACAAGAGAAGCCTCTAAAACAGATGCAGAGCGACGCGTGTCACCGGCCAGAAGGGCCGACCAGCATCCCGTCCGTAGATGAGGTCTCGCCGTCTGCGGCATCCCCTGCCCCCGCCGCCTGCGCCGTTCCCTCCCCTTCCTCTGTTCCCTTCTCCACCTTCAGCCTCTGCATCGCGGGACCAAAGAGCTCGTCTCAGACCGGCCGTGAAGCACCACCAATCTAGCAGCTGCAGAGAGAATTTCAAGGCCGATGTGCCAACATCCGGGTTTCTGGGGATGTCCATTGAGATCTGAGGTACTGAGATCCAGAGACAGCTGCCAGAATTCATAAGGGGCAAACTTGTAGAATGTCACCTTCAGATCCGCATCTGTATCCTTCCTCATCCGTGAGAACATGTTCGCATAAAGCTTCGCGTCGCTCTTGTTCTTCTCTGCCCGCCGCTCCTTCAGCAACTTCTGCATGGCCTTCACATCCCTGAAAGTTTGGCAGGGATAGAGGGGAAATCAACGTTCGTGAAGAACTCACAACACTTCGGGTAAGGATGAACAGAAACAGCCCACAGAAAGGATGATCATTTTAAGCCATCTGAACCTCAGATGGACGATGGTCTTGTCTCTCTGTTCACATCCCAAAGATTAGAAGAGTTTGCCTAAAACCTGAGAGCACGCAAAGTCATTTAATCTGGAGAAGACGTCTACCACTCTGAGTTCTGATTTCACCACGAAAGATCAGATTATCTAAAGGTTCGCCAAGTGTCCACGTGCATATTCTTAGCGGTGCGCCCGTGAGAGCTCCGTTGAGCACCGTCAAGAAGACGAGGGCATCTGTGCCTTTATCATGTAATCTTTCTAGGGCCCATGTTTTTGGCTGCCCATCTACCCTTCTTTGTCTTCTTTTCTTCAGTTTCCATCCACATGCTATCAGAGCCTTCTGTGTCGGCGGATCAAGAAAGATGTGCAGCAGCACCCATGGAGGGAAAGAGTCATCGAGTTCTAGAACTGCTCCACCGTCAAGATCAGGAGGTCCCTAAAACAAAAGAGGAGGACTAGGCTTCTCAAAAGAGGGTATAATCATTTTCTTCATGGGTCATCTTGTTCGTCTGCTTCTCAAAAGAATGGTGCAACAAAGAGGGAAAGCAAGCACCAACCAGAGACCTCTTCCCGAAATATTTCAGCCGAGACAATTCTTTCCCCTGCTTATGTTACTAACAGGACGCCATCCCAGCCTCTCAAGAGCAAGCCTATCGTGTTACTCAGTTTCATCTACGCGTCCATTGTTCTCTCTTCACGTCACATACTTTGCTTCCCCTATTTTATCCATTGGCTGGGCTCTGACTCTTGGTAGGCGAGCCACAACCTATTTGTGGCATGTTCCTTCCGCTATCTCCCACTCAGAAAGGCTATAAATGCACTTGACCAAAAACCCTGAAAGAAATATTTTCGTTCTTGAAGCCGGAGATGTACTTTCACCGCCACTCTTATCCTCAAGGAGAGAAGAATCAAGTGATGTGTCTGATCTGATTCGTCTACTCAGCAGCTATCCCCATTGCAAGAACGCCGTTGAATAAACCTGGTTCCAAGTAGAGAGATCTGCGAGCAGCTCAAAATGGGATTTTGACTTCTGTAGTATCTCGAGGTGATTAGAATATAATAGGCTGTAATCTGTCATGTTCGTAAGACTGATGCCACTTCACTTTCCAATCTAGGCACTCCAGTTAAGTCAACCTCTCGTGCAAATTTGGAGGAAGATAAAGAAAGAGAAACTCATGAGCCCCTCTATTGAAGAATGGGAAAAATCACCTGTTCTGTGGATCGACCTCAAGAGCCTTCTTCATATCCAATTCGGCCAAGTCGAGATCAGAGCTCTCAAGGTAAGCTTGAGCGCGTCTAAAAAGCGCCTTCACATTATAGGACTCAACATCAAGTACCTGGCATCGGCAAAACAGAGGAGATAAACATGGGAATCAAACCTGCTACTTGAGCATACATTCCTTTAAGAAATCGATGGAGACAACCGAAGATCAAGTCAGAGTCTTGAGGGATCCTAAATCACAGGGGGTTTCACCAGTTCTGAACAAGGATGGAACCAACCTGGTGGTTCCAATGCTTCTATTTCAACGAAGCATTTAAAGTCAGCATACCTTTGAACACAGAATGATTGTGCCTTGAAAATCCTTTAGTTTAAGGCTACATGCAGCATTATTCAGCCAACAAGAGACCCTCAAATCATTCGACATTTTCTGCTCACCACTCGAAAATGACTCGTCGTCACAAATATATTCAATAGCCTGCAGAAAGAAGAAAATAATGAGAAAATAAAATAAAATTTTAAAAACTAAAATTTTATTCAGGTTGTTGCCATTAATATTGATGAACAAATCGAGTCCCGAGCACCATAACTCCATACCTTCTCGTACCTTTTGGCAGCCCGCTGATATTTACCTGTTTTAAATAGAGAATTGCCACTCTCTTTCAATTTCCCTGCTGCTTCGATTTTCTCTTGACCATTTAGCTTCCATGGCTCTTTCTCCTGTAATAAAAAAATAAGCACCAAAAAATTATACATGCACAATCTATCTTTAGTTCTTCAAAGATTATAGATGGAAACATACCCTGGTGAAGTCCACCATCTCAATTTCATAAATTAAGGTTGAGGACGCAGGAATAGTGGAAAGTTGCCCCTTCACTTCACAGTTTCCATACCCATACTCCGGTTCCACTGTAACAAGAGACACTTCACCCTTCGCCATTGTTGCTGCTACACGGTCTAATCCTGCAATCACCTGCTCTATAACATTGGAAACGTTCATTGCCAGAACATGATATTTTTAGCAGCTAGGTATGTTTACTGCATGGTTCAATAGGAGATAAACCAATAAAACTAAAAACACATGCAGAAAATTCACCTTCATCTACAACAAACCGTAGCGGTTCCTCCCCGTTGTGGCCAAATCTCTCAAAGATTGTGCCATCTTTCAGTGTAGCAGTATATCTAACTGCAACATGGCATTGTATCCCGGATGATACAAACATCCAATTGAACAGGTTAAAAAAAAGTGTTCCGAAAATATATCACAAAAAATAGAAAGGACATAATGTCACTAAGAACTTCGAAGTGAATACACAAACCATCTGCATCTAATTGATATCATACGGTAAAAGGGTGAAAAACAGAAGAACGTAGGTTAGGGTGCAGAGCACTTATGCCCTGTTTTGATGGATTTGGAGGAGAAATAATATAAATGCCACAACAGTGTATAGCCGAGAGTACCACCACATTCATTATAGTTCCATCAAAGGGCCTTGGATGATCTTTTTCTTTTAACAATAGGAACTTACCACTCACTGATTCTCCATCATTTGGTCTACGATAACCTTCTCCTTCTTTCAGGACCTTCTTTACCACTTTCATGTTACCCATCACATCCAAGACTGACTTGAATCTCACCAGCTCAAGGTCAATCTCTAGAATAGTACTTGCAGGAATCAAAGGAAATCCGTTCTCGGGATCTCTACCATCCTCGCCAAATGCATCTGTACACCGATATTCAAAGAAAATATAAGTAATTTCGCTCAATACAAGAATTCAAGCATGGTTGAGAAATACATGAAATCAAGAACAGAAAAGAATGAAAGAGTTTCTCCTACTAACCCCCTGTTAGAAGTAAGGTGCTTCGAATTTGAGGAATTGGATTTTCTTATTTTAGAATTTAAGTTATTCAGTCCTTAACCCCAGTATTCCTAGAATCTCGTCTTCCAACTGTAAGAATATATATACACTGCAATCCTTAATGACGCACTGAGAGGAACAAAATGGTAAAAAAACCCTACTTCAGATGCTAGATATGAGAACCTTCAGCTTTCCCTTCCGATTACATGTTTCTTTCCAATACAGAATAAAAGAAAGAGTTGGGAATCCAATACAGACAATTAAGAATAGAGCCAAGAGGACATTAAAAATTGACATCAAGGATAGATACAGGTCGGACACATTTGTTGGCCGTGATGTTTATCTTGAACTACAGCTCCGAATTGAACAAACCTCATGTCAACTTCGTCAGAAAATCATCATAGTTCATGTTCGAAATCACTGCTTCCCTTGTTTTGAGGTTTGATTTGACACTGTATTGAGCTCTTTGAGATGTTCAGGGGCGTCGTCAACCCATCCTTTTCCACTAACCCTTTGTCCTAATTTTACCAGAAACCGGGTCGAACTATGGTAAATATGTATCCGCATCAAAAAGCACACATTCAATGAAAACATTTGTACCAACCAACTTTCAGCATTTGGTTCGTCTGGAAAAATGAATCTTCGAGGTAGCATGCACATGCAGAAGCAGAATTCTATCCTACGTGGCTAGGATTCAATATAAAAGGAGTCAGGATAACTTAGATTCAGAGAATATAATCTACAGATTGATTATCACTTGGGGCTTTAAAATATTTACGCGCAAATAAGGCCATCGATATAGTCCTTGTCTGCCAGACAAGTCACAGAGACATGACTACAGATGAATCTAGAGATAAATTATCAGTTGAAGATCAGAAATACTTTCACAGAAATAAGCCCCTTGACACATTTCTTGGCAGCCAGATAAGTCACTGATTCATGGCTAAAGATCAATGAAGACGTGCATCAAGATAAGAAGATATACATTGGGGCTGAACTGTTACAGCAGCTCTCTCCCCCTTTTCCATAGTCTTGAGAATCTTTGGCAACGCTGGGCACAAGTGACCTGAAAAAATGGTACAATTACAACAGAAAAGAGTTGCATGAAGCTCTCAGTTCTCTTCCATGAAAGAAATGCAGACTGAGGCACAAAATCTATCCTTTCCAGTTGAATTCAAATGCTACTGTTGCACTGGGCACAGCAAGTTACCCTCGTTGATGTGAAACTCAACTCCTCCATCTGAAGTCTCGGCAACAACTGATCCATCAGGAAGCCTCACTCGGTACTTTACTGAACAGCGAATCCCAAATACCCAGAATTATGAGGGAATATAAAGCCATTCTTACAAACTATAAAAAAATAAAAATAAAAAACGCTATAAGGCGTCGTAAGGCCTCTTAAAGGCATTCAGGGTACCTGCGACCTCATCCAAATCACGGGGCTGTCCACCATTCCCTTTCACTAAGATTTTCTTAATGATTCCCCCGTCCTTGCACACATCCACCACAGCCAGCCAAGATATTAGTTCAACCTCATATTGCAGATCAGACCCAGGTAAAACGCCATTGGCACCGGCATCCCCATAGCCCAGGACAGAGGGCACAGTGAACAATGAGATCTCTCCCTTCCGCATGGTGACCAAGCCACGGTCCAGCCCAGGCACCACTTGCCCTTCAAACCAACAGGAAGTTAATGAGGGTGAAAGTTAACGTCGTAGAAGTGCCACAGATGATACTACGGTAAATCACAAACCATTCCTGCGGCAAGTAAGCATACGGAAAGCGATAAGTAAGCAAACAGATAGAGCACGCAGCCAGCCTATAGGCCGAGGATAGATTAGGCGATCGGTGAAAAATCTAGGTACATATCGAGAAAAATAACGCGGCAGTCGGAGTTAATCTTTGAGTTGATTTGAGGAATGAAAACGATAGAGTCCAAGAGCAGAACCTTGGCCGAGCTTGAACGTCAGGGGTGCCCCTCTGTCCCTGCTGGAATCAAACTGCCTTCCATCCAGAAGACGACCAACGTAGTGAACTGAAATTCCCACCAGACAGGACCAGGAAAACGCAGACACCGTAAATAGGAACGTAAAAGAAGAGAAACTCCCGCATTCGAAGCTCCAAGACGACCGACACGCAAGCGGGAGACGGCCGAATATGCTGGTAGAGCCTGCGCGTTACCTGTCACCTCGTCGCCAGAGACAGGCGTCTCCCAACCATGCCCTGCCTTGAGAAGTTTCTTCCTGAGGCCCGAGCCGTTGATCTCCCTCTCTTCCCCGACCTTGAGCGGCGGGGCAGACTCGATCTCCTCGCCGGGCTCTTCCTCCTCGCCATCCTCATCCATCAAACCGGGGACTTTCGAGTCCATGGCAGCCCTCGCCGCCGCCGCCGAGAAGGTGAGCCTGGACATCCTCCCCTTCGACGACTAACCACTCCGCGGAGAGAAGACGACCCTGTGCGGCGAACTGGGAGGGGAACGAGTGAGGACCAGAGGGGGACCTCGGCCTGCTCGCGCCCTGCCGTCCGGCCGCCGGAAGTCCTCGCTTCCGGCTGAGATGTTTTACAAGAAAATGGAACCTGATTCCCGTCTAGTTTTAAACATTTTTTTAATATAAATAAATAAAGCTAATAATCGGAAAAACATTTCTGGGCAACCTCGATTTTTCCCACGGATAAATCCCCATTAATAGGGCGCCGATTTTTATCCTCTCCTCATCTCCCGACACCTGATTTCTCTTACAGTAAATAGACATATTTGGCGGACTATCGATCCCAAAATGTTCCCAACAACTTTGGTTTAATTATTTCCTTTATATGTTCCCATTTCTGATAAAATATTTGGCTGTCTGATCACTTTTCCCACTGAGGAAGAAGCTGATGAATGACGACGCCGCGAAAGATGGAAAGAATAGGCCCACATTAGACCTGATCGGGGAGGGAGGAGAGGGAAGAAGAAGCATCCCCGGTCGGCTAAGCCATCATCCCCCCCTTCCTCTTGGGGACAGCGCAGCTGCGGCTCCTGGGGTACAAGGGGCCGAGGACGGGCTCCGCCGTGAAGTCGGAGGGCTTGTCTTCGTCGATCCTCCCGATGGCCACGCTCTGACTCCTCGGCACGGTGGGCTTGCCACCGGGTGACTGGTAGAAACCGCTGAGGTTGAGCGAGCCCCTGGCGCCCTGCGAGGCGGCGCGCACGAGGTCCCTCAGGTCGTCCTCGCTGCTGCTGCTGACCCGCGATGGGTTGAGGCTGTAGCTCCGCCGGATCCCGGCGGAGGCGCCGCCGGGAAAGGCGGTCACCTTGCGGAAGTTCCCGCTGCCGGCGCACCCGGTCATGCTGCGGACGTACAGATCTCTGAGACGGCGAAGCGCCCGGAACGGCGCCGTGACCATACGCCCCACCCTGCGGCTGCCGCCCCCAGTGACTGAGCCCTCCTTCCTTATGGCGGCGCCACCGGGGTGCAACAACCCTGCTGAAATCATCCCACACTCTTAGAAAGCAACCAAAACAGAACTACCAGAGGATATTCAAGAAGAAGATATGGGTCTCAAGGGGATCGCGTCTTCTCCTATATAAACGCCTTCTAGGGAGATTTCATGAATGGGGAGATGGATTTCTCTGGGAGATGGCGGCGAGGCGATATCTCCAGAACGCGGACCTTTTCAAACGTAGAACCCGAATGCCTGTTCAAGGACGGCACGGAGTGGCGCGCCGGTGGGAGAAAAACCCGCTCCTGCCTGACTCTTATGATTCCTCCGTTTGACCGGGATCAACAAACTACAGTCAACATGTTATCTTGTGGTCAGGCTCCAGATTTTTGAACGACTTGCAAGGATAAACTTCAACTTCTCCGTCATCTGCCTGCAGATTTTGAACGGCCCGTGATCGTGGACTCAAAGCATCGACTGAGAGGCCCTCGATGCCCCCACCAACACCTAAGAATTCGGCCCTACGCTCGTCCTCCGTCACGGCGCTGACCGAAACCTCCATCTCGCCGGCGGGGGGTCAAAAGCGCGAATGGGAGCAAAGTAGTTTTCAACGCCGCAGGAGTTGAGAACGCGATTGCCTTCTTCTTCCACGTATACTTTCGTTCGCTTCAAGCCCTAATAATGAGGGAAGAAGCCGGGTTCCCCTTCTCTTATGGCCGGCGGCGATCGCCTCTCCTCGAGGGGAACAGACACCCTAATCACAATTAAAGAAGCCTACTGTAGTATAATGCACGGGATCTATGTATGTAAGAGGCGTTTGCCCATATTTAACTTAGTTGACGGTATTAATGACAAGAAAACTATACTCGTGATTATTCGTATGAGCATATTTAGCTGTGGACAAACAATATGATATGGGGTCTATGATCACTGTTCATTCAACATTTTCAAACTTAGCTTATATAGGACGGACATATTGAGCACAGTCTACCATGAGTTTTGACGAACTTGCAGCACTATGTCAAATGCATGCGTCTTTCTCCCTGCTTTTATTGAAAATTTCAACGTATTCCGAGTCGGAACATGATGTGATGCTGCCGGACGTAGACTAGACTGAACCTCGCACGATGAGGCTGCACCATTTTGGTTGCAGGCCCTAACTAGCGACCCGCACCAACCCCGACTCAAAAGCCGATGTTTGACGTATAAGAGACACTACCTCTGAAAGATTATGCTAATAATGCATGGGGTTGATTTGATGAAGGAGAGGGGCTATCAGTCCTCCCTCTTCCCTCTTTGTTGGGTCCATTGGCCCTATCTCCATTTTACCGTCCTTTGTACACGTACATCATTGGGTAGGGGAGAGAGACGGAGGAAAGAGACAAGGCGCAACGAAGAACAAGAGAGAGAACCGTGATGGCCTCTCCTACAGCCCTTATCTCTCTTCACCCGCTCTCCCTCACTGGGCCTCTCTCCACCTAACCGGAAGGGTAAGAGAGAGAGAGAGAGGAGACTCACCACTGCCTGGAGCAATAGGGCCAACGAGTCTCCACAGTCACCATTGGCACCATAGAGGCAGACAGAGATTAATCATGTGGGTAGTTTAGTATCCTATCGATAAAATTATATGCTGGGTATAATAAAGTAGCCTGATGAACACAAAAATGATAGTATATTAATTATCAGAAGCTTAGAATACTGAAAAATAACGTGGCTTTATGAGAAAATGATTTCTTTAACATATTAAGGGAAATTAGAACTCAATAGCCCTTTAATTAAACTGCTAGTTACTAATACTGACCGAGCCAAGTATTACAAATGGCTTGGCCAAAATCAATTTGAATGGGTAGGTCATGCGTTAGGCAAGCTGTTTTCCTTTAAACGGGGAAAAATGTGATAAATACCAAGGTTTATTATATTATTACAGTTCAAAGTTGATAAGAAATACCCTGCTGGGCCCAGAAAAAATGCCGTGCCACCAACATTTATCAGGCCGAACCCAAAGTACAACATGACCCCTGAGCACCCACCCGGCCGAAGGATTTCGGCATGTTTTTGTCAACATAATTCCTTCCGTCAGACGTTCCTCCTATCTTCTCCCTTGCTCGGCTTCCAGACAACCGACACAGACTGTACCACGGCTAGATGCCGCGTTTAAATATTTTTTTATTTTTATTATTATCGTTACCCATGCTACCAAAGCAAACCTACGATAAGACTGATACACGTGTCGGTCATTATTGATTGATTTCGGGTTCAATGACCAGATAAGTCTGGCATGATTTCAGAGTCAACGGTTGAGGCATGTATAAGTAATCCAGTGATGAGAAGGGATAGAGATAGAGGATATGGCCAAGAAGATGGGCCGTCAAAGTAACGTTCCGTGAGAGAAAAATCGAGCCAAGACAGGCTCCCTTTCGACCCTCTCCACCGTCGTTGATAGTATTTAGCTAGTACTTGGTTGCGTCGCGTTACTGCACTCGGTGGGTTGGATTCTCTCCTCTGAACGTGATGGAGATGGCAGTAGCGTCACGGCTGTCCGAAATCTCGCAAGCCTCCAACGTGATCCGCATCAGTCTCCCGCGTAGGGACGGAGGAGCCCACTTAAACGAAAAACTTAGGGGAAACATTTTCCACAACTTACGTCCACGAGGGCAATAGGGAGCTCTCGTCCTCCCAGACTCCTCCTGGTAGGAGGAGAGGGGGAGGGGACTCGCAATCCTCCGGGGACGTCGCAGAAGCCGCGGGGGCCACGCCTGAGACGGCTTCGGTAACAAGTCAACTCAGCTACGGCCACTGATCACTTCGGTTCGGTCTATAAAGTCCAGCAGGCGGTCTATGAATCCCAGTAGAGGATAGATAGGAGGATGGTGAATGGGAAGAAGAGGAAGCCTCTGGATTGGCCGTTGATCCTCTTCCTTGCATTGGCGCAGCTGCTGCAGCTCCTCGAGGCCGCCGGCGGAGGGGAACGCCTACACCCACTAGTGCTCGTGCCGGGCAGCGTCGGCAGCCAGCTTGAGGCGCGTCTCACCGAGGGCTACCGGCCATCTAGCTTGCTCTGCGGCCGCTGGGCCCGGACCCGCCGGGACAAGGAGGGATGGTTCCGGCTCTGGTTCGACCCAGCGCTGCTCGTCGCCCCCTTCACCCGGTGCTTCGCTGAGCGGATGACCCTACTGTACAGCTCGGAGCTCGACGACTACCGCAACGCCCCTGGTGTGGAAACGCGGGTCCCCCACTTCGGCTCCACCCTGGGCCTCCTCTACCGCGATCCCCACCTGAAGTTCGGCCCGCCCCACTTTGGCTTCTGTCTGTCTCACAGCTCTGACGAAGGCTGCCCGTCATCTTAGATCTCTCCTCGCAGGCACATAACGGAGTACATGGCGACGCTGGTGAGATCGCTGGAGGAGATCGGCTACAGGGACGGCGAGAACTTGTTTGGGGCGCCGTACGACTTCCGCTACGGACTTGCGGCGGAGGGGCACCCGTCGAAGGTGGGGGCGGAGTACCTCCGCGATCTCAAGGGCCTGGTAGAGAACGCCACCGCATCCAACGGCGGCAGGCCGGTGATACTCGTGTCCCACAGCCTGGGAGGGCTCTTCGTCCTCCAGCTTCTGAATCGGAATCCCCCCTCGTGGCGGCAGAGGTTCGTCAAGCACTTCGTCGCTTTGTCGGCGCCATGGGGCGGCGCCGTCCGCGGGATGCTGACCTTTGCCTCGGGCTACTCAGTGGGCATCCCTGGGCTGGACCCGCTGCTGGTGAGGGACGAGCAGAGGAGCTCGGAGAGCAACCTGTGGCTGCTGCCGTCACCTAAGGTTTTCGGTAGCAGCCCGCTCGTCATCACCCCCGAGAGGAACTTCTCGGCGACGGAGGTACCCGAGTTCCTTGAGGAAATAGGGTTCCCGGAGGGCGTCCTCCCCTACAAGACCCGGATTCTGCCGCTGGTCGAGAGGCTACCGGTGCCGAAGGTCCCCGTGACGAACATAATTGGAACCGGCGTGAAGACGCCGGAGAGGCTCGTGTACGGGAAGGAAGGGTTCGACAGGCAACCGGAGGTGGTCTACGGGGACGGTGACGGGACGGTCAACCTAGCCAGCCTACTCGCGCTGGCGTCCGGGTGGGGGCGCGCCACGGGGCAATGGCTCAAGGTTGTCAACATCTCCCACGTCTGTCACAGGTCCATCCTCAAGGATGAAGCCGCCGTGAGGGTGATAATGCAGGAAATCTGCGAGATAAACTCTCATCTTATGGGTTCCTCGGCGACGGAGACCTCGATCCCCCACGTCCACTGCTCTGCACCCGACCTTATCGCAACGCGAGGCCTCCTCGACTCCTACCACAGGGTCGATGACCACTGACTGCAGATTCGGCTCTTGCTTCTCCTTCGTTCCTGTACCTAGTCCCTCGTTTCCTTTATGGACTACTCTTCATGGCTGCCGATGTTGAGTCGGCCCACCGGGACACTAGCTCTCTCTCTCTCTCTCTCTCTTTCTCGCTCGCTCTCGTACTAGGGAGGGGGTTCTTTTCAGGGTTTCTTCCTTCCAGCCTGACTTGACGTAGAATATCTTCCGAACATTTTTTCTTTCCCTGATGCGGGTCACCCTCACTTACTCGTGGATGCTTTCACCATTCTTTCGTGGCCTTCTACGAAGAAGGCGAGAGCTAAGCAGGGTAATTCACGGGAGGATGATAAGTGGAAAATCATGCCATCAAATCTCCTGGGCGAAGCCAGCGTCGAGGTCCGTTCCTGCCTCCCCCACCGCCATCGTCTGTGCAGGTGAAGATGCCGCAAGGGAGAGGAGAGCACCAGCACCATCATCTGAGATCTCTCCACCATGGTCTTCATTCGTTTTCACAAGGAATCTAATATTTCCTCTCTTCTACGTTCTAATAATCAGTCTTTTATTCGTAAGAAACTACCAGAATCATCGATGAATCCTCCTCCTTTCCAAGGTTCAGCCTTCAGTCTCTCCGGCAGGCTGCGGAACGATCTGATTGCCCACTGTCGGACAAATAAGTATATTTTTGTGACTATCTAGACCATGTTCGGACCTTCGGGGGGCCTGGTTTCTCCCCTCCCCGTCTTTTACGGGGACTTTGACCCCTTATACAGCCGTCCTCTCGAACCCTCTATCCTAGATAAACGGCGGAGGTCGACGGGGAGAACACACCGTAGAACCGTGAACTTAATGAGAGGGTCAACCCACTTCATAGTTTTCGAATATCTCAGTTTGACTGACGCCATGTTCAGAGACTGCGGACTTCGGAAGGTCAACTATTTTGGAGTGTCATCTGTAGGGTGTAATAGCTAACCGATAAATCTGGGGGAAGGAGGGGGAGAGAGAGAGAGAGAAAGAGACGTAACTTGCTGAACTTATCTTGTAAAGACAAAAATTTCAACGTAAAATGAATAAAATATTATTTTTTAATAGATAATTTTGACGAAAGTGCTCCCAACGTATATTGGTTTGTTATATTTGGACGTCATTTTCTTCCAAGGCTATCTTTTTCTTCGTTCCTTACCAGGCTCGGAACCAGCCCATCTGCCCACTAGAAAACTCTTTCTCTCTCTCTTTCTCAAGGATGAGCAGGCCACGTCAGCAGGTTGAGAGAGAGAGAGAGAGAGAGACGTCCTGAGGGAGACCGAGATCCGTCTCCCCTTCGGCGTAGTTTATTTTCCCGAGGAACAGGGCCGCTGCAGTCGAGACTGGGCGGTGGTCCCGCCAGGGCCTGGGCCGTGACGGCGGCTTGGTCCAAACCCGCGGGGACCTCGCCGCAGTCAAACCCCAGATTCGGATTTATTACCCCGTCAGAGGCGATAATATCGTCGGTAAGGTTGACCGTCTGTTTAACATTGGAAACGTTAACTAACCTGGGAACGGAGGCCTCAGCGGGCCCCACATACCCGTCAACAACATCAAGAAAAACCCCTCCCCCCGCTCTCTGACCAGTCAACCATATGTAGACCCAACACTCCAGTCCCTGGCGCATCCAAACGACGGCCCTTGCCGCCCGCATTCTTGAAAGGACGACCCAGGATGTTTCCACGGTTGGGCCCATTCCATGGTTCACCATTTGATTCGCTTAAGCGACGCCAGAATCGATCCGATAAATCTACCCCCCGGGCTCGTCTTCGTCGTCGATCGGATTCAGTAGTCTGACATGTCGTAAAAAACATGACGTGTCCGGGTCTCACGTGTCGAAGCAAGCCTCACGTGCTCCCCCGTCCGGCGCACTAGTTTTCGTACGCCCCCGCCGTATTTTAATGTCCATATTTTTATTTAATGCGGCTGATATCCGTGCCCGGACAGACTACCATCACTGTTACGAAGAGAGAGAAAGAGAGGGAGAGGGCTAAGAGATAGAGAGAGAGAGCAGAGAGAGAGAGGGTACACGTGCGAACCCAGTGAGGAAGGTGCAATCCGGATCCTTGGAAAAGTGGCTGTAAATGTACCGCATGGAGGAGGTGAAACGAGCTGGCCTTCCCAGCCGGATCGCAGTCCGAGAGTACGGCGCACACGTGCGTACCCGAATCTGTGCGGGCGGGATCCGGAAAAGGTGTGGGGCCCTTTCTTATTAATGGTGATATAAATAAAATTAAATAATCGAAATAATGGTGCGGGAAAAAAACGTTTTTTAAAATTTAGAGCGGATAAATATTTTCTTTTTAATGTAACGACTTATCTACGAGCTCGACAATTTGAAGCGGACCCTGAAGCACGAGGGATTAGGGGAGATGCAGAAGTGGCGCGCGTGCGACGCTGATACGTGCGCGGTGGCCGTTGTCGACTCCCTCCCTCTCTCTCCTCGGTCGTCCCCCCGTCCTCCCTCTGTCTTCTCCCGATTATTTCTCTCTCTCTCTCTCACTCTTTCTCTCTCCTCTGTATCTATCGTATTCAGAGGGAGGGCGGGTTTCTTTTTCCCAGACTGGACTGACCGGATGTAGAATATTTTTCGAGCATTTTTTTTCGGGCCATGGTGATTTTTCCGGATGTGGTTTCTCCCGCTTTGCCCCTGGTTCATTTCGCCATTATTTTCCTCGGTTTCGACGGGGGAAGCGAGAGCTGAGCGGAGTTGGCCGGAGGAGAGGATTATGAGGCGATGATGCCGGCGATGACAATGATGGCCTGCATCTCTTCGACGGAGCCAGAGCAAGAGGCCGGGTCTGTTTCCGTCGCCGCCGCCTCCACCGTCTCAGTGCAGGTGATGATGCTGCAAGGGAGAGCAGAGCGCCGGCGGCGCCATTTGGGATCTCTCCGCCGTCGCCGCTCATCCGCTTCTCGAAGAATTTAGCCCTTCCCCCTCTCTCCTCCTCCCTCCGCTCGGCATTTCTCCCCCCGTCCAGCTCGTTGGCGTTTTCTTCCCGTTCGTCTTCCCGGCGTGTTCATCGGTTTCTTCTCCTGATCTGGGAGATTAGGGAAGGGCAGAAGAAGGGGAGAAGAGTATGCCCCAGTTTCAGCGGCACCACGCGCCATGGCGCGTAGAGGGCGGCACCCAGGTCATAGATCTGGAGACCGCCGTCAAGAACGGCATCCTAGGCGGCGGGGTGGCCAGCGGCACAGTCGGGACCGCCGAGAAGCTCGACCTGAAGAAGATGATCGAGGAGCTCGACTCAGCGGACGACGACGTGCCGCCGGTGTTCATCTGCCCCATCTCCCTGCAACCCATGGTGGATCCGGTGACCCTCTGCACCGGGCAGACCTACGAGCGCTGCAACATCCTGCGGTGGTTCTCGATGGGGAGCCTCACCTGCCCGACTACGATGCAGGAGCTCTGGGACGACGCCGTCACCCCCAACCGAACCCTACACCAGCTCATCTACGCCTGGTTCAGGCAGCGGTACCTCCTCTCCAAGAAGCGTTCCGAGGACGTCCATGGCCGGATAACGGAGCTCCTCGAGGGCCTCCGCAAGGCCAAGGGCCAGGCGGCCCGCGTCCAGTCCCTCAGGGAGCTCCGCCGCCTGGCCACGGCCCACACCGCCGCCGGAAAAGCGGTCGTCGACGCCGTCGACGCCGGCGGCGCCTGTTCCATCGCCTCCCTGCTCGGCCCCTTCACGTCCCACGCCGTCGGCTCCGAAGCCATCGCCATCCTCGTCAACCTCCCCCTCGGCTCCGACTCCAAGCGAACTCTGATGCAGCCCGCCAAGATCTCCCTCGTCGTGGACATGCTCAACGAGGGCTCCATCGAGACGAAGATCAACTGCACGAAGTACATCGAGGCGCTCATGGTGGAGGAGGATTTCCGCCCCGAGGTTGTCTCCAGCTTCAGCCTCCTCGTGGGGTTGCTCCGGCTGGTGAAGAACAGGAGAGATTCGAATGGGACGGCGGCGGGTCTGGGCCTCCTCAGGGCCATCTGCTCCTCCCACCGCCATGTCCTGAGCTCCGTGGTGAGCGTGGGAGTCGTCCCGCAGCTCGTGGAGCAGCTGCCCAGTTTGAATCCCAGCTGCATGGAATCGGCGCTCCAGATCCTGGAGCTCCTGTCGGCGATCCCCGAGGGCTGTGTGGCCCTGAGGGACTGCCCCCAGACGATCCCCAACGCAGTGAGGTTGCTGATGAGGGTTTCGGAGGCCTGCACGCAGTGCGCTCTATCGATCCTCCTCGCCGTCTGCAAGAATTCCCCCGGGGAGTGCGCCCCCCGAGCGGTAGAGGCGGGACTGGCGGCGAAGCTCTTGCTGGTGATCCAGAGCGGGTGCGCTCCGACTCTCAAGCAGCAGTCGGCGGAGCTCTTGAAGCTCTGCAGCGTCAACTACACCACCGGCGATTTCATCTCCAAGTGCAAGCTGACGACGACGATCCAGTGAAGGCGGATAGATGAACGCGGCGATTTCATCTCCAAGTGCCTTCGAGTTTCTGCTTCTCGTGGTGTACAATCTTCATACGTTCCCAGATTTCCTTCTTCCCGTGGCAGGGAGAAGCGCCGATCTGCAGAGGGCTTCCGGCGGGATCATCCCCCTCCCTCCTCAATAAGCCGAGGACCCGGTGCAGGTGGGTCGTCCATTTTTGTCATTCTCGAGAGGAATTATCTCTCGCTGCTCGAGTGTTGGTTCTCCAGAGCGCCGTCGCTTCGCCGGACCTCGGTAATCTCTTCCGTCGTCTCATCCGTGAATGCGGCGAACCTCGTCATCTCCGGCGCTGGCGGCTTCCCCTCACGTCCAAGGAACGAGAAACCGGTCCTTCTCCATGGCCGAGACTTTGACAGTGGGCCGTTATGTAGCCCAGTCAACTCCCACCCAAGGTCCTCGCCTCGCATACCAACTGGCCTGCCGTGGGCCCGCGCCTGCAAGAATGTCCTGTCTGAATCCCATCAGCGGGCCCTACCGGTCGGCCACCACGCCATCGGAGGAGGACTACGTCCGATGGACGGTGACGATCGGTCGCAGCCTTCCGTGAAGTGGAGGCTGACGGGGGCGGTGATCGGGATCCCACGTGGACATGGATCGCCACCCGTGCATTGGGGATTGGTCCAGGACCGGCCCATGCGCGCATCATACTCCATTAATCTCCGTTCTTGGACGACGCTGGACCACTCCAACTGTTCCGCCCTCGGCACGTGGGGCGCGTCAGTCAGTCGGTCAAAGGGCATCTTACTGCACGTGCCGGGGAGCTCTGACGGTCTCAGGTTGTAATGATTTGACGAGATCCCCCAGGGGCGTTGTGGGCCCGTTTGACTCCTGGCCGAGTTCGTCGATTGGAGCCAAAGGGGCGGCAATCCTGCCTCGACCAAGTGGTATTGGGCCTAAATTGGCCTGCGATCGTTGGCCAAACCAAAGTGGGTCGGCTCGGAGTCGTGTTGACGGACTCAGGCTAGGCTATTCACACGGGCCAGTTGACTGGGGGCGTGTGTGGTTGAGGCGACAGAGGTCTTGCCTTCGAGGTATGTTTAATTAGATAGATTAAGAAAATACGATTTTACGAGCAAAAATACAAGTTTTAAATGGAGTTAATTGTATCGTAATGGGCTTCTCATGTTTTCTAAAATATTATACATATATATATGGGCAAAAATATGGCCTAAATTTACGCAACCCCATTAATATGGTATTATCTAATCAACACAAAGAGACAAAAACACAAAGGAATGATGCATGGAGTAGGGTTAATATAGTTGGAAGAAATATTGGTAAGAGGAATTATTTAAGAGAGAGAGAGAGAGAGAGAGAGAGAAAGGTGAGTGTCCGCTGGGAGTGTTCCCCTCTCTCTCGCTCGGCCGTTCCTTAAGAATGGATCCCTGGTTTGACCTGTGGAAGGCAACATCTCCAAGATGTACCACGTAGACATTAGTCAGCGCGACGTCCGCCTGCTCGTGCAGAGAGGCTCGAGTCACACGCCGCCCGGCGGGCGTGGGGTGGCCTTCTCGCGCTCGCCGCGACTGCCAGCGGCGCCTTTGGACGTGCATGGCGCGGCATGGCCGCCAGCCGTTGCCAGACGCTTTCCCCGGACAAGTGCAGAACATTCCATGGGAGTCCCCCGTCGCCATACACGAGATGGGAGGAATTACTTCTTCTGAGCCCCTCCGTCTGTAATGGCAACTAAGAGGGCTTCCCACGGTGTCTTTGAAACCCACCGAGAGAAAGATCGTCTGTTATCATTCAAGATCGTTCTTCTTGGTCAAGATCATCCTCAGCTTCTGGACTAGAACTCGATTTTTAAAGCTCTGGAATTCGATGAGAGGGATCGTCTTCTGCCGCCATAGCCCGGAGAGGGAAGACGGTGGTGGGTGGGTGGGCTGAAGAGTGTCTTGACGACGCCGACTTGCAAACGCTCGGGGGGCGGGTCGATGGGCATACTTTTTTCAGCTGGAAATCCCTATACATTGTCAAAGTTGGACCTCTATCAGGAGGCCGCGTGTGGGAAATGCCGATCTCCACGTGTGAGTTTATCGGATGTTCGTCAGAGAGAGAGAGAGAGAGAGAGAGAGAGAGAGAGAGAGAGAGAGAGAGAGAGAGAGAGGGAGGGACTGCGCATGCCAGTTTCTGTTCTCAAGACCTGATGGATCCGAAGTTGTTGGAGAGACGTCCAAATTGAGACCAGAGGAGGCTGCCGAGAGAGGGTCTTCCCCCTTCGTCGCCCCTCCCGCTTGTCGAGGACGGGCGGCTGCTCGGCCTCGCCGGCGGCCAGGGTGACGAGTCGTCCACCTCCAGGGCCACCTCTCCCCCGATCTCCTTCCTCATCGAGTCCATCGTCCGAGTCTCCACCTTCCCCCCGGAAGCGTCCCTTACGCAGAAGGTCCCTACGGCGCTCTCCCCGAGCGTGCCGATCTCCGCCCCCTTCATGGTCAGCCCGTGCTCCCTGAACACCCGAGTCACCTCGGAGAGGAGCCCCAGCCGGTCGGGTGTGCACACTTTCAGCCTCAGCCCCTTCATTCATGGTCATGGAGCCGTTAGTTTTAGAGGCGCTGAGAGAAGGAAGTTCACTGTTAAGAAGCCCGATAGCCCACCTGCGAGACTCTGCGCTCTACGGCGGCAACCAGGCACCTGGCCACCCTCCTCTGCTCGGCCTCAGAGTCCAGAGGGCGGCCGTCCATGCGGCGGATGAAGTACTCCTGAGGAACCAGGCCGTGAGCAGCGAGTTTTGGCCTGCGACGACGACAATGGCGATGGGCGTCGTACCTGGACGGCAAGCGGTCCGTGGGAGCTGACGGTGGCGTGGAAGACGACGTAGTCCAGGTCCGTGAGCGTGCACACGGTGTCGAAGAGCAGCTTCGGCCGGTCCCGACTCCGGATTCCGACAACGGAGTAGCCCTTCTCCCTGCAACTCTCGATGGACACCTTCGCGGCCATCTTCTTCCTCGTTGCCTCTGCCTCCTCCTCCTCCTCCTCGAAGTCCCTGTCCTCGTGCATCAGCTGGTGTAGTCGTCGCTCGGTGTGGACGGAACTGGCTGCGTGCGCCGCGGGCCGCAGCCTCAGCCGCCACCGCTCGCGGGGGCCGTGGTGGGCGGCGACGACGTGCTCGAGCTGATCCTCAAGCTCCCTCAACCGGGCGCCACCAGAGAGCTGCCCGTCGAGGTAGAGGATGCACGCCGCGCGGGAGTTGTGGGTCCATGCTTGGCCTGAGACCACCTGGCAGCCGTGCTTGACGATGACGGCGGAGAGCTCGGAGAGGATTCCCGGCCGGTCAGATCCCGTCAGCTCCAAGGCCGTGTGCTCTGACGATGCCGTCACTGGCGGCGCCACCACCCTGCCGAGGCAAGTCTTCACCGGCTCCGCCCCTCCTCTCAATCGCGTCGACGTCAGCGACTGTGAATTGCAGGAATCGGCGGAAGCTCAGCCGATACAGGCTTAGAAGGATAACTGTGAGGGGGTGAGGGAAAGAGAGATTTGCTGGAACCTGCTGGATATAGCTGATGAGAGAGCGATCGCTCAGCTTCCGCCCAAACTGGTCCGTCACATGGAAAACTGCATCATCGTTGTCATCGTTGTCATAGTTGCTATCGTCACAGAGATTGAGAGAGAGAGAGAGAGAGAGAGACGTGTAGAAAAATACCGTCCATGACCCATCCCCCGTCGGAAGAGACGTAGGATTTGGAGATAACTAGGTCGAGGTCGGTCAGCACCTGCACCATCTCCAGCAGTATCCCGTGCTTGTTGGTCCCGTCGACCTGCAATCGAAGGATACAGATTGAGGATGAGAAGGGAGGAAAGGAACACGAACGTAAATCGGTTCTAAGGAAAATGGTTCTTTGGTTTGGATGAGGAATACGGAAATAGAACCTTCACGAGGGTTGTGTCGACACAAGTCTCGTTGTCCACGGAGACGCTGCACAGGAATCAAACTCATTACAGGAGACCCAGCGGAAGGGGGAGAGAGAGAGAGAGAGAGAGAGAGAGAGAGAGAGACCTCGGAGGGTTGATTCTTTCGGTGAGGGAGTCGTAATCGGGGTCGAAGTAGGGGCAGTACCCGCCGCCGGCCCAACAACGCTCCATGCCGCTCCAGAGCTTGGAGCAGCCCTGCAATGGCGGGACCATGGCGATTCTGATACCCGACAGCAGCACCAACGAGGAACGGGGAGATTGACCGGGGGGGGGGGGTGCCCTAGGCCATTAATACGAGGGGAGAAAGATCAGTGGTACCCTCTAGTTGGTGCGACGCGGAGACGACCAGTACGCCGGCCTCACGCCAGCGTGTAACCCTCGGAGGCAGGCCAGGCGTCTTCTTCCTGCCAGCGCCGTGGGGGAGACGCCCAGGCTGTTCTCAAACAGCTGGCTCTGAATCAGGGAGGAACCGGAGCGAGGAGGGGGGAGGGGGTTGCGGCTTCTGTTTCTTCGCCTCCTTCCTCCTGAATTCCCGCAAAATCCCCAGAAGACTAAGCGATGATCGGAGCACAGAAGGCAATCCCCGACGGATCAGCGCGATCTCCCTCCCTCTCCCCTCTTCTTTCCTTTCCCCGTCTATGAAAAAAGTAAATCTTTTTGACAAAATCATAAATACCCACCCGTGAGTTCTTCCAAGTGCACTGCTGGCAGAAGGAACAGGAACTTCCACCTCTCTCTCTCTCTCTCTCTCTCTCTCTATCTGTGACGCCGAGAGTTGAGGACGGTAGGTGCGGAGGAGAAAGCGAAGCCGTCGGCTACCCCATTTGTAATTTTCTCCGATTTCTTGGAGTTTAGCATCTGAGATTAAGCCTTCGGAGACGGGACCAAGCTGGCCTCCGTTGAGCGGCTGCCATGTCTTGGGGACGTGTCCAACGATGGATAATTTCGCTTGCGACGGAGGCGATCTCGCCGCGCCGGCGCCCCCGCTAGCGGGTCCAAGACCTCCGCCGCCACCTCTACCGGTCAAGCTCGCCCGACGAACCCGGGCAGCCTTTGACCGACTCCGTCCCCATGTAGACGACACAATCCAGTGACGTGCGGTGCAGCCTCAAATAAAAACATAAATATAGTAAATCAAATTAGCGAATGTTTGGACCAAGAATAATTTATTATTTGAAGCAAAGCACCTTTTTTTAAAAAAAATACCCCTTTTATATTATTTTTCGATGTTGATATATTCCAAATAAGTCATGAGATCATCTAATATTTAATTTATATTCGAATTATTCTCTCACATTAACCATGGGGCCTGATATCTATACCTATTGTCGCATTTTATTCTTCCTAAGTCGGCTATTATTGTATATTATGCTATATAAAATATACTTTCCCCTTAGTCTCCATTGGATCAGGTTGGAATGGGCCTGCCGTGCGCGGCCCAAGTAGCCCAAAACCTGATCTGAGTTGCTGGGTGAACGAATTGCTAGCACCAGGTCAGAGCATTGACTTCAACCGGAGACTTGACAGAAAGATGGGGGGGGTTTTGTTCAGGCCAAGCCTCTTTAATAAAATAAATGAAGAACTACCCAAAATAAAAAATTACGCTTTTTACATAAATGTTTTAACTTTTATGTGACAGATCATCAGAAAACCGGTTCAGTTGTTGACGAGGTTCGTACCTTCTGCATCCTCCGTCACATTTCCTAATCGTAGGGGTGGGAACAGAGGTTAATATTTCACAGATTCCGATTATTATATCATAAATAATAATCCCATAATTTAATGATAATAATATTAATAATGTGCTGATTGATATGCATATAAAATCAATAATTTTTAAAAATGGGTTTTCTGGGTTCATCCCCAATTAATTTCTGGTCAGATGATCTTGAGGTAACCACAGGGATCTCAAGATCATTATTTATGTATCATAAAGACTCTGTAAAGAAGTACGTCGATAAAGAATAAATTGGTAAATTGGGAAATTCGTGGCGGTCTAATGCGCGCCGTGGGTCGGTTGGTAAGCGTCTCGACGGAGAGCTTGATCGAACTCGCGACGGCGAGTACGTCGGAGGGATCGTTAGACGGGGAGGGCGGTTTCCGTTTCTATTTTTCTCTCGAACAGAAGGTCAAACATTGGTCATCTTAGCCCTCTTCAGCGTGCTCGACGCTATCCGTATCCACTTAGAAAGAACGAGCTCGCATGATCCCCGTTTTGCTTCTCAGACAGAAACCGATACATGGGATCGTACAGTTCTATGCTTTTGCAATGCCGAAGAACTATGGGAAGAGAGAGAGAGAAAGAGAGGAGGAAGAGCGGGGTGGAGTTGCATCGTCGGGGAGTAGGGAGTCAGGCAGGAAGGGGGCGCGCGCCGGGGCTGTCGGCGGCGCGGAGGGTCTTGTCGATGAGCTTGCGGGCCCTGCGGCTGCGGATCTCGACCTTGACGCTGGAGCTCTTGTCCATCTTCAGGTACGGTTTCTTGCTGCTCTTCTTCTTCCTCAGCGACATCACCAGCTTCGTCTTTATGCTCTCCACCAGGCTCCCCAGCTGCTCCTGCACCGCCATCTCTCTCTCTCCCTCTTCTGCACCTCGCTCTGCTTCTAATACCCAGGGAGGGGAGGAGCGAGAAGGAACTGCACCGGAGGGCCGCTGCTGTCGCCGTCACGTCGTAGTCAACTCTCTCGACCACCACAATTTACTTCGTTTTCAAAGTCTTCGAGGGGGCGGAGACGCCGAGAACCCCTCGCCTTTTCTACACCATTAATGACTTCGCGAAATCTCAACTGGCCCCTCAATGGCCACACAATTATACTCTCATTCTTCTGGTCAAACCGGATTTTTATATGCCTTTCGACTAGCTGCAATTATATCTCATCCTGTTCCTGCTCATAGTTTCCCAATTCAATCCTCTTCTTGCCTAGTGATCCGTGAGATCTCAGTCGACCCACTTGGGCCTCTCTCGCCATCTCCCCCCACCTCTGGAATCGAAAAGGTACCTGTTTCCATGGGCCAATACGCGGGCTCTTCTAGGCTGGTGATAAATCAGACGCATAGTTGAAGCTGATATACGGCCCATGATTGAAGTCAATTAAACTGGTAGCTAAGCTGCAGTCGGTGGGTGTGCTATCGTGTGTGAGGATTGGGGGAGAGAGTCCACATTCACACTAGCACGGCACGCTAGAGAGAGAGAGAGGCCAGATCCAACCTTACCCAGACGGAGGCTACACCGGACGAGGCCTGATCTTCTTCGTCCAAGAATTCAACTTTTGAGACCGAATATGGGAAAATAACTCGGACCATAATTGACCTGATCGACATCAAACCATATCCGACTCCACATCAAACAAGAACAGTGCGGATTATTCCAGAAGACGAGGAGGGGGGGCTCATTCTTCCATGAAATCCGCTTCCGCGACGGCCTCTTTCTGCTTTAGGGGGGTGACCCTCGCGGACAGGACCTCTGCAGCGAAAGAACGGGGTGAGTTTAGAGGGCAGAGTCCGGGGGGGGCGGGGGGGGCGGGGGGGGCGGGGCGGGTGGGGATTACCCGTCTGGCCTTTGCTGAAGGAATATCCTCTGGAGCTGATGTAGGTCCGGGGATTGGGGAGCTGGTAGTTCCTCAGGTACTCCACGTGGCCCTTTTTTTTTTTTAATTCATGTTGAGACGTCACCAGGAAGAAATTTTTGAAAGAAAAAAAAGATTCGTAATTTAGGGGGGAGGTGGGGGCGTACCTCGGTGATGACGCAGACATCCACGTTGCTTCCACTTCCAAGATCGTTGAATATGCCGGAGCATATGGCTTCGCTCACGAGGCTTATTCCTTCCGCCCTCTGAAACAGGGAGGGGAGAGAGTAGATAAGCTCAGCATCGTTAGGTGTTAATATTGTTAGCGAGCAAGGGGTTGATGAGATGGTCCCGGGTGACGTACGTTGAGGCCTTCTCTGTATTTTGACTCGAATACAGCCATGGCGGCCAGAGACCCGGATCCCATTGTGGCGAAGGGGAGAGTGTCAGTTGACCCATGAGGAAAGATCTGCAGTGAAAATTGCCCCCCAGCGCGCGTGATTCATGCATCTCTTTGGACAAAGAAAGGGGCGAATGATGCTTGCTTCCTATGTCTGGCAGAGAGTGTACCGTGTGAAGGTGCGGTCCGGTGACGTCCACGCCGCCGAGAACCAGAGCAGCACTGACATATCCTTGGTACCTGGGGAAGAATGAGGGTGTAGGAGATTGGAGATGATTTTATAGCTTCTGGATCGAAGGAAAAAATCTATCAAAGAACAGGAACGTACCTGAACAGGTGTGTTTTCAAAAGAGAGAGGGCAGTGACGACTCTTGATTCTCGACCTGTCGCATATCTGTGCAACTGCAGCTGGGAGCTTACCATATCTATTGAGAAGAACAAGATGATTGTGGCATACGACGTCGCATCAAGATCAAAATGACCGAAACTGGGGGTGAAATGGTCGTGCAACAGATCAGAATCCACATAGGACCAGATTAGTTCCTGTATTACCTGTCACTGCTTCTGTGTCAGCAGCGGTTCCAGCTCCACAGCAGTATATATTTGGTGCCATGAAATGAATTTTCTCACAGTTCTTATCAGCAACAATTGGCCCTTCAGTTGCTCTTGTATCAGCCCCCAATACAACACCGTCCTAGTTTTTTTTTAAAACAAAAAAACAAAAAGGGTCAATGAAAAATCCTGTTCAAGAAAAATAAATTCTGCATAATTGAAATATCAAAAATGATTTGTAATAGAAAAAAAACACCTCTTTGTAACTCCCTGAAACAATCAGAAGTAGTTCAAAAATAGAAGTCCTAAAATGCTACTTAAACAGATCTCAATGGTACCACACAAGTGAAGGTAGCACCATGGAAGAGAACAGAGAGTATGTTTGCACATGAAAGTGGGTTAGAAATAATCGTCAATTGAATGAGATTAGCGACATTAGAAAAGAAAAAAAAGAACAATGAGACTTAGGTAGCACCACTAGCATATGCCAGATTGTGGACCGAGATCAGAGAGGATCAAGTAGGGCAGTTCTTCAAAATTTGAAGTATTATGATATGGTTCTAGAAAGAGTGCATGGAGATGTCGTTTGGAAAATTTGTATTGCTGTAAAGTAATACAAGTTATAAGGATTGTACACCTACTAAGATTGATTTCAAAGATAAAAGATGCACCATAATTTAGAGGCTAAATTACAGTACATTAAAGACCCAGTCTTACCATTTCAAACCTAGTATCTCGACCATAATAGAGAGGAGAAGAGCATGTCAATGCGGTTGCAAACGTCATGTAGGTCGATGAAGTAAGGATTTGCCTAATTTAAATACAAGTAACAAACTAATGGCTTCATTAAAAATTATTACACTAGTTTATGACAGTGGCTGGTTTGTAAAATATAACAAAAAGCTAAAAAAATACACGACTGTCTCCGATATTGTGCTTGATTTACTTTTAAGTATAAAAAAAGTAACTAAAGGATCTCAACTAAGAAATAAACGTTAAAAAATTATTGGCAGCAGACTCAAATAGCAATCATACCTGAAAGACCAACCCCACAATTGTGGTTCCTGTCTTCAAGAACGACGGAGGCTTGAGGCCTTTCCCTGAGAGCATTTCATTCCTACGGCACAAATCAAAGCTGAATCCACCCTTATGTGGAACTACCATTGCCACCTCACTCATACTACAAAAAGATATGATAAAAACGAGATATAAGACTTAATGAATAAATGAGGCTTGTTAACAAAAACAGCCAAACCAGGCATTGAAGATAGGGTAGCTTCAAAAAACATAAAACGTATAGACATAAAGAGCCTTCGACAGTAAGATTCAGGATAATAGAAAAAAATAGTCTTATAATGCAAATGGACATCTACATTTTTCATTCAAGTAAATTTAAAGTAGGCTTCAAAGAATGTACAACCAGGATAAAGTCAATTGTAATTCTGTGAACTGAAATTTTTAAATCGAACAAATGTTCAGGTCGTACTAAAAAGTTAGCATGTGTGACGGGTTCGTAACTAAGTGCTAAAAAAATACTGAAAAAAAAAGCACCATATACCATAAAGAAGTTAAAATGAGATATTAGATTTAGTGACCACTTGTTCGATGCGAATGAAGAAAGATAAGGCTGTAACAGAGATAATATATAATCTCGTTATTATCGGATTTTCGAGAAACAGTGATGATCCACAGAAGGTGAGCACAAAAATAAAATTCAGCATGATTATAATACGGTTAAAGGTCGGTTTAGATGAATCACACTCTGTCAAAATTTGAACTGGAAGTCAGGGAGGGAAGTAGTAGCGATTGGAAAAAATCACCAATTTTTTGAATTCTTTGCTCAATCAGTTAGACACCATATTGATGGGGGATGCTGCAACCGGTGCCAAAAAAATACCGTCACAACCAAGTCTATAACCTCAACGGATGGATGCCTGATCATCCTCTTGAGCCCACAACTCCATAAACAAGTCTACTATCTTGGATTTGAAAAAACTATTACTCCTACACACATCCACCTTCTGTTTTCGTGCATAACTAACAAAAATACCTCATGCACCAGCAAAATGCAGGCTGAGCAGAGAAAAGAAAAAAAGGCGCACTTGCAAAACATCGCTTAGACAGGCTATTCGGTGTTTTAAGCACGAAAAAATAATATACCCTAAATTTAGTGAAAATTCAAAAAATAAAAAATAAAAAAGAAACAAGAAAACATTGTCGTCAGCTCTGTCCAACCTGTCTGGAGGAAGCCTGCCGGCAACATTCAGTCAACAACATTCAACAAGATATAATTTTAGACGAAGAGGACTTAGTGATGACATTAAGATAAACAAAAGCCGATTAAAGGACAGCAAACGATCGCAAAAAACTTGCGGAGTCGTCGAGAGTAGATCCGGCAAGCGATAGCATAACAGAGCAGAATTACGAAATACAGAGCAGAGCAGAAGCCTGCGGGAGGATCAAGAGAGACACTCTGGTCCGTCGTCGTACCTTCCTCCCGAACCGCAGAGCAGAGGCAGCCGAGTACCCAACAATTCTTCGTAAATGCAACAATTCCGACGCCGAGCTCCAACTGTTTTAAGGTTGGCCTTCGTGTCTCCCAAGAATATATTCGTCCCAGCAGGGCCCCCGCCGTATGGACATTACTGGGCCAGGCCCAGACCGGCCCAGCCCTCCTCTCCGAACTCGATCAACCGGGCCGGGCCGACGACGTCCATGGTTCTAACTTGGATGACGCAATTATTTGTAAATAGAATAAAAGTATTAATCCACGTTGGTATTTATGCGGGAAAACTTGAGGAGCTTTAGTGTCCCCATTTCGGACTCCAGATTCCTTTCCTCTTTTACGAAATCTCGGCGTTCTCCGAAATTTGCGTGACGTTCCTGATCTCGGAGCCCTCGTCCTGAAATCCATGAGAAATGTGAGTCTTCGATCCGGCTCTCTCTCACGCGCTCCCTCTTTCCCTCTTGTTCGAGATCAAAGAGGGAGACTGCCTCCACTTCCGACGGCTTCCTTGATCTTCTTCTCGGCGATCTAAGCTTTTCAGGCTGATTAGGCGGTAAATTTTCAATTTCCAAGTTCCTAGATAATTATTTCCATCTTATTTGGAGTTAAATCCGGAATTTATTTTTATTTACAATAATTCCATTCTCCCGTAGCGGTCGGGAGCAACCATGAATGATTTTGAACCCTAGATAAATATAACTGATTTATAGGATTCTAATAATGAGTTTATAGGAGAATGGAAGCTGAAACCGCTCCGAGTTTTAACCTTCGTCTTCGTTCCTCACATTATTATTTTTATTACAATGCCAAAAAATAAACATAATTAATTGATTAGATATTTACCACCGTAACATAGCACGATGAAAGTTCCGAATGATTTTTTCCCTGGGCAGATAACTTAATTATCATAAAATATAGACGTAAAAATTCGCCTAAATATAAGTCCGGTGAGGTTTAGACCCACGATATTCGTTGTAAAAAGATAAGAGTTAAGAGTTTTTGTGTTTTTCAATGAAATTATCGCAGCTCTGAAAAGTGCTTTTTGGTAATCCGGCGTTGGGATGGTCGATTCTGGGGCGAAGTTGCGCCATCTTCTGCTATTCCCAAGGATTTCTGGCACCAGTGGCCGCGGTGGATCTTCGTCGGGGAAGGGGGAGAAGAGATGTTCCGCAGGAGAGGGTTTCTGTCCTTGCCAATGGTGGTGGGTGCGGTCGTGTGAGTTCCTCCCCCACTTCATGCCAACGCCATTTTACGTTTTCCAAGTCGGGTTTTGGGTTTCTGATCCTCTTGCGCGCGATCCTTCCAATGAATGTTTCGTTCACCTGAGAGCTTCATCGTCCATCTGGGTCGATAGTTCCGGGGATTATTTCTTCGTCGTTTCTTCGAGGAATCTTGTTTCCGAACCTCTCAAATAGCAAGGGAGATCTCTCCGTAGCCCTCGCTGTGGAGATCGTCCCAGATCGTATGAGCTGTTACTAGCAGAGCATGTTCTTCGAGAATTGAATGGGGCTGATTGAACATCTCGTGCTGGGTCCATAACCTAGCTCGTCTGCTCCTCAATCCACATCATTCCTTTCAATTTTGAACTAAGATCTTGGTAGTTTGCTTTCTCACCGAAGAGATCTACATCGAGTGACCCATAAAGCAGAACTGCTCAAAGTTTGCTGCATACGAACAACTGTTCCTCGAATCTTCTGATTTTTCTGACGAGATTTGAGTTTTTCAATAAACTGAAGAACGGCAAGCTCGATATGCTGTTATTGTTTTTTCCTTTTTACCAATGATATGAAAATATTGCGCAAGATCAAGTGCATCTCGAGAGTATTGCCATGCATGTGACGTTGCCAATGTGCCTCGTCTCTAAATACCGTGATGCATCTACTGAGGAGGATATAATATAATTTTCTGGCCTCTCGCCAGCTTTACTTCAACCCCGGTGCCAAGAGCATAGCCACGATTACATTGGATAGGAGGGGGCTTGGAGAAGGCCTTTTAAAGCTTGGTGGAAAGCCTGCCGCTGCTTCAGACCCTGATTAGACCTCGCACTTACATGTCCTGTAGCATCTTAACGACGAGTTTCTAAATCAGCCCAAAATTTAACTTCTCCTTTGGTTAATTGACCGGAACTTCTTTGGTGAAAAATGAGTGAAATAGCTTGTCCTGAAAGTTGTTTGCTTGTAGGATTGGCGTGGTATCTGGAAAAGCCATATTTGGACCCCCTCTCGAGGAGTACTGGGCAAAAAAGCTCCAAGAGGAGGCAGCAAAAGAGGGCTCCAGCAAAGCTTAGTGCTGTGCGTGGAAGACCATAGAACAGCTTTGGCATTTGAACTCTAAGCGAGGTTTGAGACCAGCGACTGGGTATTGCTGTAAGCTGTGAATTAAATACTATAGATGTTTTTCTTCTTCCTTTTTTTTTTCTTGTATTACTCTTCATCGAATTATGTAATACAATGATTCAATTCTTTTGAATCTGTTGAGAATGTCATATGTGGGTTTGGCTCAATTGAGATATATTCTACAAAAGTGGAATGGCATGTACTCATCTTTAATCCATAATCAGTGGAGTGAAACGCATGCCTAACCATTGGCACTGGCGTGGACAATATCAGTCTTATTATTGGCAACTCACAGGATATTTTTTTGTTTCGATGTGACAGTGAGCAACGAGACAACGTTCACACTTTAATCTTTTAATTGGAGAGCATGTTTGCCAATGTGGACTTATTGTTTAAGAAAAATATTAACGCCATAAGTCCAAGTCTGAAGATAGTTTTGGAAAAGTAAACAGGAGGCATCGAAACTTGGAAAATATCTTGCAGGGCCTGTTTACGTTACTTCAGTCTTGGTCTCCCTGCATTCTGATTTGTAATGGCATATGAGAGTTTATAATGCTCTTTCTCCGATCAGTCCAGTTGCTCATCCTTTACAATACTATAAATATATAACTTTGGCTGCTGTGGTTCAATGACCACGGTTTTTGAAGAAAATAAATTTATGGGCGAAAGTGGTCTCGAAGAAGCATGACCTATGGTCTTAAGCCGAATCATTCTAGCCATTCGGGAGGAGACTAGAAAAAACCCAAAGTATAAGATTCTCAGAGATTTTGCCCTCTCGCTCCCTTCTTCATGATGTACTTTCTATCTGACTCGCGTCACATGAATCTGTATTTGCTTCTAGTTTAGGGAGACTGTGTGTGCTGCACTTTAGGGAGCTAGGTTGGATATGCTGAAGTGACAATACGACGATAAATCTGGGCTCCTTGCAGCTGCAGATACTACTGGGGTGATTTTCAGGCTTACTTTAGTGGAAGGTAACTAGAGCTGGGGATGGAGGTCGAGTATATGGACAGTAGCTTGGTGAGCGACTTTGGGCTTACTTTATCTTTCTTTTTTCAATTTTCTATTAACTCATTGTATGATATTTTCCCTCTCTCTCAAAGGCGCATATTAATATGCAAGGTGGAAGTGAGAATTTTCATCGCCGGCCTGTTCCATCATCACATTTCTACCAAGCAATTTATGCAGAAGTGAGAATTTTGCAAATTTTCCTATCCTGAGTATTTTTTTCATTTGAACTTTGAAATTTGATGGTCAGAGTTTTTTTAATCCGAAACACGAACGACTTCTTATCACCCGGCTGTTTGGATATCTCAGTTGTGTTTCAACCTTCCCTTTACTTTCTTGGTGATTGTCTGACGCAGATAGAGGAGATTGGATGGGAGCACTTGCTGCGCCTAGAAGAAGATCTCTCAACTATCTGCTTCCGAGTTCGGTAAAGATTCTCTTTATGCAGGGGATATTCTCTCTTCCCTGCTATTTCATGTTTAACCGGGAATGGATAATCTTTGACCACTCTATAAAGCAGAACACTTCAAAAAGCCTCAGAGAAATGGAAGAGTTGAGCTCAGTGTTTTTGTAAATCTTCAATTCCTTATATTTGAAGAAAACAACTCCACCAAAAGAAATCCAAACCTATTCAGAGAAAGTGTCACCTTTCAGGGTGGACTGGTTCATTCCTTGAATAGTCAGAAGGAGCATGTTTTTAAGTTTTAGGGCAGTTATTGATCTTGAACATGGGATTCCTATTTTAGTGTTATTCTCTCTCATTATATATTAAATGTCATTATGTAGTTCATTTATCAGAAAGGTCTTAGGTGAGACTTGTCTTCCTTGGTGTCAACAACTTGGGTCTAAAACATTTTATTCATTTTTTAAAAATTTAATTCTGGTATTTTCCTGCATGCTCCGTTGTTGGATTGAAGCTTTCTTGGGGAATAATTGTGCTTGAGTTTTCGCACATCTGCAATCGATTATGCTAACCTGATTGTATCTTGAAGAAGTTGTTCTATTGACGCCAAAAAGGTGGACTATTTTTTATTATTTATTCTTTTAACATATTTGCCATAGCCATGTAAATGGTTGTCTACATGAAGAAGAATCCGATTATTTTGTCGGGTGTTAAGACTATTATCCGGTCGTTTTTGCTATTAGAGACAAGAAAGAACGGGTTCATGCTGTAGAGATGATTCTGCCTCGAGATTATCCCCAATCAGCACCTTCAGTTGCAGCGGTCAGCTCATTTTCTGTGCTGCTATTTTTTTATGAACTCTCCAGTACTATGCTTTTGGCATCCTAAAGATTATCTGAAGTCTGTGGAGTCTGTCAAGTCTACTATTTTACATCCTGAGAACAACCAGAACGTTCTAAAATCCTGGCTATTGTTTATTCTTAGGATGTGCCTTACGCATGTGAGCCCCAGTGGCCGAAAGGGTCGAGGTTAAAAGATGCTATGAAGCAGTTTCTTGAGGTATTCTGGGTGCTCCTGGTTTGTTCTTCCCACTCACGGCCAGCTCAAGATTCAGGCTTCTTACTTAGATTTCCATGGCCAGCACTTGGAGGATCTACAAGGATTTTGGTCCGTCTTGGAGGAGGTTGACCGGGATCTCTGGGTTCTGGAGCCTAGACAGGAATCCCACGCTGCCTCATTCCGGCAGATATGCCTCGGTGAGACCCGCTGACTGGTTCCTATGGTCGTGTTATTCATCTGATTCATGCGATGTGTCATTGACTTAGGTGATGGGTGCCAGATTTTACTATACATTGATGCTAAGAACCCGAGGTCAAAGCCCGAGTGAGAATCGCTCCTTGATGAACTTAGAACCTGCTCGCCATTCTTCCCACTGATCGTCGTCTCGAGTTATTTCAGATGCCGTTTCCTTGGCCCGGACTGGCTGACAGACGATCTAAGGAAGAGCTGGAAGAAGAACAGCCGAAGATGGTAACCTCAATTTCCTGGGGATCGAATTATTTTTTTTAATAGCCCGTAGATTCATGGCATAGAATCCCCCTACATTTTTTCATTCCATAAGATCGATTTAAATAACGTCTCAGAGCGATCCTCCTAGAAACCATGAGATCTACTGCTAGTTTCTTCTGATTTTCCCAGAATGGTGATGTGAATTATATCTTGTTTGATATAATGCCAGGGCGAATGATAAGCCATTTGTAGAAAATCTTGGGGCCCTCCTTGGAATGGAGCTACCCGGGCCCCCCGGTGCTCCCTCAACGGACTGCGAGCAAGATGAATGCGGGATCTGCTATGTTCATTTCCTCCCATCCGGTAAGTTGTTATCATTTATTTACTCTCTCTCTCTCTCTCTCTCTCTCTTTCTGTGAGATGGATGGATAAGAAGGACCGGGGTCAGTCTGGGCAGGGTGCAGAGTTTTCATGGCTTTTTTCACCGGGCTAGGGCCCGGCCCGGTTGAATAAATGATATGAGTAAACATGACTGAAGTCAGTTTATTGTCAATGAAGATGGTACGTTGGGAACTTCGACTGGAACGGCTGTGGACTACACTTGCGAGAATCCCAGCTGCAGGAAGAGCTTCCACGTCGTGTGCCTCAGGGATTGGCTGCGCTCGATCACCACCACGAGGCAGTGAGTTTCCTAGTATTCCTCGCCTGCGATTTCTGCCGTCTTTTCCTCGGATCACAGCGTTGACCAACTTCTGCTCTCAGGTCCTTCGATGTTTTATTTGGAAAGTGCCCATACTGTTCCGAGCCTGTGGCAGTTAAACTTCATGATGTCGGGTGATACGAAGCGAGAAGTCTCTCTCTCTCTCTCTCTCTCTCTCTCTCTCTCTCAGTTTGACCGAGTTGAATTTAATGATTCAAACCTTGTAAGTGGGCATTGGTCCGAGGAACCGTGTTGGATAATGTCTATCCTTCAGACCCGTTGACTCTTTGACAATGCGAAGTGAGGCGCAAGTTGGGCAAGTTGTCCGTTGAAGTTTTGATAATCCGCACAGGGTCCCATTCAAAGAGATGCCCAAAACATGGAGCCCTTTTGTCGGTCCCGTTTCCTCAACTACCTGTTAATGGATCCCGTTTTGTTCGCCGGTGGGCCTCCACGTCCATCCCATGCCCAAAGTCAACTCTCTCCCTCTCTCTCTCTCTCCTCATGTTGATAAGGGCAAGACTGTTTTCTTCTGGCACCATGCGCCACCCAACGCATACTTCGGGTTGGCGGGTTGTGGCTTTTAAATGGAATAAGGTTCTTGTCCACGAGCTCTCGGTCTTCTTGATAGTGATCCCGCGCTTCGTCGGCTTCAAACACTGGCAAATCGGTCAGTCAGGAAGAACGAACCCCACCGGAGACGGAGCTTTAAGGGGCCGCCGTTCGCCGTTAAGCTTCTCCGGGGAAGAGCGAGAGCGACGGCGGGCCCCTGGCGATGGACAGGCCCTCGTGGTAAAGCCTCGTCGAAGGTCTCCTTGTTTTAGGTCAAATCAGGGGGTTAGTGGCGAAGGTGACATCGCAGCGAGGGAAGGGAGGGCCTCTCTGCAAGAAGGGAGGACCTCCAGCTTACGAACCAGTATGCCGCTAGAGGTCGGCTTCGTCGAGAGAGATTCACATGGGTTTCTAACCTAATTACGTAAGAACGGGCGATGGTTCCGCTGAATCGTGTGATTAACAACGTGGTTTTGACCCAAGTACCGACTTTGAATTCGAAGGGTTCACCTATTCATTGTGGAACAGAAGCTGGATACTGCGCTCGAAGTCAACGGCGGCGTGGTCGCACGTTGGAAGAGCAAATAATGAATGGGGTGATTCTACTTTTCTTCGTTAGCCGATTATTTTTTATCACTATAATGGAAGCTAATTAAAAATCTTATCATCTGATCATGGAGAGCTTGGTTCCGGATCTCTCGTTACTCTTGGGATTTCAAGATAGGCCCCTCCCCGCAAATTGCGCCATGAGCATGGCGTCCACTGATACCAATGGGTGTCGTCTCGGGCTCTCTCTATCTCTACAGGGGCTCGGTGCCCCTTCTTTTCTCGCACTAGCTGCCGCCCGCAATCATCGGCGGTGAAGATCTCTTGGGTTTCCCATCGTGCTCAAGATGATAGCGATGAAGACCCCTCGCCGACTAGGACTGAAATACTATCGATGATCATACTAAACAAAACATTCGAACAGGCGGTGGATGCCCTGTCTCTTCAACGCGGGCCTCTCCTTCCTGACCGCACGGCAATCCCTCTCCAGAACTCTGCTGATATCACGGAGCGGATTCAACGCAGAAGCACGAGCTCTGATGGCCTGCAGTCGGTGGGTTTCTTCAGGATTCGCAAGAGCTCCGCTGTCAGAGGGATCCACACGTTTCATGGCATCGTTTTCTTGAGTAGGAGAGCGGTGGACAGGTCCATACCAGCAAAGTATCAGCGGGTAGCATCCTCTCTTTCTCTCTCACTGATTCTGTGTCCCTCTCTCTCTCGGGTTATCGTGCCTATCTACGTCAGGTTTCCGGACACCAGAAACCAGCAGAGAGGGGAATGAAAGAGAGAACCCAGGAGAGGATGGCCGCAGATGGCGTGAGGGCAGAAGTTCGATAGCTTATAGCCGCCGGCATCGGCCTGACTGCGGAGGGTGACACCAATGGCTCCTTGCAGTCAGTGGAACCGAAAGCCGAGGGTGACGTCGAGCAGCTACGAGTCTATGCACTATGAGATTGTTGACCTCGTTGGGAAGCTGCTGATCGTCACGATACAGACAAAGCCCATTCCTACTGATCTTCCGAGGGACCCCGAGGGACCTCGAAGGTCCTACGCTCCTGGAAAGATAATGCATTCAATCACATGACTGGACTACATGATCTCATATTGTTTATAATCCGTTGAACTCGAGTCTGGTTGATCTTCTCGCGATCACTTGAATCTCTCCCAATAATACGCAATTTTCTGACAGTATCTGTCCCTACATTATCTCCTCTTTAAAAAATTTAGAAATTTACCGGGTTTAAAGTCGGCATAAAATAATGCTTGGTTCGTCGTTCTAAACACGGCTCTTATCCTCAGTTTGTGGTTGCTCGATGAGACTTTCAACGATCAAAAAGTTGCCGTACTCTAGTTTCTCGCTCAAAATCATAGATTTCTTCTAGAACAGACCCTGATCATCGGCCTCCTGTTCCTCAATTGGATTTTTTATGACCTCGGGCGCTGAAATCTCTGCACATCAGTTCGATACAATCCAGGTGGAGATCCTCCGAGTCTGTGTTCCACGTGAAAACGATCGGCGAGGGAGGCGGTGTAGAAGAACAGGGCCAGATCAGACTGCCACGGATCCCCCCTCCTCGGTGGGTGTGGGTGTTCTATGTCCCTCAAGATCTCACCATCGCAAAAACCTCGGTCGGCGAGTGGATGGTGCTTCTCGGTGGATCGAGATGATCAGAGTAATGTAAGAAACCACGAGGAGTTGAAGAGAATTCCGGCAAATACAACATGAATTTTGTTCTCACGGATTATTGACGCCATCGAGGAGGAGAGAGGAAACAGAGGGTGCGGGTAGGGCTTCCTCCAATTTACAGCGCAAATCAGCTTAAAAGAACTGTACACGAGGGCAAGAACACCATTCAAACCACAACGATCTCCTTTGTTTCCTGGCTCAACAGAAGACCCAGGTGAACAGCGGTCGGTGCAGCGCCGCCCCGGTCTCACGGATTATTATCCTGAGTGTAGATGTAGTCTACATGGGCTTCCAGGGTCCTCCTCATCATGCACTCGTCCCCGCAGCTCTCGACGGCCACCTCAGATCCCTCCCCTGAATCCTTCTGGGCAACATGCAAAGATCAATCAGATGCCAAAAACACGGGCAATAGAAAATCATCCCCTCCATTGCAGAGAAGAGAAGAATCACCGGCATGCGAGATCGCCGGGGGGAAGGCGCTTACTAGTGACGGCGCTCGGGCTGCCGTGTGTTCCGCGGGCTCCGGGCGAGCGGCATGCGCGAAGAAGGCGACGAGGAGGAGGAGGAGGAGGAGGAGGAGGAGCGCGTGGTTCTCTCTTTTCTGCATCTTCCGCCTCTGGAGAAGAAGAGCTCGGCGGGGGGAGGGGAAGACTGGGTCTTGACGACGTTGGGGTCGCCGGCGTTGGGGTCTTGACGACGTTGGGGGAGTGAGAGGGGACTCGCTGGTGGGGACTTTCGTCCGCAGAGGGTAGCGTCTCCTTTAAATAGACCCTTTTATCAACATTGACTCTCCTTTTGGGAATAGTACCATGCAAATTAATCTGATTACCGCTAAATCATTCCCTTTGATCTAAATTCATTTTTCCCCTCGCCCGCTCTCCCTCTCTCTCTGGTTGCAAGCCCTTGGGTGACTGAAGTGACAACAGAGACCTCTCCGCGCCGCCCGGAGGTGGAGAGGAAGAGACGATGGCGGCAGCGGCGGCGGCGATGGAGGAGACGCACGCCGCCGAGCACAGTCCCAGATGCCTCCAAAACCGAAGGATGCTTTCAACGGTGTCATCAGACTCTTAATCACTACAAGGAGATACTTTAATGCGTCTAGAAAACGTCGCAGAAGTAGCTTTTTAAATTGAGGGGTAAAATCTATGCAAGGGACATAGATCTCTTCAACGCTCCCTGCACCAAAAAGTCTCACATTATCCCTTCTGATTCTATTATTTAATATGATTCCTCCATCAAGCAATTTTTTTCAAATCTACAGTTAATTATCAGATCCCAGACTTGGACCGTTGAATTCAGAATCGTTGACAACGATGCAAAAAACGAAGAAAATGCACGTAATGATTTTCACAAGAAATCAACTTTTTTTCATAGGAAAGCTGACTCCCATCACCGCCGATTGTGTTCTCGGGCAGGACAACTCAAGCATGCAAAATTAAATAAATAAATCAATAAACAAAAGGAGTAAATAATATATGATTTAATCGAACTTGAGCTAGAATCACGACTGCGTCTGTCCTTTCCCCTCCTCCTCTCTTTGCCCCATAGTATTTCTCGAATATAATCATACAGAAAATAAATGGCAGGCGTCTGGCTTAATAGGGTTTAATCCGAGCTCGTTTTTCAGCTTTTTGGAGGGGGAGAGAGAGAGAGAGAGAGAGAGAGAGAGAGAAGCAGCAGCAGCAGGAGCAATTCCTGGTCAAACAACAAGCGATGAGATCCTGGGGAAGAGGGACGACCTCCTTGTTCCCTGGCAGTCGGGGGTAGCATTCCATGACTCAACCTCGACCGTCAACATTGTGGTCCGGCGTGGTTCACGTGGCCTCCATCGGCTCCTGATGGAACTGCACTAATTGGACGGCGCACGAGATTAAATACCGGACGCCCACTGAAGCTCGCAATGAGTTGGCCCCCCTATTAACTGGTGATTAGGTGCTGAGGTGCACAACATCTCTGATGATTTGGACCCGGGACCCACCAACTGGATCTCCTCCCCGGTGGGGCCACCCCACCCCACCTTGACTTCATGTCTGCTGCCCGCGACAAATGAGACGGCTTGCCCTCCCGTGGCAGAAGGCTGGCCTAAGAACTCAGATTCCCCTGCTATGATTCCCAAAAGCCTGGAACTTGAGATATCACCACCTTATTTTGGTAAGTTGGAAACATTCCCTAAGAGTATGTGATGTGACGGCGGCTTTCATTATTATCGCTGGGTCGTAAGTTGGGGAGTATATCCATCTAATACAGTGTGGTTACGAGGAATATCGGCCGATAATTCACAAGGATACGGCTACGGCGGCTTGACTCCCACGTCGGGGCCCCGGAGGAGAGAGAAACCCCGTGATGCGTGGCGGCTCCGGTGGCCATGAGGGATTCCCCTAGCGGGAGAGAGAGAGAGAGAGAGAGACGTTTGGTCAGCATTTCCGCCGTCGTTCTACCTCCTCCCCGGGGAGCCCTCCGGTCACCGCAGGCGCTCGCCGCCGCTGCCGCCGCCGCCGCTGATGACGACGGTGACCGACCGGAGCAGATGAGGATCGGGGTCGGCGTCAGTCGACCACATTCTGCGGCCTTCTTCCTCCGGTGATTCCTGGCCTCTCAGATTCTCTCATCTTTTACTCGTCATAAAAAAGAAAGTCCAGTCTTTACGTTTTTCCGTGACTATCTGTGGGAGATCTCCTTCTGTGGGCCCTGGCGGATGTTGGTGGGCCCTCCTCGTTTTTTGTCGAGCCCGGAATCAATGAAGCCGCCGGAATTGTCTCATTTGTTCACACGACAGCTATCAGCCCATTTAAGGTCCAAACTCCTCCCTCCCTCCTTCCCTCTCTCTCTCTCTCTCTCTCTGGCGCATGGAGATGGGCCCACCGGCGGTCCAGAGCCCAGAAAGGCCCATTAATATCGGTATAACAAACTGAGTAGAGATTCTCACCGACGACCGAGTCAACAGAAAATCAAGGAGAATGAAATTCATGGGGAATTGCCTCCAATTAGGAAAACAAAAAGGATTTATCGAAAATTTATAAACAGACACTGACGTATTCAGCATCTCTGGGACCCCGGTTGAAGGGCACTTGGGTCCAAAGTAATACTACAAAGAAATGTAAGCCCAATTAAGCCCAACACTATTGACCCGGCCCATAATAACTATTGGGCTCGATGGGAGTAGCGAAGGCGGTTAGTCAGAATGACACTGACTTTATGGGAATTGGAAAAGTATCCTTTTGACGTCTTTCAGGAAAGTTGCTGACGGTGCTCCTACGAACCGTCTCTGACACTCGCCGGTGCTCGTTGCGCGCCCCAATTCCGGCCTTGGTTAATTCTTCCTCAGCTGGGCCTTTCCGAGTCGCCGGGGATCACTGGAGCTCGGGGATTCGTGGGGAGGCTCAGCGAGGGTGGGGGATTGGAGTGGCAGAATTGGAGTCGGGAGCAGGTAATGATCGCGAATGGAGGAGGGAGAAATCGTGATCTCGGGCGATCTCTCCGATGGGGGGACACCGTCCAGGTGCCATTCCAGTCTGTATTCTTCTCCTCTGCCATGACGGCCCTGGTGATTTGTTCATCTGCATGCCTGTGCTTGTCGGTCGATGACCATTTCCGTTGACATCCCATTCGTCGCCGTTATCTGGCACAGTTGTTAGTGTTGGTATTTTACTGGGGACAAAACGAAGTGAAAGAGACTCGAAAATCGTAGCATCATGCATTGGGCGAGAGTGGCGAGCGGACTCGTTTGAGAATTATGACAATTTTACACAAAATGCTTTCGCCGAGTGCTCGCGTGAGCGTCGAAAATCCAACTCGGAATAGGGATGCCCAAAACGCGGGCTCTTTCTAATTTTTTTCTGATGCTTTTAATTATGGATTAAAATTTTCAAATGGCCCTTTTATGCTTGGGTGCTACATTTACTTATTCGGGCAGATCGTATCGATGCCTTTGACCGAGGATTATCTTCATACTTCCCTATATCAAGCTTTTCTAGACTTGGGTCGAGGGTCACAGGAACTCTGACAACTGATAATTGGTTTCCAAGAACTTTGACAGTTTTCCTTACCGTCGGTATTTATATTTATTAGGTGCCATGTTGGATTTTTCAATGAGATGACTTTAGGCAAGTTGATTGTTCTGCACTTTCTTTAAATAAAACCCTCTTTTACCGGTAAAACCCAATGACCTCAAAGTTGAGATAGAAAGTCGTTCTCCATCATAGAAACATTAAAGCCTGCTCTCTCACACCACAGCGAAGAGTTACCAGATTATGGGCAACTTGGCAAAGAGTTGATGATAAGCATTTTAGTCAGCCTTAATCTTTCCAAATACGAACCCTTCATTGGATCTAGTCAATCACTGATTCATGGACATATTTTTTTATCGGGAATTGCTTCTCCCTGGTATTATACTGAAAAGCTTCTGTTTGCTTTTGTGTGCCATATATATTCGTACCGGCATTCAGGATTCAACTCGTGGTTTAATTTATTATTATTATTTTTTGATAATGTATGTTTCCCAGTCATCCTGGTCGACTTTCCTCATGTTAACCGTGAACATGTGGTCGTGGTCGTGATCTATTATCCATGAGAAGAAAGCAAAAGTCAATGGATTGCTGTTCCTAGACCCAAGGAAGTCTGTAATTTGCGAAAAACTTTTTCAAAGACAGTGAGTTTCATAATTAAATGACGAAATTTATCTGGCACATCTGGTGATGCATTGAATGTTTTAGTTCGAATGCAAGGAACCTTATGACTTTGGGTACCATGTTTCGTTTGAATGTATGTTTGGTAGAATTTTTTTTATGTACATGGAATTAATGAACGTTTATTTGTCAAATCCTTATACATATTTTTATCAACGGGAAGAAACCACAATTTATACTGTTATATTTTCAGATATGAATTGTTGACTATGGTGAAACAACATTCCAAATTCTTGAGGGAGGGGATGATAGATGAGGATGACACTTCAGATGTCGAAATGGATGTAAAGTTTTGGTATGAAATGTTGGATTTGTACTTCATAAGAGGAAGAGAGTCTAAGGGGGGGCACGAAGACGACCTCATCTTTTTCGTCAAAGATATGGTAACTTCGCCAATGACTTTATTCTCTGTGAAAACTCATAAGAACCAGGTCGTTTTGATTTTTGATTTTGCCCTTCTTTTGCAGAATTTACATGGATATGGGTTCAATGACAATGTTGAGAGTGCTCCCCCTTATTTTGTCCGGAGGTGGGCAGCCAAGGTAAAGGAAACATATTTTTTATCCTCTTATAATGTCCTCCATTTTTTGCTTCTGTCGTTTGATTCAGTTATGAGGCACCACTCTCGTGAGTCATGCTAATAATTCTGTGACTGTTTCCAAGTGTACAGCATATAAAATACTGAATACTCAAGGGTCCCTATGATATTAGTAAGACTGTCATTAAATTCTCTAGAATCTAGTGACGCGCATTAGAGGTTCTTTTGAGCATGTTTAGATAAGTGATGCTGCATCCTGTATGTAATTTTTTTTATATGATCCAGTTGGAGAAAGTTGCTGGAGAAAATTATGCCGAAGTGGATTGGAGACGGTCATTCTACCTTAATTTCATAGCGCATACATCTTTCACAGTAACTGTTGCCATTTGCAGGTTAGTGATGTGATGATTTTCCATGCATACTTCTTCTTTACAGGCTTATGCATTTATCACAACTTTGATTTAAACGTTTACCATCACAGTTGAAAAGAATTTTAATCTATGGTGTAGACCTGTAATTCTTCTCTGCATCTTCCTAAACACAATTTAAGCATTAGTGATGGAAAATACCTCCTAAACCCATTTAGTTTTTCCTAAATAACTGAATTTTTTATTGAGGCGCGTGTACAGGGATACTTTCCTAAATTCCTAGCACTCAGTTTCCCTCTAGATGGATCATGAATATCAGAAAGATCCAAGTATCTGGATAAAAAGGCACTACAACTCGATGATTTGTCAAAAAACTAGTTGTTCGTTCTAGTACCATCTTAAGTTCCTAAAAGCTTTTTCCAAGAGAATTTTTATGATGTTCCCATAAATTGACTAATCACTCTAATAAAAAATGGGTTCTCAGGTAGATAAGTATACCAATTATGAGCCCGTGCTTTGTCTGGTCGTTTTTTTTTCCTCGTAAAATATCGTTTTAAATTTTATTCTATGGGAGTAGTTTGAATTCTGACTCTAAACTATGCTCTTCCATGTAAAAGGTCCGCATATATTTTCTTTCAGAGATGAGGAGAAAGCCTACTTTTCCTCTTGCCACCTTGATCCTTAAAGACTGGAATCCAAGTATTTTACCACAAACTCCCCTTTAAGATACTTTTAAAGTCTCATCAATCGTATAAAATAATTATCAAGAAAGAGAATACCATCAGCATAGGCTAATGATAAAAATACCAAGGATGTGTGCCAAAAAACGACATAACAATCAGTTTGGCTTTTATGGGACCAGAACTTTATTGCTGCTAACTGGATTTCTCAAACAATATACAAAGAACCATGCTTAAGGCCATATATTGACTTTTTAAAGTTGCTGACATTGATGCCCTATATCTTCCTCTAGGAGTTATGATGTCGTCTACCAATAAAACTGTGGTCATTGAATGAAAAAGTATATGCTAACAGACTCCCTTCCCATAGAGAAGTCAGGTTTAAATGAACTCTTTGGAATTTGTAACTGCCCTTACACTCTTTTGTATCACTACCCTATGAAGAAGAAAAACATTGGACATAGCATAAAGAAAACATAGAGTTAAATGATACGCAGACTGATGATTATATTGCTTCAGAAGAGCGCCTTAAACACTCTTCTGATGATTAAACTGATGATTCTATTTTCTATTTTGGAAGAATCATAAAGAAATATCATCGATGTTATATGATTAGGCCATATATATGAATGCATTATTTTCTCTCTCATTTATTGTAAAAGGAAAACGATTGCCATCCTTCTTAATAGCTGAATTATAAACTTTTTTCGTGAATAATTGTTTTACTCATTTTAAGTCTGCATCTTCATTACAGTATTCAGGATCTAAAAAGGCATCAAAGTGGAGCAGATACACCATTATCTCCTGTGTACAAGGTAAATTGCAAATAACCTTTCCCATTTAGAGGCTGATGGTTCCATGGAAAATTTGTGTGGTGGTTGCTTAGTGATCCACTAATTCAGATCATCTTTGATGATCATGAGTTAGTGACCAACCAGGCCAGAAGTACGTTTTAGGACAAAAATTCACTTCTCTTCGATCGTCAATATAATGATTGTGGAATGAAATGTGAACAGTAATTGATTTTATCCCTTGTATCAGCTGCAATTGCCCTAAATCCCATTGACTTTTACTGTACTGTTTGTGATCTTATGGATATTTTTTATTTTGGACTGATAGCTGAGGAGAAGGTTTGATGATAATGACGGTGATAAATTTATCTTTTGATAGGTAGTGAAGACAGTGTATGCATCCCCCAGTCGTGTAAATTTCCAGACGAACTTCAGAAAAGTAAGTGTTTCTTGCTTTGGGAATCCTTTTTCTGATATTTTGATTATTTAACTCCCAATTATTCTACTTTTCACTCTCAGGAGGCAGAAACGATTCCGGCCTATCCAAATATCTGTTTTGCAATTAACGACTTTGACGACGCTTTTGATTCCGTGGTAAGACATTTGTTCTTGACATTCTCTCGGCCATTTTGGTTTATTGCATCTGCCTTTATTGTTTATGACCATATTGGTGACTCCAATTTAAGAATGATCATTATTTTTTCTGCAGGGATGCCATTATCTTTAACTGTTTTATACAGGGACGGTCTTTACTGTAACTTTACTCTATAAGTTCTCAAGCATGCGTATTAATGTTGAGGTCCATGAGATGTGTAGGCAGGAATGTAGAAGCTCACCTCCCGCAAGATAAATTAAATTAATTAAAATGTCTAAAAAATAATAAATTGCTACTATTCATATGAAGAGTGATTAATGTTTAAAGGCGAATGCGCCAAAAACACTAGCGTAAATGATAATCTCAATCAATTGTTTCTTTGTTTCCTTTCCTTCCTCATGACACATTTACCACATGTCTTCCTGCTATTTTCTTTCTTAGTAGTACCGATAATGTTTCACTAAATTGCTTCATGTTGATTTGGAAGAGGTGCTAACAATCCTATACCATGCATCGCGATTAAACTTGTTAAACAAGAATTAGCTTTCTCCCTTGTAAAGGAAAAGCGCGTTTCTCTCCTTTTTCATATTTATTTATTCATACAGTGAACATATGAGTTTGCCATGGTTTTTCGTCGATTAATTTCATCACGTTTTTCATTTTTTAGGTCCTATCAGAAACTGATCATTGCTACTGTGTACTTCTCAATGCTGATGGTGGAGCTGCTTTCCCTACTGAGGGAATGCACGAAAATTCTAGTGGTTTCTGCGGAAGTGACAACGATTCTAGAAAATATACGACCTCTAAGGCAAGTTCCCCTCTCTTTAGTTGAAGATAGTCGCTTTTGTATAATATAATTGTACATCTTATTCAATCTCTCATTAAGATATGGTTCATCCTTCAGTCTGTTTCAGCTGTGCTTGTAAAATTAACCGTTCATAACATATTTATGTATGTATATAGACATCATATTTGTACTAGGTTTCTGCGAGGAGTTACTATGCAGTGTTGTTAGACAGAAAAAATAAATCACATTTAACCTTACAACTTGTTAAAGATTCATTGGAGATCATACAAAGCAAGGGGAATACCATTCTTGACATTCTCCGCTTGGGTAAGCTATGGGAAATAAGAAAAAATATGCGTCATCCAGATGAAGAAAAAATGGAAAAAAGAGTGGGCGAATCGTGTTTAATATTTAATGATGCTAATGGACAAGAAAGAAAGATATGCATATTAAGAAAAGGAATTTGGTGGATTCGAAAGAGAAGGTTATTATTATATATAATTCAAGGGCTTTTGGTGTCCAGTCGCTTGGAAAATTTTATTTTACAATGCTCATCTACCAAAGTTGGTTCCCTGACGTCCTTGGCATTAGTGACTGGACTGCAAAAGCTGCTGACTTTGAAATTTCTTTTCCAGAATAACGGTTCTTCATATTGCAGCTATCTAGTTAAAATTTTGTCAAGAGGAAGAGGATAGAAGATTATTCATAGATCGGAAGAAAGGGTGAACCCTCAAACACAAGCATAAAATTGTTTCAAGTGTTAGGTTCCAAAGGGCATTTAAGATTAATGTTGTCCTTTTGTTCAGACAAACATTTTTTGTGTTTCAATTACTGCTTATAAGACTAATACCTTGACCTGACCCTCTCCATCATTTTTCTGTCATTTTCATATTAAGTTCTTATAATGTCAATGGGAAATAATTAGCTCTACCACTTATGCTTGCAGCTCACACTTTTCTCAGGATTTGTCAGCTATCCTATGGTTCGAGAAGCATATGAAGGTGATGACATTTAGTAAATCTGCTAGATTAGTCAAACTTTGGTATATAGCCTTTAGATCATGTATGATGTTCTGTGCCATATTTTTCTTTCTCTGATTATATCCCCAAATAAAATGACAAATATCTATTAAACATGCCAATCTTTCTCTCATTTATGTCTCAAATTCTTCGAGTAGAATGATAATTTTGAGGTTGCCATGACATGGTATCTGGGACCTCCTTTCAGGAGTTGGCTTTTAGTAGCTATCTGATCATAAAAAAATTCCTAATTACCGTATCATTTTGCTAGATGACCATTGCACATATTTATCTCTGTTTAGTTCATTTATCTCTCCAACCTTTTCTCATTGATTGTCTTCACACTACTAGCTTGCCTACCTCAGGGACGATTTGTTGATCACTTTTGAAGGTATTGAACCCATTGCATCAGAAATTTTTCCAAGGATAATTGCTTTCACTTCTGTTGATAACTATTTTACGCTTTTCTGGTCAGTAGTGCGAAATGGAAGCTACCGAACATCATAGACTAAACATGTCTGAATAACATGGAGGCAGTTCATGTCCATATTTTTATGTGGTGAGGAATTTAGCTTTATTTGACCTAGTGGTCGCTGCCTTCTAACATGTGGAACAAAGGAGAAAAGTGACAACGGCTGTGTCCTAAAGCCTTCTAAAGTAGCCAGTTATAATACTATAATGACAGTTAAAATAGGTTGTAAGCAGTTTTGCATAAACTCACAAAGACTGATAATGCTGTAACTCCCTGATGTTCTGATATATGTAGGAAACGTCTAATATCTCACGTTGCTTTTCTCTAGTTGCGGAATGAAAATTTCTTGACGGAATTAGAATTATAAAGGCCTTATTTTATGTTAAGGGCGACCTGCTCTACCTTAGGAAACCTGATACACCCTTTAAAACGGGAAGAAGAGCCAGCAAGATATTATGGTTTATTCTTTTTCAATGACAGTTTTCAAAATAGAATATACTTTTAAAACTTTTTTTTAGTATTATTTATGCATTCCTGCCCATTTGGTTTAATCATATCCGGATGGGAACCAGACCAGCATCGGTAATATGTGAACCTGATCCAACTGCCTTCCATGATTTCGCTTGAGAATTCTCAAGGATCCCACATTATGTTTGTGTATATACAAAAGTCCCTTTATTAGGGTTTCCCATGTTACCGTGAGACCTCTCGTATAATTCGTTTTAGTAGGTTTTCAGATAAATAAAATAGATGGAAATTTTATGGACACAAACTTTTTGATAAGGAAGAGACCCTGATTTTCTAGTAAAGTTAAATACAGCCTGTTCGAATTTTTTAGGGAATGCATCAATGCAGTCTGATTACTAAGAATGTCGTGGTTACTGTGTGCTCTTTTGGCTTCTGTGTTAAAATTATTGATTGACTGTTATATTTCATATATTGATGCATTTTTTGGTATTTTTAATGCCGGTGTCAAATTAATTGCAATATAATCGATGCCCTGGTTACTGCAGCCGGGAAGTCGAGGTTTGGGAGTCTTTGGCCGATTGGCAATGCCCAAGCTAAAACAGACAGGCTTTACATGAGGGGCCCAGGAGGACGTGGTGAAGTGGAAGTGGCCGTTTCTGGTGTTGCAGGTATGTGAAAAATTTATCTTAACAGCGTGAATTCGTTTATATGGAGGCTATAAAATAGGGGCTTTTAAAATTTAAATGTCCCTCTTAGAGGATCCTAGTTTCATGGTTTGACTTCCTAAGAAAAATAAATAAATATTCCTATTTTCATAACTGGTGGAAATCATCGTCACTTTTGTGTCTCAGTAGGATCTTAGCTTGCCTCTGTGCAAATAAACGTTCTGTGTGACGTGCAGATCGGATGGTGCTAACTGATTTTTTTTAATATTTTTTTTTCAAAGGCAATATGTTTTCTTCTATATTTAGTTCTTAACTGAAAATCACCTGCTCTGGCTGTGAACAACAATTAGACTATGCCCGTGGAGTGAGATTGAATTCGAGAATTTTCTAGGTTTGATCTGATTTAGACACTGGAATTGCACATGAATGTCATCCTAGAGGAACGTCTTGATGGTTGAAGGCACAAAGAAATGGAAAAAAATAGGACTGTGTCTTTCCCTGAAGCAAGCAGGCATCTTCTTTTTCTTGAGGAACATGGGATGAGGTTGGTTCCGTCCCCCATCTACAATATCTGCATTCTTCTGCTTCTCACAATCTCTCTCTTTCTCTCCCTCCACTGCTGCAATCTGTTTCCCAACCAAGGAAAACCACATTAATGTGCAAGTGATTGTTCTGCTTATTGTCCTCTAATATATGATTATCCATAGAAGAGAACCTGAGGACATCGGAAAATATAATCTTCTGTGTAGACCCTGTGTGGTAAGCTGGCAAACTCTTGCCATCTCTTTACTTCATTCATCTTCCCCCGGTATTTTCCTTGTTTTCTCCCGTCGTCTTCCCTATGACTTTTCACACCAAACCCATGCACTTATTTCCCCCCATGGAAATTCGCGTCCCCTTCCCTTTGTTCTTCAGATCTCCAATGAAGTTTTCGGTTTCACTCTCACCAATCCCATGCATGTTCACCGCATTGTGACCCATGTGGATCAGTTCCATCGTTTGCCTTTTTTAATCTCTCTCTCTCTCTCTCTCTCTCTCTCTCTCTCTCTTTCTAGCTGCTGAATCTCCTTCCGTTATTCCATTTTCTTCTTCACTTTATTTTCATTTATTTGCTCTTCCTCTCCTTCTCATTCTCTCTTGGAAATGGTCAGTTAGCCTTCCCACGTGTCTTTCTTCTTTCTTCTTCTTCTTCTGCTGTTTGCAGTTGTAGCAACTGAACGGGGAGGGGGCTGGACTTCTCTATTTTTCATTTTGGTGAGCTGTTGGTGACGGGAGGATCATGGATGTGATTAAGTCGGGGTTTGACCCCCAGAAGAGCTGCCTCCATTTTCGCTTCCTCTGGCAGTAACTTGTGGTGGGTAGAGCAAACTGGCAGAGGGAAGGGCAACGGTGGGGTCAGCTCTGTGTTGGAGTAGGTGGGGAGTGGTGAAGCTTCACTCATAGCCTCTTGCCCCATGCAGGTGAGTGGAGGAAGTGCTGCTATCTGCATGTCTGCGTGGGGGTTGGTAGTCATTGCATAGGTGGCCACCCATCTCTCATATCTTCTTCGTTTCTTCCTTGCCCGGGATATGAGGAGGTGCACTTTGCTGCTGCCATTCTGCTTTCTTCGCCACACTCCTTGGTTAGAGAGAGAGAAGAGAGAGGAGAGAGAGAGAGAGAGGTCTGGCCTTGAAGGCTCACTGTTCTTTAAAACTCTAAACCATCGATTACTGTTTTTAAAATAAAAACTGCTGCAATTAATTGAATGCAGATCAAAGTCAGGAGAATTCCGGGCCTCCATCACCGCTTCAACTGTCAAAGGAAGGATTTGGAATCGGCCTGGGCTCCATCGTCCGCAGGGCAGCGTCAGCTGCCTCCGAGGCGGCAAAACAGGCCTACGCCGCCGCCTCAGCCACAATCAAAACCGACGCAGAGCTGCTCCCTCTGAAGTGCTGCTTGATGTCCGTCGCTCTGCCTTGGGAGAACATCGCACACGATCTTCTCTTCAAGGTATGGCCCTCTCCATTCCTTCGACACGGCCATTTATGGCAGTTTCGCACGGACCCATGACCCTTCGACTCTTTTCTTTGTCTCAGGCGAGCCCGCCAGTGAAGCTGTGATGAACTCAGCCCAGCAAGGCGCCATCAGAAGGAGGGGATTGGAGGTATATTCGCCATTACCTGGTCTACACCATCTCCATGGTCTGGTCTTTCCCCGAGGGGGAAGGCTCTTGAGGTCGATGAACAGAGAACACCCTCCCCCCCCCCCTTCCCTTTATTCTCTGCTTTCAGACAGAAAAGTGGCTGATTTTCCGGCCATTTAATTGTATCTACGCGTCCTCGACCCTCGATTTTTTTCGGATTCGGGTCTTCTCTGGGCCCGTTTACGATTTAACTAATTATTTTTTGCGTTTAACTGTAGAAAATTTTAAATAAATAAATAAATGTAACCGTAATACTGCCTGCTCATTGCCAGATTTATGTTAATGGGCCGTTTCCCGTGGATCCAGTGGGACATGACGTCACGAATGCTCCTTTTAACCCGAAGCCAGGTCAAAACCCCCTTCCTTAGCGGTTAAGCTATGCCCCGCGGGCCCCACTTGTCTCCGTTCAGTGGTGGGTGACTCGGAGGTGACCCACAAACTGGCCAAGCGCTTCCTCGTTAAATGCGGGTCCCCTCCGTCTCCTTCCTTCCCTTTCCCTCTCCCTCCTACCACCTCCTTCTCTCTCCCTGCCGATGTCGTCGCCGGAGAACCTCGCCGCCGCTCAGCCTCCGACCTCTGAAGGCGGTTATGGCTACGTGCCGCCGGCAGAAGAGCGGCGCCGCCGCCGCATGATCTCCAACCGCGAGTCTGCCCGGCGATCCCGAGCCCGGAAGCAGTGGCTCATGGAGGGCCTGCGCAAGCAGACGGACTGGCTCAGCTCGGAGAACCGGGAGCTCGCGAGCCGGCTCGCCGCCGTCGTCGGCCACTGCCTTGCCCTCCGCCACGACAACCACCGCCTTCTCTCCGAGACCGCCGCGCTCCGCAGCAGGCTCTCCGACGTGCGCCGCCTGCTCGTCCTCCGGCAGCCGCAGAGGCTGGCCGGCGCCGCCGCGGGGGCGGCGTGCGGAGGCGACCCACAGAGCCTGGTCCCCGCCGCCTTCGCCGGCGGCTTCATGCCGGAGACGGAGCTCACCGCATGAACGAGAACCGTGACTATATACCGACTGCTTCAAAATTCTTAATAATAATCGGATCGAGGGATAGAAAGAGAGAGAAAGACGTGGAGAATGGGGGAGCCTTTCTCTCTCTACAGCTACTTGGAGCCTCATCTAGCGAGCGGGTTCTGGGTTCCCAAAAAAAGGCGGCCTTTTTGGCGGTTTCTTTTTTCCCATGAAACCGCCGACAGGCCTACCACGTGTCTAGATCCAATTGATCTAAACTAAATTTGGTTGCACGAGTCAAATGGGCGAGTCCAATCCTCGGCTATGTTTAATTGAGCCTAAATTCAGCCCAAACTAAATAGCTTCAGGCAGATCAGGCCCATTAGACTCTATGATCGTTATTAATGGGCCGTGGTATTATGGGCCATAGGTGATTCCCAAGGCCAGGACTAAATTGTCCTTCTCCTATGTATCCCGCGCGTTGCCGGCCGTTGGGATTTCATAGGGGTACAAATTAAAATTTTAAGCTTAAAGGGTTCATTCACAAATTCCCTGAAAAATCAAATTCTCTCTCACCCGGCCGTTGTAGCCCCATACGCCGTACTAGTGCAGCTCTCTCTGTCTCGGGTGAACGAGAACGCGATTGATTCATTCCCACTACACCGTCTCCCCGACAATCGAAGATCGAATAACCAGCAAGGGCCGGAACCACCGCCAGCGGACTCTGAGAATCTATCGATCGTGTCGGTGTGCACTGCGGTTTCAGGAAATAGGTAAGTAGTTGCCCTTCTAGATCTGTTTTGCATCTTTTGGAAATCTTCACCTTCCTTGGAATCTTATTGCTCTGTGCAGAATGGAGTTTTTTCACTCGTGGAAATTTAGGGAGACGGGATCAGTTATTTTATTGCCTCCGCATTCGGATTTCGTGTTCGTATTTTGAGTTTTGGGGAATGCAGGTGTTCTGTCGACAGATTTGAGCATCGGGCTTGGTAGACATGTCTGATTTCGTTCGGTGTTCCTCTAAAAATGCGTCTGTGTTTATGTTGGTGGCATGATAGTCCTTTATATCAAACTTGCTTTTCGCTTATCCTAATGTATTGAACTTAGGTTTTTATTCTTCTGTCTGGAGAGGGTCTTGTTTTTGTTTCCACATTTTGTTTTTTCTGTTTCCATGTCGATTTTGGTTGCATCTTTAGTTATGCAGATGTTCTTGTTGGAATTTTGATCAATAGAGTCACTGTCTCCAATAAAATAGAATTTCTAGAGCATCTTGGATGCATTTCTATACGACTGAAATTTAAAAAAAAAACTTCAAAATAATTCATCACGTGGTTAGGACAGATGAAAACTTCAAAAAGATCCTGAGATACAACTTTATTTGTGGATTTTTATTTTCTAACTCTTATTAAATATTACACCTTCTTTAGGTATTACGTATATTCTGTTTCCCCCAACTTGGTTCATTTTCTCTGTTCCTGTGTCCACTCGTACAGTGATAGCACACGAAAGAATAAAAATGGTATTCGGTCTTTTCACCGGTTATTGAGGTTGAAGATAGCTCTGTATCTTATCAGCAGTCAAAGAAAATGTAGCAACGTACACAGATTAACTCTTTAATTATTTAGTGTAGAATCAGTAGAGGGGCTTATTAATTTTGATGATTTTAGGTTGCATTATCGTAATTTACATTGATGTATACTTCTTGAATTTCACCATTTTTTATGTGAATATTAATCATGTTCCTCTTGGTTTAACTGCTAATTAATGTAATTAGCAAGTAGCTTTCGAGTGCTGTGTAATTTGACCTCTTTGCGACTAATTTTCAGTTTGTATAAGGTTGACTTGGGAAACCTTTAATGGCTGCTCAAACTCCGGCCATGTTTCAAAATGAAAATCTGCACATTCCTAGAGGTAACATGAAGCCTCTGTTTATGAGATTCTGATTGACTTTTGTCGGTATCAAATCCCAAAAGTCCTCTCAAGCTACTGAGCAACTAATGTGTGAGAAAACTGTTATGAATATAATTCTAGGTAAAGCTATTGATGGTGGAAAGACTGCTCTCTTGAAACCTGAGAAGAAGGAACGAAAGGACAGGAAAGCTTTGGCAGACCTTTCAAAACCTGCAAAACCTGTTTTGTCTGCCACAATAAAGGGTTCCACAATCAAAGACAATTCTCTGCGTGGTGTTGAAAAGACCAAGAAAGCTCCAAAGAGCAGCATACTGACTGATGAGGACATAAAAAGATGCCATGAATGGGCCAAAGAAGGAAATGAAAAGGTTCACTATACGGGCAATGACATACAAAAAAATGAGAAAGAAGTCATGGAAAAACGTAATTTCTCATTAACGTTTTCAGTGTTATTTTTTTGATTTATTAATGCTGAACTTCTTGATTTATTAATACTGACCTTTCTCACAAATTCTTGATTTAGGAATTAAAAAGAAGGTTGATATGGTAATGTCTTCCTTGAGCAAATGGAATCAAGATTTTTATGACTATGTGCTGCCAGTGAAGGTAACTCATCAGACCTATACTATTTGACGCTCTTACATGATGAAAGTGTCATGATATTCGTCCTTAGCTGAAAAGTTTAATTACGAAACGTGACTGGTTTGTTTCAAACATTTCATTCATGTCGGTTTGGGAATGATAACTTTGAGGTTGTGGCTATTTTGATTTTTATTGAATGCAGTTAGTGTTTGTTTAATGTTGAAATTATAGTTGTACTTTTCTTTTCTTTTCTTTTCTTTTTTTCTTCATATATTTTCACTTCGTTCTGTGTCAGTGTTGTTACTGAAGGAGGACAATTTGAATACTTTTTATTGGAAAAAAATTCATTCCATTTCTTAATCCCAATATCATTCTGTGATTTTTAAGAGAAACCTGTACCCCATTTATGTTATAGTCCGCATAAGTTTGATTAATCTTCCATTATATATTTAAGAAAATTTTGAAGGTATACCAAGATGTGAAGTCAGCGTTACTTTCATATTTTTTCAGTGAATTTTTTTTTCTCTGAGCTAAGCTCATTTCCCTTGGTTCAGAAAGCTACAGAGGACATTGGATATGTTAAAAGCTTGGAACTAGAACCGGAAGTTCCCCTTCCTGTGTCCACCGTATTGCCAAACTCAGGTTTGCTTTCCATATTCCCTTTTCATTTCTTGATCAATAAATGAGTGTTTACGTGGTTCTTGACTCGACAGTAATCCTTAATATTGATTAAGCTAATATTGTGCGACACATCTGAGCGAGTTTGGCCTCAATTTCTTTGGTGGAATCTGATCTAAGCAATTTACACAATTTGTGTACATTGAAAGTTCACCACCCTCAGCATAATATAGTAGCTATTTCTCAGCGTGCGAACATAGATATGCCAAAATTTGCTGATATTCCACATGTTAGCAAAACTTAGGTGCTAAATGGCAAATCTTCTATCGTCTAAAGTTGATTTTTCTCGGAGAACATGGTTTTTTTTGTTTCCCTGTTTTCTGACCATGAATGTTGATCATTTTCGGATTCCTGTTTAGTTTGCTTCTGGGGCACATCTTACTCTGACTAATTCCGCTTAACAGGTTATTGTTTTATATTCCAGAGGGCCGATTTCATGTTCAAACTATGTCTCAATTTCATAACATGTGGATTATGGTTGGCTGCTTTAAACCTGTCTTCTACACCAAAGAAAGTCAGAAGTATGGTCATACAGGCTGAACCGTGTCCATTCCCCCCAAGTCTTACAAGCACCTTCCTTTAGTCTGATTGGTTACCCCCTCATCATCTTTAGACCCCCCATTTAATTTAATTTATATGCTCATTTACAGCGACAAGACATGGTTTCTTGACATGCGGTCCATTTTTTCCAATTGTATCAAGGTGACGACGAAGCTTTGCGCAATTTCCTTGGGGAACCCGAGATTATCTGGCCATTATTTGATGACCAAAGCTTTGAGTTCACGCTGAAAGAGGCCAACGAAGGAGGGGACCCTGCTCCCTTTCAGACGACTGCGATCAGAAAGGCTGCATAGGTCCGGCTACCCACTGTTCTGCTTAATGTAGTTAGTTCATCATCAGTTCGTAATGATGGCGATGATGCTGATCATCTGTTGCTAACCGGCGGGATTCAATGTCACTCTTTTCTGATCTTCTAACTGTCCCTGCTTGGCATAGAAGAAGACAAGCTTTGATGGCGTTTCCAGCCATCACTGTCACTGTTACTGAATTATACTGCCGCTGCGGCGCCGCCCAGCCCTCGTGGGACTTACCACGGGCTCAGCTGTCTCCGCCGGCGGCGGCATGAATCCACCCTGTGAACTCAATCGGGGGGCTTGACCTCTTATTGCTCTTATCCTACGGGCAGCTGGCAAGGCGACAGGGGGGGTCTTCTCACCGGTGACTGATACAGAGATGAGGGGACTCGCCGTCGCCGTCGCCGTCGGGCTGCCTCCGACGGGCATCCGAGGAGAAACTCCGCCGACGCATTGCCATCAGTAGTAAGGTTAGAACAAGGGCGGGTGATTTGACGCATCCCCTATTTTGTTTGTTATTTACGGATGGAGAATGCCGCTGCCTTTCCACGTGAAGGCGTCCTTTTGTCCTAGAGGAGTCTCCCCCCCGCGGTTTCTTCTGGCAGAAAAGGACGATGGCTGTAATTTCGCCGAGACCCCCTCCTGTTCTCTCTCTTTCTCTCTCTCGGCAATTCCCACCGGGTGATGGACGACTCCATGGCTTCTGTTCCTGAAACATCTCCTACGGGGAGGAGGAGGCTCGTGGAGTTGCTGAAGGAGCGGCAGGAGCCGTTTCTGCTGGCTGTGTACCTCCTCGAGAACGGCTGCCGCGCCGAGAGAATCCCCCCCTCCGAGGCCGCAGCCATGTCCTGGACTGCGAGTGCATGCAGGAGGCTGCATAGGATAGCCGGCCATGGCCTCCGGAAGCGGAAGAAGGAAGGCCCCGCGTCACTGGTAGCTGCATTCCTCCACTGGAGGTGTCCTCCTCCCAAGGGCTGGAATCGGAACAGGAGGGGAGACCTCGGCAGTACCTTCGAGTCCGGCACGTCTCCATGCTCCGTCGGAAGCATAAGAGTAAGCTTTTGTTCCTCCCTCGAGAACGTCTTTAGAACCGGGATGGTTACTGATTTTAGGATGGACGAAGCAGGGAGATGGTGCAGAGGGAGGCCATGAGCGGGAGTTCTCGGAGAAGACTAAGCAGCTGAGTCCTGTGTCGGTGCTGGAGCTGCACTCCGAAGAGTGTTGCCTCACGCGCAGCCGATGTAAGCTCACCGGACAGTAGTAGTAAGCTCACCTATCTATCAGCCCGAGGAGCGAGAGCATCCGGTTCTCATCCCAGCGAATGCTTTTCGTGTTCATTGCCTATGATAACAGTGAGAGCAGGAGAGGAAGATCGATCGGCCTCGGCCTTCCATTTCCCGGCGGAGACGGGAGGGCTCCATGGTTCCGAGTGCACGAAAATTAGGAGAGTCAATCGGTATCTGCACGGGATTCTCAACTCGCCGGCGTCAGGGTTGATGAGACACACACAGGTTTCCTCCTGTTGGAGAACGACGGCAGGAGAAGCAGCAGAGGCAGGTCGTCTGGTAGCACCAGACGGCTGGGAATCCGAGTATGACCACCGCCATCTTCAGTTTACAGAGATCGGTGCGGAGATAGGGGATGCTATCTTCGACGATCTCGCAGAAGACTTCGTAGAGCTCTTGCGGACGCAGTGATACCTTCCTCTGTCTGAACGCAAGGCCGCCTGCGATACTTCCCTCTTCTTTTCCTCTTTCTGGGTGTAAAGGTATATCTCCGTCTTTGGGGGCGACGAGGGGGACACACAGACATTCCCTTCACTTGCTTATTATATTCGACCCTTCTTCGTCGCCATTGGATACGTGGGGATTAATGGTCTTAACTGCGGAACCAGGAAGACGAGAGCCGTAGCCTTGATGACCGTCGGACGGAAACGCTAATGCGTTCAAGTTTCTGTCAGGTCCAGCTATCATCCTCTCCATGTGCACAATTACTGCGACCAGACGTCTGTCATCGCGCAGATTTCATTCATGCCATATTTCGGGTTGCCGACGGGGTCCTTGCAGGCACTGCGAAGCCCAGCTCGAGCTGGTACGTCTACTGCCGATCGAAAGACGGACACCCATGAATCTCAGACCGAGCCTACCGTGCATCTGTTCTAGAGCGAGAGAGAGGAAGATGTGGGTAGTAAGAGGAAAAAAGTCCCCGAGCTTCGGATGGATATTTCTGCCGTCTCGAACCGAGATTGGCCATGTCCGGTCCGTGACCGCCGTACGACTCGAATGGGAGTCTGGGCCTGTGAAACGACGATAGGGTCCGGTCGGTGTTCCACCGGGGAACACGCGGACGGGCGAATGACGTCGATCCTCTAGCAAGCGACTGTAAAGGTGAGTAGGATTCCTGTGCTAGCGAGATCCCTGAGATCGACCATTATCGTTATCTGCTGACGATGATTGCCGGGCTATTTAGACGTCATCTCCTCACTTTCTCTGTTTGTCGGATGGACTCTGCGTGGTGCAGGCCCTTGGGGAATCTGTCGAGTGCATCACTGCGGGTGTCCTAGCGAGCGAGAGCGAGAGAGAGAGAGTCTCTGAAAAGGGGAAATAACGATGGAAGACAAAATGACGATCCTCAGTATCTGGATCATCGGCCAGAGAAGTAGTCTCACGGATAGAACCCTCTCTCACGGGTCCCCTCCCCTCTCACGGTGGCCACTCTTAGGCTCGAGCAGATGGAAGATGAGCCCTCTTGTTCTTGATTTTTGAAATAAATGAGCTTCTACACGTTCACGGGGCACTAAATTTAGATATACAACCCAAAGGACCCATAAATAGGACTCCACACGCAATTATATTTACATAATTATAAAATATCAGAAATTATGAGTGCAATAAGCAAGAATTTTAGATGCTGCTAAGGGCATCAAGTGAAATAGAGTATTTCTATGAATAGCAATACCAAATTTTGTATTTCAACGTTGGTGTGAGGATTGAAACATAAAAATACGACCCATGAGTCGCTTCATGTTTAATGGGAAGGAGAGCCGGGAGGGCCACAGATTAATAAGCATTAACCGGATGAACAATACATGGAACAGGCTTAGGATGCATAGACGGAGGATTTGGGGAAAAGGGGCGATGAGTGTGTGTGTGTGTGCGTGTGTGTGTGTGTGTGTGTGTGTGTGTGTGTGTGTGTGTGTGTGTGTGTGTGTGTGTGTGTGTGTGTGTGTGTGTGTGAGAGAGAGAGAGAGAGAGAGAGAGAGAGAGAGAGAGAGAGAGAGAGAGAGAGATGATGGCCTTAATGATGCATGCATTGAAACAGGGAATCTGTTTTGGGGATGTGTATTACAGAGTGCTTCGAGCTACAAATGATTAACAATTTAGTGGCCAGGGTTTACCCGGATTTCGTAGGATTCCCTCCACATCAGACCCATGTAATTGTCTCTGATATGATGCGAAGGAGAGATCTCAGGCAACTCCACCATGCTATCTTCCGCGACGTCGAGCTTGCTGTTGCAGGAAAACCAAAGCATCTTTCGCCTCAGACCCCTTCTCCCACCTCTCTTCTTCTGTTTAGCTCCCCCCTTCCCTTCGTGGTGGGCGCTTCTGGTGCACTCCATATAGGCATCGAAAAAGGGGTCGACCCCCGGGCCAGACTTACAGGAGGAGTTGCTCTGAGAGCCCTGGAACGGACAGGGGGGAAGTGGGATATACATGCGGTGCTCGGACGGCGTTTGTCTCTCATTTCGGCATGGTGGGGGTGGGAGCTTGGAGTCTACCTTCCCGACTGCAGCTGCGGAGAGAACCTTAGCGTTAGGTTCGACCTTGGACCTCCCAGGCTCTCTCTCCCACGCGAATGGAACAACCCCCGAAGTATGAAGCCTGTGCTTACTCATCACTCTCTCTCTGTCTCTCTCTGTGTCTCTCCCTCCCAGGATGGGTAAAGGATGTGGGTCAGGAGGGACGTTTCAGAGGGCTGTCTTCCTTTTCTACATGGATGAAGAGTGAAACGCGGGATGAGGATTTGGTGGTTTCCGATTTTCCATCCACTTTCCTCGATGATAAACAAGAAGGAACCAAGAAGCGAAGACCGCTTTTGGAACAGGAGTCAATGCTAAACTGCGGACCAATAAAACCAAGCGGAAGAATTTTGAATGTCATTTGGACTTTTGTGGAAGGAGTGATATAAAACCCGTGATCGTCGAAGAAAGTTCTCACCTTTCTACGTCAACCAGGGAAAAGTCGTTGTGGAAGTCCTCGGCTCTCTTCGTCCACTAGTAATGATCTGAGACAAGAAAACATTCGGATGCTGAATAATTAAACTACTTTGCGGAAATTGGCTAGAACTACAGAAGTAAGCGTCGGTCTTCGTCGATGGGCAGGTGGAAAACTTTAGTTTGACTAATCTGGCAGTTAACCGACTACGTTTGACCATATTTGCCCCGGCTATTCGCCTCATTCAACTACTCTCTCGCTTAAGCCCGACGAAAACGAAGCGAAAATCGCTGTTCAAGCTTCCTAATTAATTAATTTGCTATAAGAACTCACTAGTCCATATATTATGTCCTCTTAAAAATGAATTTAATAATGGGTGTGACAAATAACATCCCACTAATATGTTTTATCATTTCATTAATGACCCTAATTCAGTGTTTTGTTAGTAGATCGGGTTCGTTGCTCGATCAGATGCCGATCCCAACAACAGTAATTAGCTCGTGTTGCCACGGTGATGCCTATTAAAGGTACATAGTAAAATGGTTTACGATTTTGTTAATTAATTTATTTTTTGACCCCGCGAACGAAGTTATCAGGATGTCAATCTTTACTGGAGCATCATAATCAATCCCTAAGCATTGATTACAATTTACCCAAAACACAGGCAGGCATCTTCTCGCCATGGGCCCCGGATATCATCTCTCTCTCTCTCTCTCTGTGGCGTGAGGACCAGAGAGAGAAACCAGGCAAGTTAACGACAGTTCATACGGCACAAACCAGCCCTACGCATTGAAGCTTAATGACGGCTTTTGAGAAGCATCTTTCTCCTTCTTCCGGGGTGAAGACAAGCATCCCGCCGGCCGCTTGACGAAGACCAGTGGGTTCCTGCTTCTTGCACGGCATTCCAATCGTTTGGATTGCCTTAAAGCAAAGTGAAACGACCAGATTTGGAAGGACGGGTAAAGACCGTTCCGTCAGGGATTGCCGGGGCATGCGAAGCGGGTAAAGACTTGCAGTCAACGGGGGACACATCCGAGAACCTTCGTGGAAAAACCCGCCTTTTCCGCTTCAAGTCTTGAGGCATGGCCACTGGGAGTGATCAAACTTTGACTCGTGTAGGGCTGACTGACGTAGACATTTATCCACGTTTCTCTCCGATACTCTGCTCTTACAAGTTAGCCTGACGGCGCGAGACTCCGATAATAAAAGCTTTCGACTGCTATTTATTGAGCAACATAATCTGCTAATATAGCATTACATCAGAGCAACAGACTCCGATTATGAACTGGCAGGCACCTCATTGGTAGGGTTCATTTGATGAAACTAACAGCGGAGTAAGATATCAAAATGAAGATATGATGTTCTGCGCTTACCCATTTGACTGCTAAACATATGATTATTATCTGCGCTTACCCATTTACTGTCTCGATCGATTCACCGACGAGCCATGGCAGCTTTTCGATAGACCCTACACAACTGCTCGTCGGTCTTCATGCGAACCAGCTTCGAGCATACTGCAAAAATGCAGAACAACGTAATCCGGGGAGGGGCTCCCACCCCCTCGGCTCCGGTGGTTACAGTTACACCTGAAAAAGGAGAGAGATGGAAATGGCTAGAGAGAGAGAGAGGAACACTTGGTCCTATCTTCTACTCCGCCATCCCTAGAGCAACAAGAAGATGAGCTTAGTCATAGGAAATAACAACGTCAACGACCAGCCAAAATGGTCCACGCCACAGCTTATGGCGCCGCCAATAAGTCGCCCGTGAGAACATGCAGAGAGAGAGAGAGTTGAAACCTCCGAAAGAGCCTTACATAATTGCGGCAGCAAAGAAGGAAATTAAAAGAAGAAATTATTGCGATCGAGCGTTCCTCCCAGCTTGAACGGCGCGGTGGAGCGTGCCCCCAAAACTCCCCTCGTCGCGCCGACCTGCATCGCCTTCATTCTGCATCTTCTACAAAGTGGGGATGGAGGTAGAATTTACAAGGGTGGAACCGAGGAGGTTGTCGCAGAGGCTCCCCGTGCTATCGTGGGCGACCCTGTTGGCGTCTGCCCTCGGGCTGCTGCCGGTGCTGCCGGAGAGGGAGGCGAAGGTGGTGCTCTTCTGAAGGACGCCGGTCGGGGAGGAGCCGACGCCGGGGCTGGTGTTGTCCCAGGCCTCGGTCATCAGGTTCAGGGAGGAAGGTGACGGGTTTTTACTGTGGCCTCCGCCGTTAGGGTTACTGCTGGTCTTGTTCAGGACCTCTCCGAGAGGACCCCCCATGGAGGATTCCCACGAGACTGGTATCCAGCTAGCCTCCCGCTGGCCCACCCCCAGACCCATGTGAGTCGGATCGGCTTCTCTGGATATCTTGGAGGACAGAGCGGCGGCCCTCTCCCTCGCCGGAGAGGACGAGGACGATGAGAACTCCGAGGACGCCATGGGGATGGAGATGGAGAGTTGGGTTCTATCGGACTGGATCTCCTCCACCTCTGGCCAGCTGATGACCGAGCGGTTCGACTGGTCCTTGGGCCAGTCGTCGAAGAAATGTCGGAGCGGGTTCGGCTGCGGGGTAGCTCGATCGTCCTCGAACGGATTCCTCTGCCGGGGAAGAGGAAAGAGGCTGCCGTCCTTGGGCTTCTGGTGAGCAGAGGGGGCCGTCGTCATCAGAAGGCTCTGCGACCTCCCAAGCTCATCTCCATTCACATTCTCCTTGTTCATCGGAATCCTGCCGACGATCGATCACAGAACCAGAAGAGACTGTTAACCAGAGGAAGCTGGCACTCGAGGGAAGGGGTGGTGTTCCCTACCTGGAGAAGGGCGACGCGGAGGTGGGATTGTGCTGCTGCAAGGACTTGATTTGTTGGTGGGAGATGGACAGGCTGTTGTTGGAGGACCCACCGGCGGAGACGGAGGCCGTCGGGGAGATGATGGGCATCGCTTTGGCGGCGTGGCCGGAGTGGCCTTCCACAGGCTTTCTTGAACGGTGGCGGCCACGGTTCATATGCCGCTCGCAGTACTTCTGGTCGGCAACCGCATCCCTGGAGCACCGCCATTTCTTCCCGTCGGTCCGACGGCACCTCCCCGGCTCCGGATCCGCGTTCCCGGAGAAACCCAGGTGGAATGGGCTCCATCCCACTGCAACGATGCAGAGATAAGCGAGAGGACGAGCGAGCGAGCGAGAGAGAGTTCTTCAATCAATGGGAGAAGGGACAAAACCGTTTCAGACGCATTTTGAAATCATGAATCGATTCATCGACGAAAAATCGCATGATCATTCAAAGGATGCGGATCAAAATAGGGACGTGAAGATCCGAATCTATAACAACGCACCGGCTTGCATGTGAACTCCTACGCAACGATGAGAAAAGGGGGAGAGGAAGATACAGTGGAAAATACAAGCTCTAAACAGTAGAAAACCACCGAGATAAGACGCGACGATTGAAATGCAAGGAGGGAGGACCGTCTCCGATGCTCGGATTGAGGCACTCGTTCATGCACATCAACAACAGAAGACACAATCGAAAAAAAAGATTATATAGGAGAAAACCCCAGATTTTAAAGCGGCGCATACCGATCGAAACCGATTCTTGGAACTACTCGAAGACCGAAACTAATCCAAAACTCTAAAAAAATAAAAGGTCGAGAGTGAATAAGCGGTAGAGCAGATAAAAGAGTTATACAAGCGGTCGTTCTTGAATCTGCAGATTCGGTGGAGGAATTTACATTCGGTGGCTCGCAAGGATCCAGGCGAGTAGGAGGGGAAACCCGACGAGCCTAGGCTTTTCCTGATGGCGACGAGGAGGCTGGACGGCACCGGCACGTTCGCATCGATATACTTGTAGATCAGCGCTTGGTGCTCCAACTCCATCCATTGCGATGGAGTGAAGGGCCCTCTCACCCCTGCAAAACACCATGAATGAGGCGCACCATTGGAAGGAGGAAACTAGGTTGAAGAAACCTAGCTGAATCTAGAAGAAAATATTGATACATCTTCATGTATTTACCGAGAGAGAGAGAGAGAGAGAGAGAGAGAGAGAGAGAGAGAGCAGGATGAAGAAATCGGGACACAGAAGCTCGTCCTAACCTTGTTCGAATAGAAATGAAAACTAAACCCAGTTATGGACTCGTTGGATGCTCGCGAACTAAGTATAAAAAAACCAAAAAAAAAACGAAACTCTCCACGCGACATGACTCGAAGCAAAGAGCTACGCGTGCCCCGAAAGACCCGTCATCTTTGAATGAGGGAGATCGAGACCGGAAGCCCAAGAAAAAGCAGAAGAACGAAGCTGCGACGTCCGAAGAGTAGCTAGTGGAATCGAATCGACAGCACGAACATGGAAACCTCGCTTGTCCACAGATCTCCACTCATAGAAGGAAGGAGATGAGGATACTCTAGATCCGACGATGATCCATCAAGGTCGGCATGCACCCGCCGTCTCAGTTTTTATTACCTGCATTCCTCGTGTAGGAAGATGATGACAACGAAAACGAGGACCCCGAAGGGTGATAGTAGGTTAGGCCGCCGTCGTTGCAGAGCATAAGAGAGTCCGGCTTGGGCGATGAGAAGCTGAGCATCTGCTGCCCCTCTGGGAAGAGAGAGTGAGAGTTGGGGCTGATGAGGGAAGGGGAAGACTTGGTCGGCGCCATCATCGCTACCTCACTTCTAGGCGCCTTCAGGCACATCCAGTCGTTCTCCTCAGACTCTCCGGGCCTTGCATGCTTGAGGAAGCCAGATCGGTAGAGCCCTTTCTGCCTGATGGAGTCGATATCCGAGGAAAAGACCAGCGAGGAAGAGAAGACACCACAGCTGCCCCCCACGCCAATCTCAGATGATGAGCTCACGAGCCCGTCTATGCCCATAACCGTACCGAAGTCCATCTTGTCCCCAGGCAGAGCTCCACACACCAACCAGGCCGGAGAAGCAGGAGGCGAGGTACTGCTGAGCTCATCAGCCGGGAAGGAAGGGAGAGCTCTGCGTGGAACCTCCGGAGGGCATTGCTAGGCAGGGACGGAAAACACTGGTTCAGCTCTCCTCTCGGGCAGTGGGTGTGAATGGGGCGAGCGAATGGGGCGGTGTGAAATGGGTTGCGGGGAAGAGTTAGGGAAGAAGAAAAATGGGGATGACGGCGGCATCAACACTAATACCACTCCTAATCTTGTGGATGCCCAACAACGAACCTCTCTCTCTCTCTCCAGCGGCTACTGTCTGTAATGTGGGTAGTTGTTTGGAATTTATGGTGGGGAGTGACCCATGTAAGAATCCAGAGTTACCAAAGTACCCTCTCCTGGCGGAGCGGCGCGAGAGATCTTCGGACACGCAGCTGGCTCGCCGGTGTACAGCCGGACAGCATCGAGCCGTCAAAATCTAATCATTGGTCCGCCTAACGGCGTCCGCCCGGGTCGATGGCATCTCCGAGACGGCGGGCACGGCGGCCCCTACGCCGGCGAGTACGGTCCTTCACGAGAAGACCGACGGCGCCTCCGCCGTGAATCTTGAATGCGGACCGCGCGCATCAACAGAATAGCGCCGCCGCGGGATGGCGGCGCCGCCCCCTATGGGGGCCGTAGCCCGCCACGGCAAGGAGATGGGGACGAGAGTAAATGGGGTAAGATGGGTCAAGGAGGGAGGGGCTGGTCTGCATGGCACGGTGGCGGCGCCTTCTGGTTTCCGGGAGGGTGGCGGGGGCGTGGTCCAGTGGGGCGGGGTGGTGTAGGGGGCTTTGAGGGCGCATTATTGAATGGGCAACTTGGGGGCAGCTCTCTCGCACGTGGCCTGCGAGGGCCACTTGCGGCGGGGGAATTTTAATGGTATTTTATTGGGCATTTGCCGATTCCGGGTGGGGAGGGCGCAATCGGAGTTAAATTGGGCGAGTCAGGTGGGCGCGCCCGGCCGGGTGGACCACGCCCTTTTGGTCTCCTTTCTGCGCACCGTGGTCAAACTAATGTAAAATAACCCGCTGGGCTACACCTCTAATGCACCGGAGAGGCCCCGTGGGGGAGCGATCCCCGACTCCTTTCCAAAAGGGTTTGGCCTACACGTACACGCCCCCCCCCCCCCCTCCCTCTCTCTCTACCCCACCTCTTCTCTCTCTCTCTCTCCCTCAAAAAACACATCTTGACATCCTGCGAACCGTCATCCATCTTTCCTACTTTATTTCCAATGTATGCGTTCTGTCCCTCGCCTCCTGTCTTTTGACAATCTCTCTCTCTCTCTCTCTCTACACAATTGGTGTGGGGTTCTGGTGCTATCTCTGCCGGCTATAGCTCTCTATTATTAGCTTTCTTGCTAAAAGCTAGACGGAGCCTAGTTTTTATCATGCGCGGTGATAGGTGTCGTAGATGGCTTCCCCAACAGTAGCACACGGGGCTGTGCGAGCCGCGGCGTGACGCGCCGGCGACGAGCCGCAAGCGCCCCAGGAGGCCTCTCGAGAGCTGACCGACATCCTGGTCTCCCCAACCCCTTCGCTCCTCTGGAGATTTGCTAATGGTTGTCTTCTACGAGATGTATACACACGCATTTCACGGTGGGCAGGACGAAAAGAGACGCCTTGATACAACAATGAGGCGACTTCTCCTCCTCCCCACCCCCTCCTTCCCTTGCTTCATAGAGAAGCACACCCTTGACTACTTCATAAAGAGACGCTGATTATGGGTCCCATGGCGCTGTATAATGAGGGGCGGTCGGAGAGAGATGCTACTGTCTGGGTTGGATACCGTAGACAGGAAAAAAGGGAGAGAGAGTAAGGAGCATGATGAACAGTCAGTGGAAAAAATCGTGATGACGGGCTCTTCTTATGTAGTAAACCATCCTGATCTATGCATTAGATACGATATTTTCATTGTTTCGGAAGCATCATACGGCACAATGTTGACTGACGGGCAGAGAATATTATCATCGCCTCTATCTACGCTTGGTTCTTCGTTCCCGATCCCCAATCTGCAGGAGGCACTTGAGAGATTCTCCTCTTCGATTCACGAATAACTTTTCCGGTCTGAACTTTCCATGCAACGAGCTAACCGGAGCTTATAATAACGACTCATCATCGCGACGAGACCCTTGACGCTGGTCTCCCACGCAACAGTTCCTACGCGAGGGTCTCCGGATGTACAGTCGCCCACCGAATAAAGCTTCCCGGCTACAGTGGGAAAAAGTCAAGCCGAACAGAGCGCAAGAGCCCCCCTTTCTAAGGAGCCGATGGGAATAAAGGGCCGAAAGGAAAGGAAGTCCTTCACGGACGAGAAGAAGAGGGAAGAAAGAAATGAAAGAACCTCCTCATCCCCTCCGAAGACCCACTCCGCACCTCAGACGCAGACCAACCGAAACGCTATCAACCCTGCCCCCCTAGCGACGTAAGCTCACTGCGGTGAGCTTGAGAGCTTGCGACGTTACACTCAACCAACCGCATGCAGGGGGGCCAAAGTCAGCCCCTCTGAGGAGCCTCTCCCCGTCCAACAGTCCGCCCGGATCTCCTCCGCAGATCGGGCATGATTTCATATCATTGCCTTTGCGGCTCCTCCCGTGAACTCGCCGACGACTGCAGACCCGCGCACGCGCCGTCGGAGCGAAGACGCTCTACGGGAGATGACGGCATGAGAGAGAGCTTCCCACTTTGTAGCGAAACCAGCCGCAAGGGGCCATTGATGGTCCTACTAACCCTAAGATTAAAGCTTAAATAACGTGAAAATGCTCGAGAGAGAAGCTGGGCGGCCGGGAAGGGGAGGGTGGGCGGAGGACAGCTCATTCGCGGCGGTCCTCGGAATCTGGAGCCATTTAACGCCTCTGCGGCCGACACGGCCGTGTCGGATTTCGGGCAGCAGGGGAATTAGTAGCGGGAATGAGACATCTGTACGTAGCAGCCCCGGGGTACGATAACGGAAGGCGGTGTCGGGTCGAGGGGACCCGTCTGCGAGGATCCGAAAGAGCCTGGGAATCTGCGGAAATCCCCCAGACAGCGATGGTTCCGCGGATCGGACGGTCTATCGGAGATTTCGATCGCTGGCGGGTTTCACGGACCGATCCCCCTCTCTCTCCTGCGTGGAGGATATGATGTTGACCTGTCAACGGGTGGCGGGAGGCGTGGGCCCCACTCGCCTCTTGCTTCCCCCGAAAAAATACTGTCCCGGAAATCCCAAACCGCTAGCTGTTTCCTATGCACGGGAATCGAGCAATTTAATCGTGGGGCCCGCAGGCTTGGCTTCCATCGGCTTTTATAAAATGACCAGCGTTTGTCGCTTCCCCATGACCGACATTATGGCGAGCCCCGCATCCCCCCGGCCGGCTAGTCCAACCCACGGCGGTGCGCCACCAGACCGCCGCTGGGCCCCCGCCTGCGCGGTGGGCGGCCGTCCCGGTTTGACGGCGAGGCCTTGCGTCCGGTAGAGGGGGCGTAGCTGTCGGAGGACCCGTCACATCGGAGGCGTATACTTCTGATCGGACGGATGGGGGAGCCGTGTAGTCACCTCTGTACCCTGCCGGAAGGAAGCGGTACCTTCTCATCGGGATCGAGCGTAGGGCACTGAAAGTCTACGTTGCATGCACTGCGAAAGGTCTTGGGTGCGGCTCACGTAATCGGTCTGAGCGCCTGGGTTGACTTTCTTAATTGTGTGACCCCTCCCTCCGCGGGTCAACGTCACCTCACAGTTCGGAGATGAGACCTGAACAGGCGGAGCTTCTGGGCAAAACCCGTAGCCTCAAGATCATTATCTCGCTCGTAGCCGAGATGGGTCTCTGGTCAGGAAAATGGAGGGTATTTATTATATATGATACCAGTTGGGGGTCCTGGCTAGCTGCCGGGGATGCAACCCGGGGAAGCCCCCCCGCCGGTATACGTCAAAGCTTCGCTGGTGGGTGGCCGGCAGCTCACGTGG